AGTATTATAAATACTACTAGACAGAGCATTTCCTTGCTCAAGTTTGTTTGTTATAGGTAATATCAGAGTTATAGACTCTTTAAATACTAGTGCCTCTAATAATAATAGTAAGCTATTTATAAGCTTTAACAGAGCTTCAAGAGCTGCTAATATATCTATTATTACTATTATCTTATTTCCTATAATTAATTATAGCTGAGATACAGCTCTACTATAGAAATTTATTATCTTAATATTAAATACATTCTATAGCTTTATAATACCAGCAGAGGATCATTCATGCATTAGGGGTAGAAGAGTGTCTGATATATCTGCTAGTGTTTAGATGAAGACAGACTCAGTGGGAAAGAAAGAATACTAAAAGGGCTCTAGAACAGGGGCTAGAGCTAGCTAGTTTCCACTGGTAAAGGCTAATATACTTTAAGGCTACTTACAGTTAGGGCTATAGTAGAACTCTATTTAATTAAGATTCACTTATATATCTCTAAAAGCTCCCAGGCTCACAGCGGCTGCAAGATCCAATAGTTAGGACAGTTATAGAAGAGAATTAAGGGGAGAAGATCAGATAATATATTCACTAGTTGCTCTGGGCAAAGCCAAAGGGTTAATAGTATTTATAAGATAAGGTATTCCTAATGGATCATAATACAGTGCAGCTGTGGATAAACTCCACTAACTACTTATCATCTTTAGGCAGTATATCAAGTGAATCACTAAACCACCTTAGCAAAAAGAACAAAAAGTGTCCACTATAGGAGTCCCTAATTACTTAATTATAATTTAATTATATAATGCTATAGATTTGGTATAGTCTAGGAAATAATTCAGAATAAGGCAAAGATAAGCCTAAAAAAGTTCCCTTATTAGCTATAACAGTACTTAGTCCACAGCGAAACTTCAACCCTGAGCCTATAGTTAATTAAAAGGCATCAGCTCAGCTGCAGCTATCTATAAGGCATTTTTATAATTAGCTATAGGTTTAAAAGCAAACTACTGGCATTATAACTTAGTATAATATATATATTTAGTAATGGGCCTGTTTGAGTAGAGATACTTTAGCTTAAGTATTACATTGCATTTATAAACTAATATAAGGCATTTTGGGGGCTAGTGCAAGCCATCCTAGAGCATAGAGTTAGGATTGGTTCCACTTCGCCCTCTACTTTTTCCCATCATTTTCTGTCTACTGCGTGAGGATGAGGAAGGCAAATACATCCAGACTATTAGGTACATAAGATATAAAAGTATTATAACTCAGGACATCCATTCTAATGTATAGAGTAGAAAATCCAAGAGAAGACACCCTTTAACTAAATACAGTAGGATAAAATAATTTACCTATCAGATTAATAGGCTGACAAGATAATCTATCCTTAGTCTCCTTTAAAACAGGCAGCTCCATCTAATTTTATGAGTGGAGAAGGGGGGCTGTGTCACAGATGCTGAGTTTTTAGCTAACCATGGGACATGTCAGCTGACTAGGGGATATTATTGCTGCCTGGACTTCCCAGGGAAATAAAACTGCTGGGGAAAAAGAGTATTATTATTAAGTAACACACTACAAGTTTATATAGATTAAGAAGACAGCAAGACAGGCAGTAGCAGACAGCAGATCCTATTCAGGGTTAGTACATAGCACTAAACCTAATACAGGGAAGCTAAACCGCAAACAAGAAACACTATACAGGATACGGCGCGGCACACACGGGCGCCAAACCCAAAAGAGGGGGCGGCCGAAAAGGGCGTCGAGTCAGCAAATCGCATTTCTACTAGTTATATATACTAAGTAGATTTAACTATAAGATATATTATTAGCTAGGGAAGCTAGCTATCTATCTAGATATCCTCTTATATAGGGAGCAAGATATGCTATAGGATGCTAATAATAATAGACTTAAGGTATATGATTACTGCTTAGTACTGCTTAAGGTTATTACTAGCTAGGTATATATATAAGTATTTTATAACTATAAAGTAGTATCTAACTTAGATATAAGGTTACTAAATAAATATAGTAATTAATATAATAATCTAAGTTATTATATAATCTTATATATAATATCTATAGATAAAATACTCTTACTACTAGAAGAATACTAGAGAGAAGCCTAGCTAGATAATACTAGTTTAAATAATATATAATAAGCTATAGGGGAAGGAGCTATATAATTCCTAAAGGAACTATAGATATAGGTATTAATTATTAAGTACTTAGTATTACTAGATAGCTACCTGCTATACTAAGGCTATAAATAGGTCCCTAACTCTAAGCCTCTATAAATAAGGATCTTATAAGAGACCTATAACTTAGTATTAACTAACCACCCTAGAAAGAATATACTATATATAATAATTACCTAGAACTTCTACTAGCTAGAATTTTTAATAGATATTTAATAGTTTATACAGAACTATAATAAGTATAGTACTAACTATATATAGTATAAATAGCATTAGGGACTACTAAAGCTACTACTAATCCTAGACTATAAGTAGTATAAGATTACTATTAATTTTATTATAAAGCTACCCACCTCTAATAGCTATAGGGATATTATAGTAATTAGTAATAGGCTTAGAAAAGATATAATCTTAGTACCTTATAAGTAAATAGACTCTAAGATAATAGTATAGCTACTAATTAATTAGTTTATTAGATACTATAGCATTCCTAGTATAATCACATCAGATTATAATCTATAATTTATTAGCTAGTTCTAGGAGTACTTTTATAATTAGTTAGGAATTAAATAATAGCTTTTAATAGTCTTCTATCTATAAACTAATAGGTAGATTAAATAAATAAATACTATATTAGAAGCCTACCTACAAAACTTCTATAACTATACTTAAACTAATTAGAAGTTACTACTACTAATAGCCTAGCTAGTAATTAATAGCTAGGATGCTATAAGTACTAGGATTAGTCTATTCTTCCTAGACTATAGATATAATATTAAGCTACTAGAGATTAAAGTATTAGATTATAAGACTACTACTATTAGTATAGCTTACTTACTAAAGGATAGGGCTAATAATATTATTATTAAGATATAGAGAGCTATAGAGATAGCTTAGTTAGAACTTACTACAGCCTAGTAGTAGTAGAAGGAGTATTTAAACTACTCCTATTTAGTAAGCCTACACTATACTATTAAGTTAAAGGTATAGTTAGATTTATAGAATATTTATATAGACTATCCTAGCTATAAGCTTAATATATAATATATAAAGTTTATAGTGCTTAAGGCTATTAGATTATATACCTACTAACTAGATATACTACTAGGTATATATAATATATTCTATATTAGCCTTTTGCGCCCTGCTGTAAGTAACCTATTTCTAAGCTAGTTAAATAATAACTATTAACTATCTCTAAAACTAGTTAATAGTAAGGCTAAGTACATAGTTAAGGAGATCTTAAAGAAATATAAGAAGTAAGTTAGCTAAGGCTGCTATATAGAGTACTTAGTTAAGTAGGTAGGCTATAAATACCCTATATAGGAGCTAGCTACCAACCTTACTAATATAGTAGTACTTAATGTATAGGAGAGCCACTAGCTCTAGTTAGAAGGGGGGAGTAATATAGCAGGCAGGGCCTACTGAATACTTAAGCTTATTAAGTACTTATAATCTGCCTTAGGCACTAACAAGGTCTTATCCAGAGCAGACACCAGCTTAGTCACATGACCCTATACTAATTAATATACTAACCAACTCTATTACATAACCTTATCTCCTATTCATACCTATCTTTTATATTTAGCTACTGTAGCCCTAGTTAGAACTCCTTAGCAATTTCTTACTGTCCAAACCTAGGTTATAGGTTGACTGGCTTCTAGCCCGTGACAAAGAGGACTTTATCTACTTTATTTATAAGTTTTTCTTTATTAATCTAAATATATATATCCAGCTGTATAAGGAATAATTATAACCTAGTCTAAGTAGTAAGTACTATTAAATAGTTTAGGTAGTCTAATCTTAATAGACTTAGCTGTAAGTTAACTATTTAGGTTTTTATTCTACTACTCTAACTAATAAATATACTCCTAGAGCTAGCTAAGTATAGCTATTACTTTATCCTTAGTAATATATATCTACTAAGGTTATATAATTATAGCTAGTTACTACAGCATTCCTGCCTAACTAATATTTAAGCTAGTAGGGGTCTGCAGTGCATTTCCTGCTATAATATTTAATATTAAGAGTTAATTAAACTTCCTAAAGTAATTTATACTATGGTATTTAATTTATCACACCCTAGGATCTATCTCTACTATTCTCTGCTAGTTAACTACTTTAGGAATAGGGTAGTATAGTCTCTAGACTATACTCTATACTTACTTAAGGACTACTAACTAGGTAGCCTAATAATATACTAATATAATAACCTCTTTAGGGGTTAAGGATAATCTATAAGTAATATAAGAATAATAATAGTAAAGATAGAAGCAAGGCCTATTAAGTATATATACTTAATAGTAGAGAGTAACTAATAAATTAGACTAGTAATCTAATACTTAAGTAAGATATTAATATTAAATATAAAGAACTAAACTAAGAACTCTAGATATATTAGTAATAACTATCCTTATATAGTCCCTCTATTCTAGTCTATACCTTAAGGCTATTATAAGGTCCTATTATAGACTATTTACCTAAGGTCTATAGTGCTTTTATATAATTATAGTCCCTTATAGACTATTACTATTCCTTAGTATCAGGGACTATTTAGTTATATGACTTAACTACTCCCTGATCTTATATTAAGGCTATGCTGCCTTTCTTATAAGCCTCATCTAACTATTCCTTGTTAACTGCAGTCATCTCGTAACAGCCATCTGCAGGTGTGCCATAACAATAATGAAGAAGTTGCGGACGCCATCTCAAAATGATCTGAATCATAATTCACCTGAATGCCCTGCACACCCTGCATGCCCCTAAATCGCTGCCGTGTCTCCTTGGCACATCTCTCATCTTTAAGAATCATAGACGGCTCAGGATGGTACCGCCCCTAAGTTTCCTGAAATGAACACAACTAACACTGCAGCATAGGCGGCCGCGGCACCATATATTTCTGCTCTCCTAGCACTAGTTAATAGCGCCATACTGAGAGCAAAGATCAACGTATACGCGACCACCAAACCCAACTTCGTAGTCGGGTCCTTGGCAACGTAAAGACTGATAATGGCAACAACCAACAGGACTGCGGCAGATAGGATACTAATCAAGGCAACTATCTGTGTGATATGCTGTCCCTTGTAGACTGTCGTGCGATCGAGTGGGTCAATGGTTTTGCGGCTCTGGAAGGCCCAGTGATCTTGCAGAAATTTTGAGAGAATGTCCTCATCGGCAGGCTTTCGTAGGGCGACTAGGTCGTCCGCTTCTTTCAGCATATCCTTGGCTCTTCCACTTATAATCGGGACTGCTGGTAGATAGGGGCCTTTCCAGGCGTTTCCCTCAATATAGTCGCGGTAAGTGGAAAGAACGCGATCGCTAGGCCCGCTTAATTCGGCGATTCGAGATTGTCGCAGCAGTGCCTCTTCTGAGTTCCAATATTAGCTCAAAAGGCATCAGCCGGCGTAAAACACTCACCGTATTCTTTGACTTTAGCCGATAGCTCAGCCACCTTCTTTAGTCGTTCCCTCTCTGGCCTTGTCGGATCAGCGGCAAGCTGCGTGAGTGTCTCCCATCGGCGCGATGCCTGACGAGCGTCGAGGTCGGTACTCCTCCGCGCTTCGTCATCAAGCTCCTCTATTTCTTGCTCCAGTTGGATAAGCTGGCTCTGCAAGTGGAGAAGGTTGCGCGCGCTGAGTTGCCTGAACCTGCGGAAGACCAGGGTTTCGCCATCGGGGTCTCGTCCTATCCAGCCAGCGAGCGCGGGGTAACCGTCGCGAGCATTCCCAAGCCCTGTGCTGTCCAGGTTTAGAGCTGCTGCCATAACATTGCTCAGTTACTGATAATATCTAGTGGTGGATATCTGCAAGCAAAGCTTTGCTGCTTTGAAGCTGTGCCAGTGTTGGCTGTCAGCCCTGGAGACGGCCTGCGGGAGACAGCCAGCGGCCACATGTGGCTTTCTTCCCCATCAGCATGCCCGACGTGGCTGTGCTTGGCTGCCTGACGAGTTGCGCGATCTTCAGGGGCCCCGGCTCAAGTATTTCTGACTTCTTTGATAGACCCATCCCAAGTTCGAATAATAAATTTAACCCCACAGAACATCTAAATCACGGTAGGACTCCACCAGCATGGAGGCTGATGAGGACGATCCTCCACGGTGTGTTATTCGTGACCAGGCAAGTCGCATTTCATTCATCTTCTGACATCGTATAGGAGATATTTTGAAAGATCGATTCGTGATGAAAAAACAGAGTCGGAACCACCCACAGTCGATTCAGACCCTCCGTTGGCCTATCCAGCTCATTCAGAAACGAGTGCTCCCTCGATAAGGGCTGTTCAGGATGGCGATCCGGGTCTCTTCAAACAAGAAGAACCTAATCACATCAAAGAAGAGCAATTGATCAACGAAGTTCGAGGAATCTATACCGGGCTGGTGATGGTGGAGAAGAAGTGCATCGAGATCGACAAGCAACAGACGGAATCAAAAGCTGAACTATCAGAGTCACAATGGCAAGCACTGATTTCCTTACATCGCGCACTCTTATACGAGCATCATGATTTCTTCTTGGCTTCGCAATGTCCATCAGCAACCCAAGTGCTAAAACGCCTTGCGAGGAAATACGCGCTGCCTGCACGGATGTGGCGATATGGGATTCATTCATTCCTTGAGCTATTACGACGAAAGCTCCCAGAACCTTTGGATCATATGCTTAACTTTATCTACCTCGCCTATTCGATGATGACATCACTGTTTGAAAGTGTCTCGGAATTCCGGGAAACTTGGATCGAGTGTCTGGGAGATTTAGGACGATATCGCATGGCCGTGGAAGAGACTGATATGAAAGACCGCGAAGTCTGGGCTAGAGTCTCGCGTTATTGGTACAATCAAGATGCAGATCGCAGTCCCAAGGTTGGGAGGATGCAACATCATCTTGCAGTGTTAGCTCGCCCAGACGTTCTCCAACAGCTCTTCTACTACACCAAGGCCCTGGTTTGTAGGCAAAATATGCGACAAGAAACCCACATTTTGCCAGAAGAGCAAATTATGAGGGGCCTTGAATTCTTGGATTCGTCAAGCTCGTCGAAAAACCTGAGATTGACATATCAGAAGAGGGGAACGGACGGCAAGCAAGAATTGGAATTGGAAAGTGCATTTTCCAATGATCGCATCTTCGAAATACCGTGTCAACTCGCAGAGCATTCCACCAACGCGCTTGGGGATTATGGGGCAAAGAAAAACTTCATGAAAGAAGAATATGCTCTTCGCTTGGGGTTGCCGATAAGCCGGAATACCTCCTGCAAAGTCACCATCGGTAGTGGGAAGCAAGTGACGACTGTGGGAACTGTAACTGTACCATTCATGTTCAGCGGCGAAAATGAGGTGCATAACCTTGAATTCCAGCTTCTCCCAAACTGCATCCACAATGTGATCATTGGGAAGCCATTTCTGAAACTCACAAAGACGTTCTCAAACGTCGCCAACTTCTGTCATCGTGTGAAAGAAAGAGTTGCCAAAGGTATCTCGCAGTTCCATCTCTTATACCTTGGGGCATCTACTCCAATGTTCGAGGGGTCCATCAATGGTCGGGTGCAGACTGCTCTGGCTGATTCCGGCTCAAAGGTATTACTCATGGATGAGGCTTATGCACGAAGTATTGGGGTGCACATTCAAACTGGACATGAGCATCAAACGAGGCTGAAATTTGCCGATAATTCGGCCACGGACACGGTCGGTATAGCCTATAATGTCAAATGGCGCTTTGGCCGCGATGGTGAATTTAGCTCACCTTACCCTCTTAACTTTCATATTCTGAAGGACGCCCCCGCGAATGTCGTCTTGAGCGACACTTTCCTCTTTGACACCAAAGCTTTCTCACAATATCATCAGTACTTAACAGATAATGATGACGACCGCGAAGATGAAGACATGCTGACTTATTTTTTTGCGATTGATGTTGATAAGAGAAAGAAGCAAACGCAAAGTAAGATATCCACTGTACCGCAATATCACAGATTTCCTCTCTGACTATTGTTTCCCAGTGAATGCAACCTCCTTCTCTCTTGCTGATTTACGGTATCTGGAACTTGTTCGCCGCGGTGAAGAGGCAGACCGTATCTCTACACTTCCAGGAGCCAAGGGGACCGCTGCGCGAAACATCGAGGACGAGCGATGCGCCGAATGGGACCGGGCATTCACGGCCGTACAGACAAAAAGTCAGCCGCAGAGCCTACAATTGCCTTCTGCAGCCGCTGTTTCGCAAGTGCAATCGACTACATCTTCACATTCAAGCACCTACAGACATCAAGGGTCTAGATCATGTCAAGCACATAAGAGGAGGTTTCTGAAATTCTCGGTTTGGTTGAGGCGCGGGAAAGCGGGTACGAGCTAACAATTGCTCGATGTAGGCTGAATTGGACCTAAAGAAGGCTGACGGAGAGGCTCGGCGTGATGTCCGCATTGTCCGTCCTGTGTGGAATGCTTTCTCGCATGGACCATGTAATCAGGAATACTCAAGCTTGGAGATATGAGTTACGCAGTCCGCGCATCAACGTTAATACGCGGAATACTTGCCACTGGCCCATCCCTGTATAGTGTCACTTCATTAGCCTCTTTTTTGGCCGCATAATATATCCATATATCCATCTTGCTGTCTGTCATAATCAATGATTTCATATATTCTTGACTCATGTCATGATCGACTTTCATTGTATAATTGGATTTAGAGAAACCGAGATAGTGCGGATCACCTTTATAATAAGCTCATAATTTAGCCTAGATATACCTGGAAGTACTAGTGGCGAGACTTGGCCACTACGAATGGAGCACCCTAACCCTAACCCTTCACGCAATTGTATACTAAAAATGGAACCAGAACACGTCTTAGCAGCGAAAATTGACCAATCAGCGGCGAGAATTTGGACCGATTTTGCAGCACGAACCCGGTAAAACTTTGCGGGCAGCTCGCGCAGGGTAGTAACCCCTTCACTCGTTCCTCGTTTCAGCGTAAGGAAGCTGTACTCATCATTGACCTCAGTTTTCTTCGGGGTAAGGGCGATGTGATAGATATATCACGATGTCTCTTGAGCGGTTCTGATCGCAGGCATGGCAGTGGAGTGTTGAATTAATTGACCTGGACCTACTATTCCAGCGGTCAAATCTGGCATAGGCATACGGCACATCGTTCTTTTTTTTCTCACAGCCGAAAACAACAGCGCCATCAGAAAAATCCTGGGTTTGCTCATACTTTTGCTGAGGTGTCCATGCTCGACTCGTGATATCCTGTAAGAAAGAGCACGTGCTCCAACAAGAGAATTGACTTCTATTTCCATGTTGGCATATTTGGAATGGTGTCCCTGTCATGAACCAATGATGTTGGCTAGATATTCTCTATGCCACACCTACAGATCGACTGCCGTGTTGATCATTCAGTGCGTCGATGCTGTGCATAGATGTGGCTAGCCAGTCAAAGCCCTTAGGCAGTTGATTGCAGGGTGATTTATCTGTATTAGCTTTCAACCCAAGAATGGCATCACTAAGCCCTGAATAGAAGAGATAATTAACCTTGCCTAATAATGAGGTCCACGCCAATCCTTCTTTTTTGATATGGCTTCTCTTGAGCTTGCTCTTGGGGAATCCATAATAATGTCCATGAATTTGTACCTGTACATCTTAGATCTATTCGGGCTTCGCGAGGACGTTTTAGAGAGATTGATTAAAAATCTGAGTATTAAGTCCTGTATGGTCAACCGATCTTCTTCAGACCCTTCAATAACACACTGAGCACTGTCACTAAGTGCAGTAAATAATGCCAAAGCACCATTGGACACTTGTATAGCTAGCCATATATTATTCTTTTGATATCTGGTTGGAATCTTTTGGTAATATGCAAGCAGCATCTTATGGAAAATATAAATCAAGGGCATAAGCTAAGCCCTAGACTTGCTGATGTTATAGAGAATGACCTGCTCTATTAGACTGGTTGTCAGGTATTTTTAATAATTTCCTGTAGCATCGAATCACAGTATATTGATTTTTTAATTAAATGTCATGCTAGCTTGTCCTCTAATCTGAAGAGGGGAAGTGGTTGTTGCTGTAAACTGCAAATTTGCCCCCTTCTAATTCTAGGTAGATTGCTTGAGCTTTGTGTCAGACTATCACACAGTGGAACTTGAGCTGCTTATTCCTAAGGGTGTGGTTGCTTTCAGACACTAAGTAAGTAAGGCTTTTTTTAATCTAAGATCCTCTAGCTTTGTCTTTTTTATCCAAATTCCTTTGATTGCTGAGATTTCGTTGATTTTGAATTGAAAGTTATGACTCGCTGTTTCCAAGTGTCAGAGGACTGTCTGATGGTCAATCTCTTCCACAGGAATGAGAGTGGTTGAATATCCTATGAGTACTAGACTATGATCAACCATGATAGGGTACTCAACCCCTGCCATTTGAACCATTAAATGGAATTCTGCCTTCAAAAGATCTCTGAGCTTGATTAGATGTGAGGATCCATTGTAATAATTGCAGTCTCAAAGAGATGGGACTAATAATCTGTTTTTCGCGGTATTGCGGCCAGGGTTAATGCTTGTAGGGCCACATTTTCTCTGTTAATATGGCCAGTTAATGAACAAACTTTTCCTAGCATTGGTTGATGGAATGTCAGGTAAACCCACAATAGTAGATCCCAAAGGTGGCTGAGTGATAGGTGTAATGATACATGGACTTCGCCAGTTTGCACCTTAATCATCATGTCATCATCCTCTACACCCTTGTCAGAACTAATAGTGATGTGCTCTGCTAATCTGTTGCTTACTATATTTGCCACTGCCATCTTCCAGGGATTGTATAATATTTCTGAGAAGCATAGTGCCCGTGTTCCCATATGTTTCTTGAATATATTGCTCACAGGTTGATACGTAACAGTGTTTTTGGACCTTGTCAAAGTAAGTGTATCCAGCAAGAGCTTCTCTTTGTCCGACGCATCGGAAACAATCAGTGGAAGCTGCCAGTTTGATTCAAAAACTTTGGCGCTCTTAGCTTGCTGGTTTTCTGTTTCTTCATTTGAGTCATTCTGTACTGATTCATGGGCATAGGCACGGGCACGTCCGCGGATGGCATACCTTGAAAGTTCGGGTGGCACATGCGTATATGCCTCGTCAGTTTATCCTTCCTTCCAAATGATTTGAGGCATCCATTTTCACCATAGCTATATAACAAAGGGGACACATATGCAGATTTAATATGGTGCACAGAGCGACTTCTCACGTGAAATATCCAACTTATAGGCAGCCCGTCCATTCGCAGTAGAACACCCCAGGTGCTCTATCTGCTGGTACTGCAGCTCTGTCTTGGGGTTCTTTGCTGCCACTCGTTCGTGTTGGGTACCATCTGTCACTAAGAGAATCAGGCAGCTTCAAGTAGTTTTGCCTAGGCGCAGGTTAGATCTTGAATCAAAAGAGAAAAGAAGGAGTTCACCTTTAAATAGGCATTGCAAAATCATGTGGCTGGGTGGAATCTACCTCTTGCGAAATATCGAACACATCATTCGCGACCGGAGGCGGCTTGTTGTACCTAGAAGCCAACCCTTGCGCGTATTCAGTAACGATGTCCGGGAGTTCTCTGCCCAAGAGCCAAGGCCTTCAACGTCATTATGTGTCCCATCGGGAGGAACATCCTGCACCGGGGGCTTTGGTCTCGGAAGTCGGGGGGAATGCAGGTCTGCCATTCGGGACACAGGACGAGAGTCACTGGGAGATCCCGATGGGTGGAATTTGATGAAATCTATTCCAAAGTTGAGGATAAGTGCTATTGAGTTAAGGAGTTTAAGTGATAATCAAAGAACAAATTTTGGACTGCGGGGTCAGCATCGCCAGGCTGTAAGATGTGGCGCAGGTTGTCACAAGTCATCCAACATTACTTATCATTCAACTCCGAGCAGTGAGGCTGTGATGTTGCATGCATGCACATCACGGATTAACTTATAATATAGACAAAACCTTCCAGCGCTACATGACATAATTCAAAAGAGAGAACTTTCAACTGACAAGGCGGATAAATTGTCACCACGTAGGTGATACAGGGTTTACTTGCTTTTCATCTGGCTCCCCTGGAGAACTGCCTCAGCCATACACTGAGGGATGGACAGACAGCAACACTTATATTGTACTTTTACATGAACTTTCACATTATGTAATATTAGGTTTTTGGTGAGTGACTGAAGAGCCATAGCCATGGGTGGGCTGTGCCATTACCAACCACATCTTTCTAGAGCTTACGACAGGTGCCAGTGCGTGCCACCAGTAGGACAAGGTCACTAAGGAGCAGGAAGACATCATGCATCATGGCCATCAGATCACAACCTTTAGGATTTTAAAGAGAGCGTTGCAATAGCATGTATGCTTTCTTATGCCAGACCAAGTCATTAGCCTCTCTAGGCTGGCGGTAGGCCTAGGTAATATCAAAAATTTAATAGTTTTCAGAATTCAATTTCTCCTATCTAGAATTGCATAACCGAACCGCTAAAATCGAATCCGACCCTCACCGAACTCGCAGCGGTGAGGGTTCGGTTCTAAGCCTATAGAATCACACTGGTTTTGGTTTCCCTAGGTTAGAACTGATTCGAGTTCGGTTAAAACCGTCGGTTTTGATTTTTGAGGATTTATTGGATTCGACTAACCAACCCTCACTGTTTTAGATAAAAATTACTAATTTCTAGGATATATCTAATAACTTTAATATCACTAGATAGCCCTAAATCTAGGCTATCTAAATATATAAATATTAATTTAAAATACCTAGTGTTTGCTGAGATATAAGAGAATAATCATTTCTATCATAGGTTAGTATAAAAGTGGTGATGATTTATATATATACATCAACCTTCAACAATCACTATGATCTAATAATGATTTTAACCACCATCTATTCAATCCTATAGATATTGAATTAATATTTTAGATATAGATTATTATAATAATAAATACTATATATTTTATATAAAAATATTAATTTTCTATAAGTATAGTAATAGTATGGTAGATAGTATAGTAGTTAATAATTATTTGAAATTTTAAAACAGCAAAAATTTACTAAATGATAGTGGTTTAACTCGCCCGAAAATCAAACCAAATCTAACCATAGTTAGTTAGTGGGGACCTAGCTAGGCCTATCTAGGCCTAGTAGCGGGTTTTTACGGTTAAACTTGAACCAAATTAGAATAGATTAGGTTTGGTTCTGATTTCTACAATTTGGACTTGAAATCACAGCAGGTTGGTTCTAACTAGTTTTGAACTTGCCTGAACTCAGACCAAATGCAACTCTACTCCTATCTTAGGCCTATGCCTAAGGCCTATCTAGCATGCTTATATAAAATTATTATTTTTATATAAAATATAAAGTAATTATAGTTATTATAATATATATCTATAATATCAATTCAATATCTATAGGGTTGAATGGTTAGTGGTTAAAAATCATTCTTAGATATTATAATTATCAAAGGTTAATGTATATATATATATAAACCATCACCACTTTCATACCAACCCATGACAGAAATGATTATTCTATTATATCTCACCAGCCACTAGATATTTTGAATTAATATTTCATATTTAGATAGACTAGATACTAGGCTATCTAGTGATATTAATATTTCTATGGAAATCCTAGAAATTAGTGATTACTAAGCAAAACGGTTTTTAGTGGTTTAACTGATGCCCCCCTGGATCCGACCCTGACCCGCCCCTAATCCGGTGCGAGTTTGCAATCTAGGAACCGAACCTCACCGCTGCGAGTTCGGTGAGGGTTGGATTCGATTTTAGCGGTTCGGTTATGCAACTCTAAGCGCAGGGCAAGTTTGTATCTAACCTGAGACAAAACTCTGATGCATCATCAGTTGGTCAAGTTGCTTCGGCCGCATTCAGAAATGCTGAGCACACAGACCAGGACGAAGATGGAACAACACAGGACCTCATACTCGGGGATCCAGTGAAGAATAAGCAATGCTTCTCCTCCCGATGTTGCTAGTATGAAGACATTCTACATATGATTGATAGCGCAATGAAGGGTCGTATGATATCAGGGGTTAGGCCGCATAGTGCGCACCTTGGGCGAGAGAGCCTCTCGCAGGAGAGAACCTATACGGAAAGTCAAATGATCTAGAAGGGTCAGTGGTATATTTTATCAACTCTCCTTAAGCACTCGGTGGGCCTCATACACTTGTAATTGGATGGTAGAGAAATGTGTCTGGGGATATCGCGTATAAATACGCTCATATTACCATCCAATATCATGTAGCTCGCAGATCTGAGCACGAATAGTAGGTGTAAGCTCCTTAGATCGCGCCATAGGAAATCTCGTACGCAGGCGTTCAGGTTGGCAAAATGGAAAGCGGTGATTCTAGCGGCAAGGGAGGGGGGTTTTTCCCAAATACTTTGGACCCACACTAGTAGGAAGGTGCCGCTACTCTTAGAATATCTTCTAGGCGGTGAAAGCTCAGTTCTTTATTCGATGGCTGCAGGCGCCAAGTCCCTTGCTTAGTTTACGCCTATTGACCGCCTAAAGTGCAAATTTTGGTCACTTAACAGGAGATCTGTCTCCCAGATTGCCGAATGACTCTCTGTGACTTGTTTCCATTGGCTGTAAGCATATATTTCCAGCCATATATACTATCCATACCTCCGATCACAATCCATCTCTAATGTCAACATCTTAAACCGCGTCTTCCTGACGACAAACACCTCTTGGCGCTCAGGAACAATCCGTTAGAATGAGGAGCGCAAGGCAAATTCGTATCCGACCTGAAACAAAATCCGATGCATCATCAATTGATGAAGTCACTTCAGCTGCATTTGCGAATGCTGAGCACACAGACCACAACGAGCAATCCATTGTCCGCGGCCTCCGCGGAGCGAACCATCTATCTGTCTCTCTAGTTGCAGAAGACGAAGTTACACAGACAATTGTGGGCCATGTCGCTGTCTCGCCTGTCAATATCTCGGATGGTAGTGAGAATTGGTACGGGCTAGGGCCCATCTCCGTATTGCCTGAGTACCAAGGGAACGGCATAGGGTCGATCTTAATAGAACGTGCGATGGCAGATATTCAGACTCGCCATGCGGCTGGGTGTGTTGTATTGGGAAGCCCGAAATACTACACGCGTTTTGGTTTCAAGGCAGAGCCTTCTCTGCAACTACCAGGAGTGGCACCAGAATATTTCATGGCTCTCACATGGCGTAAGCCAACACCTATTGGGACTGTAACATATCACAAAGCTTTCGAGGCGTCAGTATAGCTGGCGTATTGAGTTGGAAACATCGTCGGACCTCAATTCTTCATCGACAGTGAGGAGCCTAGCTATCCGGTAAGTTTGCTACAGACTTGGATATATAATACAGGCGTTATAATGAGTGTAGACCGGTATGAAAGCCGGCATTTCGGGATTGGCTTTTGGCGCGTTCTTCCTCCTCTGCCTGCTGGTCTACTACATCTTTGAGAACCGGCGCCGCGACGCCCTGTATGGTCCGCCGGCGCAGCTGACCGAGGAGGAGCAGGCCCAGGGATTGTCAAACAAGCCCGACCAGGAGATAGAGAGTTTCCGTTACCTTATGTAAATAGTGTTTGACATGACTAACTTTCCTGCGCCGTACCAAAAACCAAGCATGCAACTTTCATGTTATCTCTCCAATTTGTTTCACTTTTCAACCCGTTTCGTTTCAGGGCCACAGCGTGCGCAGCGCGCGTCACCAGTTGTTGACCCTGGCCAGGCATCAGGCCTCCCATAAGGCCTCCCCTAAGGCCTCACGAAAATGCGCTCTCATAGGCTGACGCGACAAGCCTACCATAAGCGAGCCAAAACTCAGCAATGATGATTCGTCTATACAGAATTAAGGTCGGAACTTTTCGGGGTTTCTTCGCATGGAAAGTATTTGCAAGCTGAAGCACTGCGTATGTACCCCTGCAACATTTTTCAGCTCGTCGATCTTCTCCATACCAAGAAGATGGCGGGGGGCCTAACACCCGACATGGCGTGTAGATCAATAACAGCCCAATTTTATATATAGCGAAGAGGTCATGCAAGGAATAAACATATCTTCAAGCCATCGACACAAAAACTTTAGTCTTGGAGGCCATGGTTAAGTTTAGTAGCGTCACTACAGGTGCACGCGCTCTTATCTCACTGGCTGCACTAAGTGCCCAGTCAGTAACAGCCTATGTTCCACTTTGGCAACCTCAGTACAAAAATGAGGCAGCCGCAACTGCGCGTGTCATTCAACTGAAGCATGCAGGTGATGCGACTGGTCACTTGCTAGCTACCTTCGAGCACTGGTACTACAAGCCCAATGATATCACGGTCTCAAATGGAACGGCGAGTAACTTCATCATTCAGGAAAGCAGCGACCAGGGCCGATCATGGAATACATTGGCAACAGTATCTGCTCCAGATGGTCTCCCAAATCTCTTCTATTACCAGCCCTTTTTGTTCGAATTCCCTCAGCAGCTTGGGAAATACCCTGCGGGTACTCTCCTTTTAGTCGGAAATTTACACGACGGAAATAGAACCGACTTCTACTCCTGGCGATCGGCGGATCATGGAAAGACATGGGACAACATAGGTGTCTGGCAAAGGGGACATACTATCACTGGGAAGCCTGGTAACCCCTCTGCCGGCATCTGAGAGCCTTTCTTGTACCTGGATAATCAGGACAACATTGTTGCGGTTTTCTCGGATGAGCGAGACTACGAGAAACACTCACAAAAACTCGTCCATCTCGTCTCCAAAGACGGAGGTGATAACTGGAGTGGTGATAGAGATGGCCGCCCTATTCCCGACGTCGTCAGCTCAGACCAGGTGATCCGGCCTGGAATGGCTACAGTCGCCAAGATGGACAATGGGGAGTATTTCATGAGCTATGAATGGTGTGATGTCAGATACTACAAAACAACTGGCACTTGCCCTGTCCATGGGAAGACATCCAAAGATGGCGTGACGTGGAACCCTAGCGACAATGGAACCTACGTGTCAACACCCGATGGCGTTTTGGGCTGTGGGAGCCCCTATTCCATTTGGGATCCCGTGGGGAAACAGTTGATCGTTTCCAGCTCACGTAAGAGGTGGTTTGATGCATCGGCTACGAAGAATGCTACTGACCCCACACTCGAGAATCACCATGTTGTCCATATCAACAAGAATTATGGAAAGGATGATTGGTACTGGGCCTCGGCCCCTTGGTACGTCCCACTTGCCGATAATTGCAACAGCAACTACAGTCCCGACCTGCTGTCTTTGCCGAATGGAGAAATCCTGTATTCAACGGATACGCCAGCCAAGGGCAAGCAATGTGAAGAGGGCACCCTTGCAGCACCAATCGCAACCTTGCCGTACAACTCGAACTTTTCAAGCGCTGGCGCGGCTAGCTGGATTGATTTCGACCAAATATGGTCCATTTATAAGGATCAATACGTCTTCCCGGCAGTCACCAAGCCAACGATTGCGCTTACAGGCTCTTCTGGGTGGACGAACTATGAGATCAGCGCGGATGTTATCATCACGAGCAAATCTGGCGTTGCGGGTGTCGTGGTGAGGGCATCTAATTCGCCCAACGATTCCCACTTGAGCAGGTATACGGCCGCCATTGACAGTAACAAGGGCGATCTTACTCTGTACCAAGTGGGTGATACTGCGACCACGACCTTGAAGTCGCAGCCAGTCTCTGGGGGTGTCAGAGCAAACCAACAATACCAATTGTCTCTTTCCGTCAAATCGACAAGTCTTGTTGCTACGTTGACTGGAAGTGGAGGTGTGAAAACTACTCTGAGTGTTACAAACAATGGCTTGCTACGGGGTGCTACAGGTCTGTATGGGGGCTACGGCAGTGGTGGATTCAGCAATGTCCAAATCAAGGATTTGTCCTGAGGTGGAATATGTTCATAATAGGCAAATCGCAGCTTATCCGCTATACTCTAGTGGCGACCTGTATTTCTCTGCCCCCCGAGTTATATTATATCCCTAATAGTAGTAGCTATATTCTCTAATTAGCTATAGGCTTTAATTTCCCTCTATTATATTCTTTATAATTAATACTTCTCTTATAAATACTATAGAAGATTTTAATAGATATAGTAGTTACCATATATAGTATAGAGAACTACTCACTATTCCTATAGGACTTTAAGGTAGGATAAGAAGCTATTATTTTCTMTATTAACTACTAATTATAAAGGACTAAAACTTAATTAAGATATATTCATATAGCTAGTTAATTAGTTAGTATTATATAGAGAAGATATATATAGATTATTAATACTAAATTAATATGCTAAAGTTTAGCAGAGTTTCCCCTAAAGTTTCCCCTAAAGTTTAGTAGGCCCTAACATGTTCCTGATTTAGTACTAGGTATATTTTATTAGTAGGGTTTAAGAAGTACAGCATACTTCAATGTCTACTATATATAGGAAGTCCCTTGTTCTTGTGAGACATTTACACTGTTTATTGTACGGGATTGTCTGTCTCCAGACGGTATTTTGGTTTCTGGCCAATCTGTGGTATTTACTCCCTGCTTTGCTTTGGCCAGCACATGCTCAGATTGACGGATCATTGCCTGCATGGAAGGTAAGCTCCTCGATGTTGAGGTTTCCACTGTTTTTAACCTAAAAGCAGTGGCTGTTCATTATCTACGGCCTGATCACTATGATCTGGGCAATCGTATTGCTCATTTTTCTCCCAGATTCCATTTTATCTGCGCGGCTCCTTAGAGAAGACGAACGACAGGCAGCAGAGGAGCGAACACAGACAGTCAGACCGGGACAAAGAACAATGTCATTCAGTGGCGTCAGGCCTGGGAGACTCTCTCGGACTACGGGATCTGGATCCTGCTTATCTTTGAGATAGCTAACAAGTCCCAACGGAGGACTTACAATGGTAAGTCTCTGATGGCTGCATGCGGGTTACTATCAGCGACTCAGTCCTAGTTTGGGGTTCTCGACCCTCCAATGTCTGCCTTTTGCAGATGCCTATGGGCGCAGTCCATGCCATGTTCGCTGTTGGAAGGTTGGTCCCTGCTAAGGCGCTCCTGAAACACACGAACTATACTGACTCTGGATTGATACAGCACTGTCCTTGCAGGTAAACTCCATGATAGTCGTTGTATCTTGGTGGCATGTTGCCCAATCATGGCGTGAGTGTATTGTCTCTGTTATATTCCCGGAAACTATTTAACGGCCTTCTATGCTTAGACTTGTTGGTTGTATGATTATCTACAGATGCGAAAACAAAGGCGCTCGTCTATTTAGAATGCTCATTTTCTCGGCTTGCGCAGCTGGAATCCCAATGACCCTGCTGATTATATCTTCCAATGTGGTAGGATTCACCAAGAAGGACAATATCAGCGCGATGATGTTCATTGCTTATTGCATTAGCAATATTGTTGGTCCATTTCTCTTCTCCGATGAAGCACCGGCGTACGATGTGAGTATGAGGCTAATTTCTTTGTTGCCTGGATGCTGGCATGCATTTAGAGTGGATTTATATTGATCATTATCTGCTTCTCCGTCGCTACAGTGCTTATTCTTGTATTGAGCTTCTGCTGGCGGTGGGAAAATCAACGACGGGGTCAACAGTACGGATCATCCGTTCCTATTACTGCCCATGAAGCAGGAAAGCCTGGTACCATTCCTGTAGCTGTAGAAGACCTGACAGATGTCGATAACCGCAACTTCCGTTACGTATTCTGAAGTGCGTTGCGCCGATTTCACAAGCCCTCGTAAGAGTTACCGTCGGCAAACATGAGCTTCGTAGAGTTACCCCAGGAGTTGGCTTATGAAGGTTCCATTGTACCTACTGTTCCAATTTGATATAGCAGCGTCTTAGATGACGCCTAGTTTACAATTTTCTGCCCTTTTTCATTTCCCGCCCACCACTGAATTTGCCATAACCAACAATAATCGCTCTACATACGTTTGCCACAAACCACAGTGTCTGGACAACTGGGAGGATGTCGTCCATGACAAGAGCATCGCGCCGCTGGACGACTAGCTTCGTTCATCTAGCTAGAATCAGCAAAAGCACTGACTCAGCGCTGGATCGGTGGAGATTGTAGTGCAGCTCTTGAAAACTCATAGCTAAGGCTTAAAGCTCCAAAAAGTATAGTTGCCTAGCCTCATAACCAGAGCCTAATGTTAACATGAGCTGCACGCATCTGTGGAAGAATGAAAGAAGAGACTGTCAACTCACATAATAGTTTTTCGGTAAAGGTCCAGCGCTACTGCTATTATTTTGGTCGCTGCGAAAGAATAGGAGATGTATAAATAAGGCAAGCTGAACAGGGTTATGGGGTACCCCAGTCAACAACAGAAGTTTATGTCTGGTTGAGATTCATCTACAATAATTATATATCCTGCATAATTACTACACTCGGTTTGTCTGCCCCTACGGGACTTCAAGTCAGAAGCGACACAATGAGCGATACTTCATCTCTAGATGTTTCAAGCGATCACCGTGTCAAAGCCTGTTCACGAAACTGAAACGACATGTTAAGGACGTGAGAAAGGAATGGGGACCACTTCTTGCCGCCAAGGAGCGCTGGGAGGATGAATACAACTTCCCTCAAGGCAGATCTGCAAGCCAAGGACCGGCACCAGCGAGTTTGAAGTGAGTCAAAGCACTGCCAAGTCAGAGTTTTCATGTGTGCTCCATATTAACCTCAGTGAAGTACTCGCTAGGTACGCAGGTTCCCGTTATTCAAGATGGACACACTTCTGCACACTCCCAGTTTCCATAGCTGTATATAAACCTGGGCTCCAAATAGAGACCTAGAAGGAAAGGGTTGCGCTCATTCTCACTATCCTAATTCATGTGCGCAGGGGTGAAGGTATTGTATACTGGAAGAGATGTTATGTGAGATGGATCTTGCGGTCATATATGTTTATTGAACCTCATAGAAAATCTCAGGAAGTAAATCAGTCTGAAAATTGAACAATAATTGTTCCACCTCAGACCTGTCCTGCTGAAAGAGAACCACATAACAGTGCCTGTGCGGCTTCATTGGGCTTAGATCGGCACCAGTCTTGGATATATCAAAGTTAGATAATCAAAGAGGTCCAGCGCCAATATCTTTTTAGCTCAGGAATGAGTGGCAAGCCTAAGGAGTTGTTGCTAGCCATTATAACTTTTTCGCGCATATGCTTGGTAGAAGATGCACTTAACTGGAAAGAAGCAGCGGGTCTTTTGTATATTGTATAAGCTAATCTTCCCTTTTTGGCCCTCTCCTTTCAATGGAACCACGAGTTGTTATTACAAAACCCCCCCTTTTTGGTAGTATATCATGTAGAAAGTTCAGCGTTGTTCAGGCCCCGGCATTCGCTGGACACCTCGTCGTCTTTATGCCGGCTTGCAATATTTGAGACTATTAACGAGTACTAGAAGAAGCGCGCCACCGTCATGCGCGTGATTTCTTCGACAGCTATGGCAATGGCTAAGGACGAGAGGCAACCAGCTTTGAGTCTGAGTAGCTCACACGATTTGGTATATGCCGTACTTGGGGAGGTGGTGAACCCAAGCCGGTCTACAGGGCTTGTTTTTTATTAGTAGTTCTATTGTTAAAATACCCTGTGATACCTGTACACAATCTTGCATCTTTGAGACTTCCAAAATGTCATCGACAGCCATGATCAGGGTCACTTCCAGATCCCTGCTGTCTTGATCTCCACGTAATTACTGCGAAATATTGCTGCCTAATTTTCTTGGTTGAAACTGAAATATATACAACCCTCAACTTGACTTACAACCGACTGAATCTATGAACCTACCTTGTTGTGCCAAAGTATACATTCTAAATCTCTCTTTGAATTAACCATGCTCTCCTATACTGGTAGCGGTTCTTATTGTTACGCCTACAGCCTTTACATGGTTCTCCTTGCTTCAGGCTACGAACCGCAGTCACTACCCTCGGCTGGTTTTATTGAGTGTCTTACACTGATGCCCTTCGGTAAACTGTTCATCAATCTTAAAACTGGGCCGCTTTCTTTCTTCAGTAATCCATACATTACACCAGACGAAGGCATTACTCAGGCTCTTAAAACAATGGGCTGGGAGTGCGAGAACCACCGCGGCGGAGATCCGCCTTCAGCACTGTCTTCGCTGCGTGAAGCTGTGGCCCATGGGCCTGTACTCGCTGGCCCTCTAAATATGGGCCACCTCACTTACAACCCCGACTACAAGACGCTAAGCGGAGCGGATCACTTCGTCGCTGTGATGAAAGTGGATGACGACAACGGTACGGTTTTGCTGCACGACCCAGCGGGCTATCCAGCGGTGGTTCTACCAGTGGCGGAATTTGTCGAGGCATGGCGCGGCGAAGGTGTAGAGTACATTGACCAGCCATTTGTGTTCCGTTCCCATTTCCGCCGCGTTGATCATGTCCCCCGCGCAGAGATGGTTGCACGGACGGTTTACATGATTCGCAAGCAGATTGAGGATGAAGTTAAGTTTCCTGATTGCTTCGGTGGGGTTTCGGCGTTGCGATTGACGGCAGAGGCTGTGGCAGCAGCGGTTCCTAGCGTGGTGAACGACCTCGCTCCATTCACATTCCCACTGGCGGCGAGGCGCTACCTAGATGCTAGGGACTTTTTGGCCGAGGCTGGCCTAACCGACGCTGCTGGAATCATGGAGCAACAGGCATTGTTGGCTGGGAAGGCCCAATATCTGGCTGTACATGGAAAGTGGAAGGATGTTATCATGATTCTAGATGGCTTTGCAGAGCTGGAAGATGAGCTAATTAAATGTATTAGAGCAGGGGTATAATGGGGATTTCGTGTTCATCTGGCAGGAGCTGCCTGTGTTCCTCTGGCTTCACCTGAGAATACATTATCACCTGCTGAATTCAAAGAGGCTCTCCACTGAGATAATTGGCTGCGTACAGGAGACTTGAGATCTCACCAGGCTTTCACTGTTATTTGGGAGATGTGCGCCGTCTAGCAAAACCTCGATTTGAACCGCCTAGAAGACCACTGCAATCTATGCCATGTCCAGTGTCTCTGTTGGGGGTAACTCGAGCGCGGACTAGAAATCTATGGTCTGAGAGTCCCAGTCTATAACGTCACCGTCAACAAATTCCGCGTTACACCCCAAACACTATAATGTCTCATCAATAGGAGAGGTGATCATATTAAAAGTAGGGTTGACACGGGGAGTATTACCGAGATTCATCCATCACTACCTCTACTACGAGGAAAGGTATCTGGGTCGGTTACCGTCACTTCAATGCTCGGGGCATCGAACCCCTGTATCTGTTTGGTCACGGCTTGTCATATACTTACTACCTTGGAGTATTCCGACCTCACAGAAACGCCGTCCACGTCATCTTCTCCAGACTCATGGCGCATCTCTGTTTCTGCCAGAGTGCCCAATACTGGCACAGTACCTGCTGCTCATTCCATTCACTTCTACAGTAGTCCACCCCCACCAACAATGGCTTCCCTCACGCCTCCTGATGTCCATCATCCATCTCTAGGACGCGCTGTACCACCTCCAAGAAAAGAGTTGTCACTCCATACATAATTTTTATTCTCTTAAACCACTTCACAAATATAGACTTTGCACGCAGATATGGATCGCCGGAATCCTTCATATCCGAGGGTGGGTGGTGGTAGTTATGGTTATGAAAAGGACTTCCCTGCAGGAGAAGCTCCTCGTCTGTGCTGGAAGCACGATCCCATTCTATCCCTTCCACCTGAGTCTCACAATGCGCTTAAGCTTGTCCACCACCTCCTGCATTGTTGGCCATAGGTAGTTGACCGGGCTTTCAGAGCCAGTGAAGATAAAGATATCGTACACCGCCGCTCCAGTCATGGCGCCCGCCAAGTCTCCTCCCCAGCAGCCACCTATCCACCACCAGTTTTGGAAAGTTTGCGGTCCATAGCCAACCATCAGTGCGACGAGTCTAGTTGCCATGTCTCTCATCGGGTTCATACATGGTCCGGTATTGTAACCTAAAGTGAGACCGATCAATGTAGAGACGAATCCGATGATCAGAGCATTCATACCCGCACCAGGCGGAGAGTTTTGGTCATCCCCGAGGGCAAAGACGATGCAGACAAATGTTGCAATGGAGATAAACTCGCTCCAAAAAGCCGAGGAAACACTGATTTCCCTCTTGGGGATCGTATAGAATGATTGACCGGTCAAGCTTGTCAGACCTGGGTCATTGGTGTGGATGGCATCGTGATAGACCGAATATGCGAGCCCGCCAGCTGTGAGACTGCCAAACAGCTGAGCCAGCATGTAGACCCATACTTTATGCCATGGGAAGCCGCGATACACTGCCAGCACGATGGAAATAATGGGGTTTATGTGTGCACCGCTAACCCCACCTGCCAGGTATATTCCAGCCATTGTTGCGAGGCCATTTGTCCAGCACAGGGTCTCGAAGGTGCCGTAGGACCGATTGAACCTGTAACTGAGGTTCCCGCAAATTGCAAGGAAGACTGTGATTGTTGTCTGGGATGTAGGTCAGTAATGAAGCGCTATACATCCCCTGTATCGGTTCACTCACAGCAAGATACTCAGCGAGTATCTCCGGATATCGTGCTCTAAATTGAGCAAAAGCATTCCTATGCCGGTCATAGCTAGCTTGCCGGTTCTCTGCTTCTTCTTCTTCTTCTTCTTTTCCCTCCTCCTTTTTTCCCTTTTTTCCCTCTTCTGCAGCTTCTTTTTTGTTCTTTGGTCTTATTTTCGGCGATTGAGGTTCATCGGCATCCAATTCGGAGCGTCGCTTCTCGGATGATACCCTATCTAATTTCTCTTCCGCCGCAGCATCTTGCGAACCCAAGCGCGCAGCGTCCCTATGAATCTGAATAAGCTTTAGACCGATCACAAAACTTTCCAGTCCTTTTGACTTTACCTATGTCTGCCTCTCTGGTAACCCTCTCCCTGTCCTTCTCCACGCCCTTCTCCCTTCTCGACATCGGGTTCACGTTTATAGCGTGCCTCGTGTTCTCGCTTGTCATGCCGACTGGCCTGGCCATGCCTCACCGTGTGCGGAAGGGACTCTGCTAGACCAAAAACTGGTGATGACCGAGGCTGACCGTACCAGGGATTGTTACTCGCGTAGTCGCTCGATGCGTAGCCCTTGTACCGCTGATCCGGCCTGAAGTCTTCTGTAGCAGCTGGAGGGTCATCTCTGGGGCGCCGACTTGTGGACCTAAGCGCGGATCTATGCAGATGCGACTGAGAGTGTCCTAAATCATCTGTCATCATGTTAGCAAAGCCAAATGATCGCTTTAGGGAATAATCGACGATGCCACCCTACCTTCTGCTAGTGACATTGTATTGTTTCAAACTCTTGGTGCCTTGGTTTGCTGAGGATGCATTCGCTTTCAAAAGTTGGAAATACTTTGAAAGATCGTGGCAGGTTCAGGTGAATAGAATCGGATCAGAGGTACTCGATGCCTCTCTAAAATATCTGGGGAATTTACTCTGCTGCGTGGCATACGTCAAGAGTGCGTAGCATTGTTATACTTCCTCAAGATCTGGCTGAATTTCAGCCTCCATTGTGAGTTGTATAGATTCTGGAATTTACCTGCGTCACTTCCTAGCTTGATGGCCCCATATTTGATACCTTGTTCCCTTGGCACTTCAGTTTTGACTTTCAGCATATAATGAAACCTGACGCCCTTCCCTTATTTTAATATTCTTCCTCTGGCATTTCCACTTGAACTTTCAGCATATAATAAAACCTAATGCTTGCTTCCCCCTCTTGGACAGAAGATCTCTGAACAAAAGAGTTCGAAGCACGTTGTGAATAAGCGCTTCCAAGTGTATATCAGGTAACGGAGTATAATCTTATCACTTAATAAGAAGGCTTCTCTAACCTTGGGGAAGTTGTATGTCGATGTAAATTTGGTTCTTCAAACCCCACTGTTCATGATAATGGCTGGCTGGAATTCCCTGCCGTCTTTGTGGGGGTGGGGAGTCTGGAGGCGGGGCCGCATTCTCTCTTACGTATGTTGTTTGCGCTAGGTTTTCTTGCTACAGGATGAGATTGGCTGACCCAGTCCGGAAATTCACATCCGACCCACCCAATTCGAAGTTTGGGTTGGATCTAGGTAGGCCTGATCCGACCCACAGTGTCACGTGGCGAGCAGCGCGAGCCTCCGTTGCAGGCCTCGTTTGATAGTTTCTCCGAACTCCATGTATAGGAAACAAACAGCTTTGAGAGAACAAAAGCGATTCGTTCTAATCGTTAGAATACATACATTTTACTTAGTGAACCTATATCATCTCAAAACACCGTAATCATAGCAGTGACTCGCAGCCTAGTTGACGGCCTCTCGCTGGCTAGGAACCCCTGGGCCTTAAGCAGTTAACCTCCGGCTTGTTTACACACATGGACTAAGGCGTCTAAGAATTAATAAGCTTATCTAGCCTAATCTAGGCCTAGATAGGGATATATTTATATATATATAGGTAGAGAATAATTGTATCTACATATATATGAAATAAAATATCAGGTATTAATCTAAAACCGGATTCTATAGGAGACACAAATCAAAAAAGGAAAAAAAAAAAAAAAATTTGTAGTATATACGAATAGTAGACATTTAATTGATTCATGCAAGTTATCTAGGCCTGGCACACAACAAAAGTCTCTGAAAACTTGTTAAATGCTTCTGCACACTTCTCTCGATAGCGCGGTATTCCACCAAAATAGTAGACTGAGCAATTCTACCTTTTTGCCTGGGATATTAGCACCCATGTACCACGACTTCGCCTTCGGATAGCGTCATATTAGCGATGAATTCCATCTCCGCCTTCCATGCCTGAGCCCCCTCGGGACTCGGGTCGATATATTCGATTTTCTCTCCCTTCAATTTTTCAAATGTAATGTCCCGAATAAAGTCGGCTTGGAACTCAATGCCCACCGGGCCGTTCGAGAATGGGCTCGGAGCATGGACAGAGTACGGCAGGAACATATTGGGAAAGCCTGGCACCATGAGGCCCTGGAAGGTCAAGACTCCGTCTCGCCAGCGCTCACTCAGTTTCACGCCGTTCACGTCTTGAATGCCCATTTTGGCCAGGCCGCCAGTCGTCGCGTCAAAGCCTGTTGCAAGAGCGATGATGTCCACCTCGAATACCTTGCCATCGTCGGTCATGATACCTTGCGGTGTCCGCTGCACAATGGGATGCTCCTTTGTATTGACGAGGTGGACATTGGCCTTATTGAACTGCTCATAGTAGTCCTGTTCTAGCGAGGGAGGCTTGGTCCCAAATGGATGTGGTGGCTCTAGAGGTTCCAACAAGTCGCGTTTGACCGGGTCGTGGATGCGCTCGCGGGTTCGCTTGGCCCAGTAGTCATACGCCGCGCGGTTCCCTTCCGGGTTCAAAAGAGATCGGCCGTCTCGTCTCTCATCCGCTCTTGGCTGCGTTTGTCAAGCTTCTGCTGGCGCATGGGCAGGGCGAGACTCGGGGTTCGCTGGAATACAAAGGTCTCCGTGGCCTCCTTGGCCCATTCCTGGGTAATTTGTAGCCCCGTCGATCCGGAGCCAATGACCGCGACGCGCTTCCCTCTAACATCGACAGGCTCCTGCGGCCAGGTCGAGGTATGGTGAATGATGCCCTGGAAATCCTCCAGACCTTTCCAGTCGGGGATGTACTGCTGGGTCGTGAAGCCGATTGCCGGAATAAAGTACTTTGCGACCGCCCTGATGCCGTTCTCGGTCTGCACCGTCCACTTTCCATCGCTGGATTGAAATGGTCCGCAGGCAGTGATCCGCGCGTTGAAAATGCAGTCTTTCCTCACCGAAAGCACTTCGTCGACGTGGCGGAAATAAGCGCCCAACTCTTTCTGCTCTGGATCTGACCAAGTCCAGTTCTTCCAGACTTCCTCTATCCCAAATGCATATACCGGGGCGGGGCAATCCACGCGAGCCCCGGGGTAGGTATTCCAATACCAAGTCCAACCTACATCGGGGCCGGCTCCAAGGATTTTGGAGTTTAATTTTAATCCGTCCCTGAGCCTATGAAGAATATAGATGCCGGAGAACCCCGCTCCCGCAATGACTGCATCTAGCTCTATTGGTTGGTCTTGCAAAGTGGACGACATTATGAGAAAAGGATGAATGTGGACCCACGCAACTTCGGATTCACAGGCTGAAGAGGATAATTTTCACAGCTGCACACTCAGTGAGAGTGACTGCAGGATATATGTTAAAGAAGGTAAGAGAAAGAATTAGAGAAGCTTCACTGACTGTGAATTTTTCAGACTTCGTCAGACTGCCTCGGCTGTGCAAGGGTCCATCGACTAACCTGAACACATGAATAACCATGCATCATGCAGGACGTAGATAAATCTTTTGACTAGCAGAATATTATGTCTTCGTCAGAGTGGTTGAAAACTTGGTTATGGAACACTGTACAGTGGCGATCCTCTATGTATCTGAACCTAAGTACTTTCCCAACATTCTGCCAGATTTTCTGCCACGCTTCAAACCTCCAATTTCCGTTGAGCTCTGACTGATATTTCTTGTACCATTCTTCGTCGCTTATAATCTCTTCTGCTCTACGCGGCATTGTAGTTAATGCAAATCTATGTCCAGATCAATGCTAAGCGTCCGGCAGTCGTAGAGGGAAGTAGGCTGTGTGGATAAGGCGGTCAGGAAGCAGAGATACTAGGGTACAAATACTTGTGGTCAGTCACTGTACTTATCTAATTATACGCAGCGTATATACAAAAGAAATAGGGCATATTCGATATAGCTGCTCGGAGAGTTAGATCGGTTTTCCTGCTATTCATTGGACGCCTTAGGCCTCCAGTCCACTGCAGATCTACCCCCTCTCGGATGAAATCGGGCAGAACCCCCCTCACATAAATGAAAAAAACTGCAGCGTCAAGTATACGATTTTCCCTACGTGCCTAGAAAGGATATTATCCCTGGTACGCTGTTCATATCTCGTTGAAATGGTCAAAGTTGCGGTTGCAGGTGGCACCAGCAGTAAGTTCTAATAAGTACCTAATCATGGATTCTTTTGCAGCATCACTTAAAGCGTTAGTAGGCGTTGCACGTGAGGTCATAGAGGTCCTTGTTTCTCAAAAGCATGATATTATAGTTCTGTCCAGGAATGAATGGGTACAGTTTTTCTGCTTCAGTAGCTTAGGCTTTTAACTGACCAAGCTCACGAGGTTACACCAGGCGTAGACTGGGCACAGGAGGACTACAACAACCCAAAAGAATGGGAAGAAACCCTTCGTGGAGTCCATACTCTGCTGTCATTTGTCGTTATACAAGATGACCCAAGAAGCATGGCACAAAAAAATCTCATCGATGCTGCCGTGCGAGCCGGTGTAAAACGATTTGCTCCCAGCGAATGGGCTACGTCAGTTATTCAACCTCCGATATTGCGTGCAGTATTTGACCCTGCTCAGATCTAGTTTGGAATATATGCGCTGGTATGCTTAGAAGGAAGAAACTCGGCGATATCTCGAAGAGCAGAACAGGCAGCAGACTGTAAGCGCCCATAACAGGAAGACGCGCACACATCTTAATTATAATCAACAGGTTCTCGAGTACACACTATTCCAGCCAGGTTTATTTATAAACTATCTCACGACCCCCTTCAAGTCTGCAGCCCACCTTCATCAGACGGAACTTCCATTCGATTTTAACAACCGCCGAGCCATTGTGCCAGAGAACTATGACCAAATCTATGTCACGCTCACGAAAGTGCAGGATCTTGCACAAGTCGTTGCTAGAGCTATTAGCTTTGAGGGCAAGTGGCCTGTGGTTGGGGGCGTCAAAGGCACTGATATATCCCTGAAGCAACTAATCTCCGTTGGGGAGAAAGTCCGCGGTATGAGTCCAGACGATTCCTATGACAGAGGCAACTAACACCAGAATCAGGTGGTCAGCCTTTCCAAATTGAGACTGTGAAGCCACGGGATTTGGAGAGTGGGGCATGGTCAGCGTCGTGGACGCCGAGATTCAGCCACCCTGCAATACCTCCTGAACTAGTGAGCGATACGCTCTCTAAAACGGTGGTTTCAGGTATCTTGCTAGGGATCTCTGGTGGATGCTTCAAGGCCTCAGATGAATGGAACCAGCTACTGCATGACTATGAGTTTACTACGGCCGAGGACTTTTTGACCGAGGCCTGGACTGGGAAACCTTAGGCTTTGAAAGCGGTCCACTGGAGTTAATACTAAAGGCTTGGAAGCCTTAGTAAGACTTGATTGTTTCGTACAAGACGTAGCTTGGTTTGAATCTGTCATGCTGTTTATGGTTAGCCCAGAAGTTCCGAATATGCCACTCTACTAAATAATATTTGGTGTTCGATAACTTTCTCGCTGGCAGCGACGGCTGCGCCTATCCTTCCAGCCCTCTTCTTGAGGCAATGTATGCTGTAGAATGACCCCCTCTCTATGTTCCTGAGGCATGATGGCAGTGGGCGTTGTGCTTAGCGATTGGCCAGATCTAGCGATACTCGACAATTGCAACCCTGGTGTACGGTCAACCTCAGCTACACTGACAGCATTGCGTTGCAAGCTTGATTCAACTTAATAAATACAGGGATCTTCCATTGCTTATATGTCTAGGAATCGCTGCTTTACAGTGGCTTGGATTATAGTGGGCCTTAGGCACCCCAGATGAAGCAAATGCTGTCCTGTAATGGGCTCAGTGATGGGAAACCTTGATCATCTCAGCTGAAGCGGGCTTCAAAAGAAGAAATGATAGACTCAGAAGCTACMGCGGAATGTCCAGGGTGGTGATTCACTCGGCTGGCCTGAAGTGGCCGGAGCTTCTATTTGAATCATCTATAAATTCTGTTTTTTGTCCATCGAGCAGCTTTCTTGACAACTTGAATCACTCATTGACTATCGATAACCAAGAACAAAGCGCCATCAGGTACTATTCCAGAAGCAATTCAAAGATGCGTTTGACTTCTGCAATATCGCTCGTGATGCCCATGGCCATACTCGGAATATCGACCATTCAAGGGGCAGCGGCGAAGTGCTCAGATGGGCTTGTGAACGTTGTCTTTAACACCGGTTACGGTGGCTATACAAACAGCGATGGGAGAAGATCCATTCCGCTTCCAATTGGCTTACGTTCGATTTTGGACTCGAGGACAAGCAAATCCCAATGCTAGGCAACAACAATACGTCTATTCAGCACGCTATTGACGTGGTTAACGGCCCAAATCCGCCAGATTTCATGCTCACATTCAACAAGCCCGACAACCTTTATGGCTCGAATCCGAGAAAAGTCATATTGCAACCTGAAGAAGCCGCCAATCTTATTAAACCATTGTTGCACAAACGCGGAAACCATACAAAATTCATCGCACCCGTGCCGGCCTTCGGAAAGCTCACCTGGCTTCCTGAGTTCTATGGTAACTGCAGTTGCCAAGACTTCTTCTCAGCATACAACATCCATATCTATAACAAAACCGTCGAAGAAGCCAAAGATCGAATCAACGCTTTCCACCAGAAGTGGAACGACAAGCCTTTGTGGATTACCGAGATCGCACCGGGGCCACACGGGAGCATGTCCGAATCCCATTCCCTGCGACCACACCACCAAGTTCATGCAAAAAATCTACGCCTGGGGGCAGAAAACTGAATGGATCCTCAAGATATTTTGGAACTCGGCCAATGAGATCAACTGTACTGACCCGAACGTGGCTGCCTCGTTCCTGCTTGATTTTAAGAATAACTCGACGCCACTCTCGGATCCTTTCAATAAGTTGACTTGTTCCTGAAGTTACCTGCATCTGCCTATGCTGGGCGGCAGCTAAAGCCAGGCTATGCCACTTTCTGCTGAAGTATTTCCACTTCTGGGGTCTCGTTTCGGGCCTTCGTGCTTTTCATAAGAGGGTTGACTATCGTCCAATATGATTCCGCTGCTAGCAGGTGGGTAAGACCTGAGACAAAAGCTCATTCTTTTGGAACGTTTTGTACGGTTCTCTTGTTTCGGATCATTCCATTAATTTTTTTATCTGCCACATGGATATATACTGCTTGTCCTTCACTCTTCATCCACCTCAAATACACGCACAGCCATTACCAAAGCACTAGGGCGGGATGGCACCAAACCTGCCCTCTTCCACGCAAGTTTATTCAGGATATGATCCTGATAGGGCTGCACACGAATAAGGATTTTTCTTATTCGTATTCGTAGATTTCCTTCAGCTCATTATTCGTATTCGACTAGCTAGTTGGGTAACTTTATTTGTATTCGATTCGTATTATTCGTAAACTTTGCCGAGACTTTGTTATACAAGCGCGTCGCATGACTACGCGAAAATGTGGTTCAATTTAGGCGCGTTTTCTCAAAGAAACAACTCTTGAGCCGTGCGATGGATGATTTTATAGGGTCTCAACTCAAACGGCCACATCGAGCTCGGCGAATTGACTACCTTGCTCTCAACGATGGCATCGACGAAGAGGTCCCGCCAGAAGACCGTATTATCGAAACACCTTCGAAGAATGCACGCGGTAGCGTTGAACCTATTGACCCTGATGACTGCAAGCCAATTAACCCGGGCTCGAAGTCCGCTTTCATTGACCTACCAACAAACGAACAGACTGATTATTGTTTACCTGACGCGGTCAGCATCTCCCCTGAAATAGGCCTTTCTGCTCGAAGAAGGCCACAGAATCAGGCTCTCTGGGCGCAGTTCGATTCCTTTCCGCTCCCAGGAAGGGGAGGATTACTAAAAGGCGAAACTCGAGCTCAAAAGCTCCAAAGTTCTTTATGCTCATAAACTGGGTGACTCGATCAGATATATAGCCACATGCAAGGCTAGATTGAAGCCCTGAACAACCGGCCCTGTGTTCAGATAGCCCAGCTGGGCTGAATTCGTGGAGTATGGTGGAGGTGAAAAAATCAGAGCCAATACGAAGCTGACAACAATATTCCAAAGTTGAGCAAAGCCACCGATAATAGTGGCCCGCGCCTGGCACATTCTTGCTGACCTTTCCTGTAACGGACAAGGACAAGGAGCACATGGCTGGCTTCATGGAATGAACTAATGGGCCGTCAACTCAGACCCTAATTAAGGTCGCGTGGGTCAACCGTCTCGCAATTATCGCGGACAAAAGAGCCGACACGCTTTTATCACACCGCTGGGTCGCCAATCAAGCGCTCTTTCACGTCGACCTTCTCCGCCATCGGACAGTAAATATAGCTAACTCACTGGCACAGTAATTACTACATCTGCCTGCAAGGCCCTGTCCTCCGCGTTCGAATCCTTGCGGCGCGACAAGATGAAGATCTCACTTATGATCATTTAAACTACGGCAGTAGCACACGTCCTTTATTTTCACGTTGAGTCCAGCAGTTCAATGCAAACGGCGGATCATTGCGGATGGAGCCGCTAGGCACTGAAGAAAGAATGCGAAGTTGGAACTTTGTATGGTGATTGTTCGGAGACATTCTTTATTCTCGTACGATGACCACGATGCCCGACGCCATCTCATGGTAAGGGCTGGTCTGTTGGCCTCCTATGACTCATGACGTGGGTGAAGGATATTAGTCCGAAACAATTATCATGAGATTCGGCTAGAATAAATCAATGATTTATGGGCCACCGAGTTGAACTGGTGTCAATAGATTATTTACATTACATTACATACTCAGAGCTGACTTTACTGCTGAGCAAGGGCGCTACTCGTCCTCTAGTGACAGTACAGCTTTCCGCACTGCATCTGAGCCCGGTGTCCTGTCGAACTGTGACACTCAACGCGTAGCCAGATTATTGCCTTAAGCCTTAAAAGGCATTCAATTTGGGTTGCAATCTGTGTATTAGCTCATCTCGCCCTTCCGCGAGACTTGCATTTGGCCCTTTGGACCCTTTGATCAATTTCTTAATGCACTATGCCGGTTGAATCCCCTTTCCCAGTATAGTCTTCTCCCCAAATTCTTGCTCAGCAACTTGATACAAAGGTAGCACCTGGAAATACCCATTGCCAGCTGTACCAACCCCCTCCCATGTGATTCGAGCCTCGTCCTCGCCGATTGTTGTCAGCGGTATACCCGTTCCGGCCGAACTTGCGTCTGCCAACAGCTGAATCTGGCAGCATCGCTCAAAAAGCACGAACCATGCAACAGTAGCCTCAATACTAGGCCCAACAGTGAGGATACCGTGATTTCCTAGAATCGCAGCTTTCTTATTGCCAAGGACTCTGGCAATGGCCTCACCTTCTTCGGGAGCCAATACAAGGCCTGCAAAATTTTCGCACCGTACGTGATCATTCCAGAAAACACAGAAATCCTGTGTTAGCATCGAGAGTGTCCGTCCAGTTGCAGCAATCGCTCGTCCGCTGACGCACTCTTCAACATTCTAGAGATCCCATTCCTACCCTTGGGCTTCCACTGCGGCAACGATTTTGTGCTAAATGTCACCGAGCCGATCCTCATATGGGGCGGCGCTAGTGCCGTCAGCGTTGCAGCCATTCAGCTCGCAAAAGTGGCTGGCTTGAAGCCTATAATCGTTACTGCGTCGCCGCAAAATTATGAACAGCTGCGCAAGTATGGCGCCGACCACTGCATCAACTACTCTGACGACAGCATTGTTGAGCGTATCAGGGCCATCCTTGAGACCCACGGAAAGACGCTGCGCTATATATTCGACACGGTTGGCATCCAAAGGGAAGGTTACTCATCGCCAGCGCTTTGCGAGGAGTGCATTCCCTCATCTAAATCGAATGGCACCCGCTTTGTGTGCTGCGTCCCTGTCGTCGGGAACCCGCGATGGTACATGGCGCTGGCATGCAGAAACATTCCGTTCCCAAACCCAGGGCCTAATGGCAACACGGTTGTGTACGAGGCGCGCCCTGTCTGGGAGAGGCGGCTGATGCACACTGTCCTCTGGGCTGCTAGAGAGTACGAGAAGGCATTCTTCATGCCGCCTCTCGAGGTCGTCAACGGAGCAGAGGCTGGCCTGCAGGCCATTAAACAGAGTGCCGCCGGAAAGATATCTTTCAAAAGATTGTAATTGAACACCCGTTATAAGTGCTCAGCGCGTGGAGGACTACTATCCCCTATCGTCAATGAAAGTGACTATTCATGGAAAGACTATCCCGGGATTGGATGTATTCTCCTAGATCACGGGCTAGAAGACATCACAATTGCATAATTTTTTTTTTTTTTTTTTTTTTTTTTTTTTTTTTTTTTTTTTTTTTTTTTTTAATATGTCTAAAACCGTACTTAACAGTATACTTTGACTGCCATCTTGTAGCTTTTCTCAACTAGCCCAAGCCCGCGAGAACAAAATATCAAATCCAGTATATCTATGTAGGATAGTACAGGCTTGCTGCTAGTAGTCGAGGTTACTATCTCAGTGTACAAATTAGAGCCCATTCTAATCCATTGAGGTAGTGTAGTGTAAGAAAGACAGGGACATCGACGGAGGGGGAAAGACGATGAGCTAGATTACAGCACTGGATGATTCTTCAAGGCTCGAGCTATTGTTCCATTGTTGCGTGGCCCAGCCCAGCTGAAACAAGCAATCTCCTATATGGCCACTTCTGTCTTTCTCGAGCCCACTGCTGCTACAGTATTCAATGGTCTCACCTAGTGTTCATTGAACCAACTCTCTTGCGCTTTTAGAGCGATGTCAACTGCTGTCCGACCGGAATTTTCAGCGGCTCCCCCTGCCCGGGAATAATGACGTCGGGGTCAATAGACTTGAGCAGCCTAACTGGTGAAAGTAACCCCATAGCCTTATATAGGGGGTTTAGGAGTGCTCCCTAAGCTTAGGATAAAAAGTGGTGCGGAGATATGTATCTTACCATCACTATCCTAATCACTATTATCTAAAATATAAAATTAACCATAACTCTAGTTTTCCTTAGTAAAGCTAATGTTTATTTTTTATATATATATCCCTATATAGGCCTAGATTAGGTTAGATAAGCTTATTAGTTCTTAGAGGTCTTGGGTCATATGTACCTAATGGTTTAACCTATGTCTATATAGAACAGGTTCACCCATATCCACATGGGTTGGATATGGATTTGCGGATTGGGTCAGGGTTAGGGATTGTAATTAGTCGGCGTAGAACCTCTAGGGGCGCCGATGGAGGAATAGGTTGAATATCAGTAATCATGATTTCCGTATAGCCTCATGCTTTAACGACCCGCTATATTTATTCCTTAGTTTATAGTATCTGACCTTTTATAATATCGGCTATGAAGGGCTAAAGCCAGACTTAATTCGATCCAACTAGGCCCGATATAATCTACTAAAAGCTTAGGAAAAGACGAGGTTTGGGACAGCAAATCCAGTGTATGACATCGTCCTTGATTGGTGATCGGGTACTACAGCCATCTTTTGGGTGTAGATAGGTCAAAGTTCACGTGCATTTAGTAAAACTATACATACTAACTTCAGTCTATTTGGGAGGACCGCTGTTTTCAATATCAAAGAAGGAGTGAGCAACATTTACAGCCAACTAAAACTAATAGATGAGGACATGCCAACTGTATGTTAGAGGTTAATAAGGAATGTTAGGAACTTCATAGTCCATGCCAGGTGCAATTAGCAGTAACCAGAGCCCTTTTTCGTGGAAAAAAGTAATTATGCTTTCCATGGCATAAATTTCGAGACATTTGTAGCATGATTTAAGCTGTATCATGTCTGTGAGTGGGTGATCTTTTTTCCTGCCAGGTATACATTGCGTATGTCCTGGTTAAGTATGGGAGCATTGTAAGGGAATAAAGGCCACAGATAGGTTAGGTTTCTTTCAGAGAAACATGCCTGTTATTGATAAAGGTGTCGATATTTCGCCTATTGGCAGGAATCGGGGTGGAGGTGGCGGACTGGCTTATGGGATAGGTTAACTTTATTCTCCAGTGTGTCTAAACGCGAGTGATCCTACAAACAGTGGAATGAGCTTCCTTACATGAAGCGGACTGCGTGTAATACTCCAAGATTGTAAGGAAGCGCGGTTTTCCAGTTGAATAGATCCCTAGAATGTCCCTTATGCACCAACCAGAATCAGGTACGCTGTGCAGTATCTAATGCTAAGCAATGTATTGTTACTCCGCATTAAGTACCAGCGTAAAACCGCCAAGCTCTTCCATTATATAAGTTATAGAAAGAGAATGTAGTGGAGTATTTCTATACATATAATGTGGAATCCTGATGTTTAAATCCACCATCTCTGCTGAGCCTAGTATCAATGATTCTAGCCAGTAATCATTTGAGTTTCCTTGCTCACAATTTCTCATATCGCATTGCATATCCATAAACATCCGTCTTTGTGGTAGGGGACGAATACAAGAAATGGCGCTCGTTATACACACGCTTCCACCCCTTTGGAATACCGAACTCCGCAACAGCTTGCACATGATTGGCATTGAAAGTCATATCTCCATGTTTCCGCTTGATCTCTTGAATGTAAGCGTCGTCGAGGTCATCCACTTCGAAAGTGACGGATTTACGGGCGAGCATGAACATCCTGGCCAGAACGGCATTGAAGTGAACAGTGTCAAGGAAATGAAGAGCTCCAAAGCAGGTAATGTGATCGTGTTCCCCAGCGCCCTAGATAGTCAGTATATAAATCTTAAAACTGTGTTGCACTAGGACGTACCATGATCAGCTCCTGCATCGGACCAACGCGCACCTCCTTGTAATACTTCTTGATATTAGGAGCTTCCAACATGCACGGAGACAGATCAATACCAAAGACCTCTGCCTGGATACCTTGTTCATGAAGGACTTGTCCCATTGCCCCCGTACCGCAGGCGACATCTAGAACTGTCCCAGATAGATCATAGTTGGCAGAAAAGAACTTTTGGATGTTGCAGAGCTCCGAGTTCTCCCACACGGCATGATATGCCGGGGCAAAGCTGTCATAGACAGCAGCAATATGGTTGTTCTGCGCAGTGTGCCAGCCCAGCTGCATTTGTTTGGTAGCGAGAAGCATATCAAAGAAGGCTGCCTGGCCACCGGGGAACTTCTCCTCTACAACCAAGTCATCTCCCAAGGTATTACCTTTGGGGTAGAACACCACAGGGATACAATTGACTTCAATCACATATGCATGGCCGGTACTTTCTTCCAGTCGCATGTCAACACGAGCCCAAGCACCACCGCCGCTGACGCCGATCGCCTTGAACGCTTCCACAGCGGCAGACTGGAGGTTCGCCTTGTGCGGCTCTTCCTCGACAAAGGCATACTTGATGATGCCTTGGTCCACAGCTTCGAACTTGTTATGCCACGTCAGGAAGGCTTCGTTATCGGGCGTGTTTTCCGGAAACACGTATTGCAAGGGAGTCAAGGCGACCACCTCACGCCCCATCTCAACCACGATGGCAGAACATTCTTTGCCAATGATATAATCCTGGACCAGAATGCTGAAGGTGGTGTTGTCTTTCTGCATCATAGCCACGCGCTTGATCACCTCTTCTTCCGTATAGCAGATGGAATCCTCGTCGAGGTTGAGAGACCCATATCCGTCGGCGTACTTGACGATCTTCGGGTACTTCCCGGGGGTGTCGCCTGGTACCCGAAGACCGCACTTTTTTGCTGCTTTTTGCAGATCAAGTTTATTCTTTGCCAGGAAGGTAGAGGGATTAGTCAGGATGATGACACCTTTCGATTCTAGGTAGCGGGTTGCTTCGACGCCCGCAACATCATCGGATTCAATGCCCCACTGCAGGATAATAAGTACCTAACTACTGGGAGTAAGAAGGAACGCTGACCATGTAATTCATAAAGAGGTCAAAGTTCTCTTTGCAGATTTCATCAATCTCTGCCTTTGCGTTGGCCTTGGTGACATATCGAGTAACGAACTCATGGCGGTCTTTGGATATGTACCTATTTGGATCCGGGAATTCGTCATACTACGATTGTCAGAGACTGCATCGCTTAAAAACGGAGGGGTGATCGATTCGAAAGTGTGTACCTTCTCAAAAGGAGAGTCGACACCCTCGTATGAGGAATTGATCAGACAGATCTTCATTTCTGTGAATGGTAAATGTTCGATTGGTAGCAGTGAGTGAGATTGAATATTTAGTCTTTCTGTCGCTGGCGTACGAACGTTTTATCTAGAACATCGGGATCCTTTAAGGTGTGCTAACCTGGCAGCAGTTAATACCAGACGGATATGGACATATGAATTGATTGATTGCCGTCAGGCGAACATGGGTTGATCTGGTCCCCGATCAACAAATACTGTGGAGCCCGATCAACAAATAAAAATTATCTTCATGCAGTGTGAAAGCTGATCATGGAGGACATCTCATCAATAGACCATGACACTACTGCACCTCTCCTTGTCTTATCCCCTGGAACTGCTGTGCTCCCATCCGCGATATGTGAGCTGCACATAATAATTGTAATGGACTTCCACCATATCGATCAAGCCACTGCCCTTGATGTAAAGCAATATTGGGATAAAAATGGGGTTTGTTACCGTAGACTGGAGAGGGTAAAGCCTCAAAGGGAAACACCATAGACAGGGGTGGAAGGAAGAGCTGGCGTCGTGTTGACTAGATGTGACAGATATCTCGCGAACGATCCCAGGGTTTGTTCTAGTCGAGGATGAGCCGAGCTGAAGCTACCATTGCGACCAATAATACAAGGATCATGCTCAGCTTTAGCGGAGTACCTGAATACTAAACTTTCATAGCGGCCGATCTCGTATTTTTCGGGCGCATCTATTCATCAGACGGCGACTTGAAGACTGAAGTATGTGATGGGCTTGCATTAGTAGTAAACCTAATGCAGCGGATGCATCAAGTGCACATAAAATGCATACGTTTCGGGTATCCAAATTTTTGGTCTTGCTCAGCTTGCTTGATTGTACAACGCATAACTTCGATCATCATTTTCACCGATTTGGTTCTTGGGCGGAGAATATTTTCCATGAGCTTTGTCCTGCGTTGGTGCTTGCTATTCCTCACTCCAGCAACTCTCGATCAGGACCAACATGACTATCAGTAAAGACGCAGTTGACAATCTCTCCTCGTCCTTCCCCAGGGAACGCAAAAGCAACTTCTACGACAGCAAGTATTTGGCCGAGTATTATGATCTCTGGACGCAATCCAAGGGTGACGCAGTCGACCTCCGATCGGATGCCAATGTCTACTTTTCTACGTTAAAAATGAGCCTGCAAGTCCATCATAGAGGTGAACCCTATACCATCCTCGATGTCGGCACCGGCACGGGGCGCGTACTCATCAACCTGAGCGACGACGCCGCCGCCTCCGATCTCGATGTCTCTGATGTCGAGCTCATCGGGGTAGACAAGGAACAGACGATGATCGACCGGGCTCAAGCCGTGTACCTCGGTACCCCGTCATTTAAAAAATTCAGCCATGTCTCCTGGGTGGTCGGAGAAGCCACCGGCCTCTCCACGCTCCCTGTTCTGTCTTCGAAGCAGGGCCAAATTGATCTGCTATTATTCGCGGTAGGAAGCATTAGCCATCTCACCAGTGTCAACGAGCCACAGCGCTTCTTCGCGGAAGCTGCTACCCTCCTGCGTCCCGGCTCAGGACGCGCATATATCCCCATTCAATCCGATCTGATATGTCGGGGCTCGCTGAGTGAATGGAGACTCAATGAGGATACCTGGGCGGAGGTGCGGGATACGGACGAGTTTGTCAGTCAGCTGTACCCGGGAGTTGTTTACAGGCAGTTTCCTATCCACAGCTCTACTGTAAAGGAAGGAGTGAAGTATGACAAGTATAACTTTCAGGTGGTTGAGAGGGTTGGATTGGAGGACAGGGTGGTTGAGAACAACGCTATTGAGATATCTCTACGTATTTGGGAGGTGTATAAGCTGCTGCAATGGGCACAGGAAGCAGGTTTGGTGTGTGTGGAAGAATTCAAGAGTTCTCATGAGGATTACTTTGTTTTTAGAAAGGTTTGATGCCTACAGGGAAGAATATAGAGGTGGGAGCAATATGGCAGTCATGTATACAAGGGTTAAAACATGAAATCCATCACGAAAAAAAACTATCTGGTCTTCATATAATTGGGGTTCTTAAACAGATAGTAAAGGAGAGCTTCCAGCATTGATGGTATGAAGTTTCATCACCTGCCGATACGAGTATTTAGAGGTGCTCTAAAACCAAGAAGCTATTGCAGGCAGGTGGCTGTTTCTGATAGGACGCAAGTGGTTACATCCCTCAGTTGAACTTTTTATATACATGCTTTGTTTCTCCCAACGATCTGTCAGGTATGCGTATCATGATAAGTGGTAAGTACGGTGTCTCTTGTACAATCCTCCAAGCTATATTGTTTCATATTTCCTGCTTGTGGCAGTAGAACGCGTGATACACAAGTATCTAGCGGGAAAATCGAGTTTACCCCATGGCTCATAATGGGAAGAAGTCCAGAGATCCAACACATTAGGGAAACTAGGATCTATCTGGCTATGTAGTAAGGAGTGGAGCTGCTTTGGCCTCAGCAGATTAATAAACGTCTTCTCATATACTGAGCATAATTCTCTCATGAAGCACAGAGTGATGATTAATCCAAGGACCTAGCCTATTTATGGCCTTATTCTTCTTGATCCCTCTAAAGTTGAKTATTTCTATCCATTAACTAGATGGCAGAGCTCCAGACGTAATCCTCATAAAGGCTGGAATGCAGGGTCTAGGACAGTTTAAACTGTACAAAATCCAGTCTGATCACTGTTTCAGACCGCTGCTTCCTTGGCTCTTGCTGCCTACCTTTCGATTGTACCTATATATGTCTCGGATGGGCCTGTTGGTGGCACCGGCACCTAAATAGTTGATCAATTGTGCGGGCCATGGTCAAGTAGGGACAAGTTCGATAACCGGGATGTTGTATGGCCATTTAACACATAATTGGACAAATCGGTACATGGAATGAGTTGATAGCCTGACGACAGCAAGTTGATGGACATGGCGAATGACGAATAACACATCAATAACCTTAATACTGCTAGGTACAAAACTCTCTGTCAACCTTGACAAACCGGAGTGCGACCTCTACTACCCATCATCACGCCTACCAGTAGACCGACCACTAGCCAGTGCGGGCTACCCTGCCAACCGCTCAAGTACAGATCCAGTACTTCAGTAGGCGAATTCAAAGGCATATGCCGTGTTGGATGAAGAGAAGCTCACCCACCATGTCACCGAATTGCCGGTGTATGTATGGGTCGCTTGACCAAGGTTCACTGGGGAATCAACTTCTCCGAATTGGCTGGTCCAAGGGAACTCATATGTCGTGATTGTGATGCTGCCGGAGGATGGAAGCCCCAGAGACCCCAGGTTGGTAACAGTAATATCCCATGTTCCCGTCTTCGCCCTGCTGCCGCATAGGATCTTCACAACCGATCCCGTCTTGGTAGCGTAGACGTCAAATCCACCGTCTGCCGAGCCGGTGGTACCCAGGCGAATGCCGGTTTGGTTCAAATGGTAGTACTTGTAAACCTGGAACTCTCCGGTCGGCCAGTAGCCACCTGCTGTCGCGCTATACGATGATGTTCCAGCATTCGGCTTGCCCACAAGTCCGGCAAGAAAGTCGTGAAGTGCTGTAGTCGAAAGCCAATTACCACGCAAGCCGAGAGTATCATAGCGCTCGAAGCGGCTAATGTACCAGGCGTCGCCACTCGGGACTTGTTCTGAACCAATCCCGTATTCGTTGACGTTGTTAGGTCGATTGGGTAGGCCGTGCGAGCTGAGCAATGATTTTAGGGTTGAGTTGCTCGTCTGCAAGTCACACCGGCTGCCGCATTCGAGATGCCAGGTGTATTGGTCGGGAATTGAATTGTTTGCACCAATAAATCCCAGGAAACCATCCCACCACGAGTTGCCAATTGATGGTGCTGACGCAAGAGACGGACCAACAAGAAGGACAGCTGGACCCAACGCATCCCTTTGGACGCAGGAATGCCAGTAGTCAGCACAGGATTACATCTCGCGCAAACAGGGTCATTTACCGAAGTCGATGAAACCCCCGACCCCACATGTTCACCCACTGGGACACTCCTCGGTTGGTCCAGTAGATTCCCTCAGGCTCATTCCACAGATCTATGTCCAAACCCGCCTCCATTGAATTGGATTTGATATCGGCTATGACTTGGGTCAGGAATGCGTCATAAAACGCCCAGTTCCCGTTGTCGCCAGGATATGGAGCGCTTGAGTTCTGCGTGCCATCTGCTCCCCAGAGGTCATGGAGGAGAAGCTGAAAGCGGGCACCGTATTTCCTGGAAGTTTGGTAATTGGAGAGCGCAGATTGGAAGCGGCTCTTTTGCACATATTAGTCAAACATCGGGAATTTCGACAAGGCTAGTCATTCACACCTTATATTCATTCAGACCCCATATCCAGCCTCGCTCTCCAGGATTGACGAGCTGCGCTCCACCTGCTCGGCCATATCTATACCCAACGTCGGTATAGAAGTGGTCAGGAATTTGGCCCTGCTGGTCTGGGATGCCGTAGATCCAGCCAGAAGCTAAATTGGCTGGAGTGCCACGGCTAATGGCAGCGTCAACGGTTGCGGTTTGCGCGAATGCGGCGCCAGAGTTGGCGAGCAATAAAGTAACACAAGGAAGCAAGGACAATAACATGGTGGGAATCTGGAGGCTCTCAAATTTCGATGTCCAATGTAAATTCTGTCTACAAAATTATTTGAAAGGACTATCATGCACTGGCCTCTTATACACCAAACAAAGCGGAGCTACCAGAGCCAATGGAGAAAGAGGTCCTCGATGCGGAGGCGGGGTAGCTGATACGCAGTTGCAGTAAAGCCTCCAAAATAGACAAAACTGAAAACCAAAAAGGAAAACGATGTTTGTCGAGCCGCCTTCACGGACCCGAAACTGTGGTTGCCCCCTGACGACCCCGCCTTCACGAACCCGAACCCTTGGTCCCTCAGGGGGGAACAATCCACTATGCCGATAAGCGGATACTCTCCGCCGGGACTTGGCATTCCGGCGGGGATGTGAACCAGGATAAGAACTGGTTATACTATGTATACAAATCTGGATTGTCAATCGAGACTCACATAAACCTTCGATTCGAGCGCCGTGTTCAAGATGTTCCGTGAGGAAACAAGCCGCCTCATCTACGAGTACGACGCCGAGCAGCTCTACATCGAGCCCTGGGGCCCGAATGCCTTGCGGATCAGAGCCACAAAATGCGCGACCATGCCAACTGAAGACTGGGCGCTCGAGGGGCAGCCTCCTCCCGTAATGCATGCCGAAATCTCCATTTCCTCAACTGCCGCAAAGATTACCAACGGCAAGATCCAGGCTGTCATTACCAAATTCGGTAAGCTGACAATCCTGAATTCACAAGGCCGTGTTCTACTTGAGGAGTACACGCGCACCCGTCGGGATATTCTCGATTCTAAATGCAGCGCCATTGAAATTGAGGCCCGGGAGTTTAAGCCCATCCTTGGCGGCGATTATCACTTAACGGCACGGTTCGAGAGTGTTGACCCGAATGAGAAGATATTCGGCATGGGTCAATACCAGATGCCATTCCTGGATTTGAAGGGTATAGACCTTGAGCTGGCGCATCGTAACTCTCAAGCCAGTTGTCCCTTTGCTCTTTCGTCTCTCGGATACGGATTTTTATGGAATAACCCCGCGATTGGGCGCGCGGTGTTTGGGAGGAACATAATGAGCTTTGAGGCATACTCGACAAAGGCGATGGACTACTGGGTTGTGGCGGGAAATTCACCCGCAGAAATTGAGGAGCATTATGCAAACGTCACCGGCAAAGTCCCCATGATGCCTGAATATGGCCTTGGTTTCTGGCAGTGTAAGCTGCGCTATCAGACCCAGGAAGAGCTTCTGGGCGTAGCGAGAGAATACAAGAGCCGGAACTTACCGATCGATCTTATTGTGATTGACTTTTTCCACTGGCCTAAGCAAGGGGAGTGGAAGTTCGACCCTGGCTACTGGCCAGATCCAGGTATGTGTCTGAGTGATAGCGATGAGAGACGCTAGCTAACCAGGACTTTCGTCTAGCTGCTATGGTTCAGGAACTGCGTGAGATGAATATTGAGCTCATGGTTTCCATCTGGCCTACAGTGGATAAGAAGTCGGAGAATTTTGAGGAGATGCGTGAGCATGGTCTTCTCATTCGAGTGGACCGAGGCGTTCGAACTGGCCTGGATTTTGAGGGCGAGACCATCCACTTTGATGCTACGAACCCCAAAGCGAGACAGTACGTTTGGAAAAAGGCTCGGGACAACTACTACGCTAAATATGGGATCAAAGTGTTCTGGCTTGACGAGGCCGAACCGGAATATACAGCATACGATTTTGACAACTACCGGTACCACCTCGGGTCAAACCTGGCGATTGGAAATATCTATCCACGAGACTATGCGCGGGCTTTCTACGATGGACTGACTGGCGAAGGAGAAGAGAATGTGGTGAACCTGGTGCGATGTGCCTGGGCGGGCAGCCAGAAGTATGGGGCGCTGGTCTGGAGTGGCGACATCGCCTCCTCGTGGAGCAGCTTTCGGAATCAGCTAGCCGCTGGACTTAACATGGGCATCGCAGGTTTTCCTTGGTGGACCACAGACATTGGTGGTTTTCATGGAGGAGATCCCAATGACCCAGAATTCCGCGAACTGCTTGTGCGCTGGTTCCAGTGGGGAGCCTTCTGCCCTGTTATGCGCTTGCATGGCGACCGGTTGCCCCGGCAGCCTCAACAGGGCACGACGGGAGGTGCGACGTGTTGTAGCGGTGCAGACAATGAGGTATGGTCGTACGGACCGGAAGTGTATGACATCTGCAAGAAGTATATGCATATCMGCGAGGAATTGCGACCCTACACGCGACAGCTGATGCGAGAGGCTGCGGATAAAGGTGCCCCGGTGATGCGAACTCTCTTTTATGAATTTCCGGAAGACGAAACATGCTGGGAGCTAGGCACTCAGTACATGTTTGGCCACCAATTCATGTGCTGTCCAGTGCTTAGCGCTGGCATGGCGAAGATGACGGTCTATCTCCCCCACCTGCCTGCTGAAAGGAAGTGGAAGGCATTCCAGGGGAACGATGTCTGGGAAGGTGGCCAATGGATCGAGGTTGACTGCCCCATAGCTACGATGCCTGTTTTTGTGAAAGACTAGGCAAAGTGCAGGCCTGGTGGATGTACAGTCTTAAACCGGATACTCGGTACCAACTCTGGTTTTACCAGCAAACTAGTTAATAGATTGTGTTCAAACTGGACTCCAGCCATCTCTCCTACGTAACAAATCGTACAGATACCTATCTAGCTTGGGATGCCATTTCTCGACAGGTATACTCTCGGAGCACATTAGACATCAATTTTGATTCTACGATGCTCTTCGTGAGCATCGATCCTGCCGAGAACAATGGTTAATTCTTCGGTGGTCCAGGGTGGCTGGGCGAGATGAAAGCACCCAAAATGCGGGGAACCCGTAACTCCACAAGGATTTTTGCCTCCGAAAAGAACATAGTTTAAGACATTTTGAATTCGTCTACGCTAGTAATGTTTTCGGATGACTAAGAATTTTTATGTGAGATCGAAATCAAATGAAGGTCTGATTCTTTTCAACAAATGACAATCTAGGCCATATTTATAGCCTGGAAAATGAAGGTATTCAGATTTGAAATACTCCTGCATCAGTGATATCAAATTTATAATCATAATTCCATAGATTTCTGGTGTATGCATAATCATCTTGGCCAAATTACCTATACTAGAAGGTTTATCAAAGGAATGGCCGAATTTCTCCATTCAGTAAGCAGTAATCTAATTCAACACACCCCCCCAGCTAAGCCGTTAGGCGAAGCTGTATCCAGCGTCAATTCCATAGCTGTTGAAGCCATATCCATCCAATTAATCAATTGAGTTGAATTATGAGATTAGAATAAGGTTAAAGCTCCTAATCTCTGTCTCCTAATTAGTCAACAAGGCCTACCATCTTGCAGAATTCCATATACTTATTCCAGGGAAGATTCTTCGTGAGGCTGTCAGCAGGCATATTAGCCATTTCAATCTAATTGACTAATATTCAGCCCGATTGGACCTCTTGCCAGAGCCAGTACTAGTGTATATCAATATGCCAAAGCTTAGTTCAGATGATAGGCTCTTTGCTTTGTAGCAAGCTAATAGTTTACTAATTATCACATAAGATTAATATCTCATGCTCTGGATCAAATCCAATATCTAAGAATAGTCACTTCTACTAGAATACATTCTTTATAGCCTCCAAGATAGCTAGCAATTTAGCTTCAGTAGTAGATGTAGTAACCATACATTGCTTCCCAGCTCACTAATTAACCACAGCATTAAATAGCTTCATAAGATATCCCTCACTGCTGCTACAATCTAATTGGTCTGTGTAGGCAGTGTTACTAGTAATAATAAAGATATTCCCTGTTAGATCGCCTCTAAATTCTAATGCATAGTCCTTCATAGCATTAAGATATAAGAGCACCTAATTAGCTGCGTTAAAATGGGTGGGTCCTAGATTCAATAGATATCTTAATAGATCAGATATTATCTTAGCAATATCTAAGTGAGTGATCACCGCGGCGTAGAGAATCAATCCAATCTTAGATTAGTAATGGTGTATCTCATCAATAGTTGCCTTTCTGTTATATAGCTATAGATTGTTTGTTGCAGGCATATGAGGCTTCCTATTAGTTAAATTAAGATGATATCTAGTTACAATCTTCTTAATATATCTATATTAACTCAGCTAAAGCTTCCATTTCACTCAATCCCTGGTGATTTAAATATTTAGGAAGGTATCTCCCTCTCCTAGATTATAGAATTTATAGCATCCTTGCAGTTTCTAAATTAAATTATCTGCATGCCTCTTGCTTTCACAGCAGTATAGAATTAGTATATTATCTATAAATACTAAGATCACTAGCTTATCATTTATATAAAGGTAGGAGTCCGAATCAATTCTTCACAAGCCAAATTTATCTAGGGCTTTTAAAATCTCCTTCTACTAGAGGTGGGGTGACCTCTACAGGCCATAAAGAGCTCATTTTAACTAGTAAACATAACCAGATTTAGAGAATCCATCTGCCATCCAGGTGTATACTTCCTTATCTAGCTTGCTATTAACAAACACATTAACAGTATTAATTTACTAGATATCTAGATTAAACATAGCAGTAATAGCTATTAAGGTTCAAAACATTCTTACTGCTAGGGTAGCTGCTACTATATTTTTATACATCATCTCTTGCAGATCACCTCATACACAGATTCTGGCCTTAGCCTTAATTAAATAGCCTTCTTAATTAAATTTGTATATAAAAACCCATTTTAATAGAATAATCTTCTTACTAGTAGGCATTCTGACCTTCCTAAAAGTCTCTTAAGCTACTAATGTACTGTATTCCAACTCTGTAGCAGCTTAAAAGAGTTCTTTTAATAGATACCATTGTATCTCTTTCTAGTTATTCAGGGGAGGAGGTATTTCATTTTAATAAAGCCATTTCATAGGTGTGTTTACTCCCTTCTTAGAGGCCTTATCTAGCAGGCCTAATCCAAATACAGCAAATACTAAATAGAATTATTTTAATCTATCTACCCAGGTTATAACTATAAAATCATATCCACAAGGTGCCTGATATTATCTTTTTCCTATAATAATATTCTCCTCAGAAAAATCAGCACTTATATTATATTTTGGGCGTCTAGGGATCTCATCAACATCATTAGATTTATTTAGATTATTTTTAGGATTAATACTTAAGCAATTAACCTCACTCCAGAGCTGTTTTAACAGTGAATCTTTACTAATCTCTTCTCCTCTGTCTGCATCTAAATCTAATTATGTTGGTGATTCCAGAAAGGTGTTAGTAAGCTATACAGGCATCTCTGGCTCTGGCGAATCAATAATTTTCGTTGGAGATCTCAGAGTCATTAAATTAAGTAGATTAAGTCATATATCTCCCTGTAGGCTATCGGTCCAGCCTCTAGGGACCTCATATTAAGATCTAGGTGCTGGGCAAGGCGTTAAATCAATATCTCTCTCAGTAGATTCAATTGGAATGTCATTATATTGGTTAGATTATTCAGGCATAGAGTCAGGAGATGGAGGTGCAGGGTTCTCTTTCATTAATTCTGCTAGCACAACAGCTTAACCACTTACCTTATTCAGAACACCACCTTCCATATTCAGGACCTCACTAACCTTATTATTTACCATTCTCACCCCCCAAGCTTTAACCTTATCCAACTCCCCCTCATACTCCATACCTTCCACCTGCCTAATTTAGATATCTAGAATCTTATTTAATTCAACTGGCAACTCAGGCAGATTAGATATCTTAATTACTTCTGTGTGGAATGGATTAAATAGATCAAATACAATATCTTCATTAAATATCACATCTCTCTTATCTGTAATCTTTCCGTTCACTAGATTCCATATCTTCTATATATTAGAGGCTGTGAATCCAACCAGATAGCCTACCCAGGCTTGCAAATCCAGCTTCTTTAACCTCAGAATCTTATAGTGCCTAATATACACTCTGCAGCCATATACACGCAGATTCACTAGAGAAGGCTTCTTGCCATAGAGCTTCTTATAAGGTGTAATCCAGGTCCATTTCTTCTTCCCTTCCTTATCTTCTTCTATTTCTCTTCAGGGGTGATGATTATAAAGGTAAATAGCCACATAGAAGATATACAGCCATAGCTGCTCAGGTAATCTTACAGCTATTCTCATACTACAAGCCATTTTAATTATCATCCAGCCAGCTCATTTAATTAAGCCTTTCTGCTCATCAACATATCTCATTAAATAAAGGATATCAATTCCCTTATAGCTCATCTCCTATATATATTCACCTCTAAGCATTGGCTCATAGTCTGAGAACATTTACTTAGGCTTAAGGCTAAATTACATTTTAACCCATTCAATAAATTACCTAATGAGGTTATTCAACTAATTCTTATCTAAGTGGGTGTAGATTACATGCCACCCCATTAATTTATATATAAAGTGACAGATCCATCGATCACCATTATAAGTAATCGTCATTAGAATTAGATCAAAGTGAACTATTTCAAATAGCCTAGTCAACTTCTCTCTAGGTGTCTAGGATATCTGCTTATAAGCCTTCACTAATCTACACATCTCACAGACTGATCTCTTACAGCTGAGCACCTTTACACTAATTATAGCCTCTTCCAAATACTGTACAGCCTCATCTCTAAGGTGTGCAAGCCATTAGTGCCATCATTCACTTGTTTTAGCTAATTCATGAGGTTTCTCAGAATATCTATTCATAGTAAAGATATTTAGAATTGGATTATATTTAACAACTTCCAGATTACATCTTATCTCCATGCGGTAGATCAGTCTTCCATTTTAATCTTCTAGGACATATTTCCATTAATTCAAATAATACCTATAATTCATTATTTAAAAGGTTAAGAGCAAGTTTATATGGCATTCCAGTATATAAGCCACTCTCCTAAGTTCTAATATATAGAGGTTCCTATTCATTCCAGTTGCTTGCAGTTCAACCTTTCCATAGCTAAGGATTTAAACATCAGTCATCCTAAAACACACATACTCATCTTCCACTAGTTTATAGGTAAGAAACCAAGTTCATAAGTTACAGATATTAATATCTGCTCCCAAATCAACAATCCAACTATCTCACAGCTCATATACATTAGTATTACTACCTAGGGAGAATACTATTAGATCTTAGTAAATAATGCTCATTACTATACATTCTAGCTTCTTATCTTACTTCTAATTAGCTTACTTAATCACTAATTCCATTGCTTGACACAGTTTCAGATTTAATTACTTAAGCTGTTTGAATTTGGCTTTAATATCTGGATTCAGCTTCCATCCATTCAGCTATTTTAATTTAATTAAATAGGGGCAACTATTAAACAGATGCTTTTCTCTGCAAGGGCAGTTATCTCAGGCTTACTTAGGCCGTTCACTTCCATGATTCTGATTAGTCAAATCAGAATTTAGTTAATCTGAGGATTATCCTTTAAATGTAGTGAATACCCCTTTTCATTCCTTTAGGCTTAGGGATTACTAGCATTTTCAATAATTATAGATCTCATCAAATACATCTAGTAATCTATCCCTCTTTAGCTTATTTAATCTTATCTTAGCATATATACTATCCAAATGCCTCAACACTTTAAGAAAGTTTCAGGTTCTAACTTCACTAGTGAAATTAGTCATTCTAAGCTAATCACACTTACTAATAACATCTTCCCATTCGCCTAGCTATCTATCAACATTCTGATTAGCTGGCTTCAAGATAAGTTGGTTATATCTATCTATGATAAGTAAGATTTAATCTTCCTCCTTCAGTTCCAGCTTGTTCTTCAACTTCTAGTACTTCTTAATCTCAGTATCTAATTAGCAGGTTAACTAACAAAGATACTTAGTTACTACCATTTGCTTAATGGCTAGCTAGATAGCTGTGAGACCTCTCTCTACTTCCTTCTATTTAGTATGTTTGCGCTGCTAGCAGCTCACTCAACATTAGCATAAGGTTTCCAGATCAAGATTAGTGGCAGCTGATTACTTCACTTGCGGCTGCTGATTTATTTATAGTTGCTAGTTAGCTTGATTTATTGTCACCTCATCACTACAAGATTAATCATCTTCCAATTCTGCTGCTCATTTGGCTGGAGCAGCTCTCTGATTAGTTAATCCAGAATCAAAATCATCTAGATGGATCAGCTTAACTAGCTAAGGTTCCTTCTTCAGCAAGATATCCAATACTCTATTGGCTTACACTAATCCAAGAATGTAAGAATTCCATCTCCACCAATCATCTGGTGTGTTAAGCAAGATGGAGACCTTCATAGTGGATATGGAAGGCATTGGTTCAGCATAGTAGTCCATATTAGCTTCTATGGGTGACAGCAGCATCAATATAGCCTCAATTCTTCCTGATTAGGCAAGCAATCCAGTAAGAGATCTCATCCAATTCCCTGAGATATCTCTCAATCCAATATCTAGTTGCCAAACCAGGGGAATAGCCTCAATCAATTCCCAAACGTCTCCTAAGGGCAGGCCGGGCTCATAACTTTTGAATTCGTCTACGCTAGTAATGTTTTCGGATGACTAAGAATTTTTATATGAGATCAAAATCAAATAAAGGTCTGATTCTTTTCAATAAATGACGATCTAGGCCATATTTATAGCCTGGAAAATAAAGGTATTCAGATTTGAAATGCTCCTGCATCAGTAATATCAAATTTGTAATCATAATTCCATAGATTTCTGGTGTATGCATGATCATCTTGGCCGAATCACCTATACTGGAAGGTTTATCGAAGGAATGGCCGAATTTCTCCATTCGGTAAGCGGTAATCTAATTCAACAAGACACTTTGGCCACGTGACACCGCTGTGGAGACTGCCCTGAAGTCAGGACTTCTTTAGACGGCCTCTACTCCCCACGAACACAAACATCCTGCATCCTTCTTCCCCGCATTTCGTGGCCCCGGAAGGGCCTACGGCATTATGAGAGACGATGCGACCATGGGTAGGCAAAAAGGCATCAGGGGTGCCAGACGCAGGGAGTCGGCTCTAACCTGCAACTTCTGCTGGCGGGGCTTTGCGAGAAGAGAGCACCTTACCAGGCACCTCCGCGTTCATACGCAAGAGCGCCCATTCACCTGCGATACCTGTGGGAAGGAGTTTTCTCGCATGTAGGTACCAGCTTGTAACACTCGGGGGCCAATTGCTACTCTTCGGCGCTAACTCACCCCGTGTCACGGTCAGGGACATTCTGAATCGTCACACTAGGCTTCACACTGAGCAGCGAGCGGAGATTATAACAGATTGCCCGCAGAAGAGCGCAGCCTGTCTGCAATGCGCGACCAGTCGGGTCCGCTGCACGAGAGGAGATCCCTGCGCTCGATGCGAGTCAAAAGGTTTGTCTTGTGTGCGTCGAATACGGGCGTCGAGACAACAGCGCACCAGCAGGGAGGAGAACACCGAACCAGAGACGGGGTCGAGGATTGATCCACAGGTCTCGCAGCCTGAGGCAACGCAAACAAGTTCACTGGAGCCCGCGGCTAGACTCAGCAACAACGCAGGTTGGGCCCAGGACTCCCAACCCTTGGGAGACCCACCCGTTTATGATTCCCGGGTTGGAAATCCGCTTGACTCAGATATCCCATACGACCCCGGGATGTTTGGGCTCTCTCCAGGCGATGAATTGGCTCACCGCCCCTTGTCGGCAATCAACTGGCTTTCACCGGATGAGAGAATCCTCCAGGAATGGGCAAGTCAACTCGCTGGCATCCCGGACGACAGTATATTCCCAACGGGTTTCGCCCTGCCAGATGCCCCCGGCCTACCCCCGCTCCTCAGCGCGCAGCCTACCTTGGGTTGGGATCCCGTGCGCCAGTCACCTACCCATCAAGCGCAGATGGAAACCCCAGCCGAGATGATGAGCTGCCCGGAGCGTGCAGCGACGGAATCTTCAGAAAAGCCAATGGATGAACAATCGTCACATAGTTCTCAAGCCACATTTAGCAAATACTACGTGCACGGTATCGCATGGCGAGCCCCATTTCAAAGCAGATTTCGGAAGGGGCAAGTCATGAGTTCTGTGGATAGAGACAGCGGGACAATGTCGGCTCCCTCGAGCGCATCGATCGGATCTGTCGCCAACATGGACGGAGCCGGATCATCGTTGAGCAAATGGTTGGCCGAAGATGTCTATGCCAGGATTATCCGAGGCGTTGAAGAAGAGACTCAGGCATCGTCAAGTTTTCCTTCGCTTCAGGCCATCCGGCTCTGCGTGCTTCTATACTTTGAGCGCCTGCACCCGAACTTCCCTTTTTTAAGCAAAACAGCCTACGTAGACGAGAAGCCGCATTGGATACTTTCGCTGGCAGTGGGCGGGGTAGGAGCTGCTTATTTGCGCTCCTCGGAAGGCTCACAATGGAAAGACATTTTGATGCAAGCACTAGACCGGATTCTATCCCGTCGATTGCATCAAATTCAACGTCGGGTGAATACCACTCTCCCTGCAACCAACATCTTCGATACGGCGAACCCAGTCGAGGATGTTCTGCCACTGATCCAAGCGAAGGTTTTGCATTTGTTGTGTATGCTTCATAGCAGCCCGTCATACATTGCCCAGCGTGCAGTATTTGAGCGGGCTGACTTGGTGCAGTGGTGCTCGTTTCTTAACCTAGTCCCAGATTCTGTAGGTGTCTCTAGATTGAATACCGGCTGCAAGGACATCCAACAGTGGATAATGGAACAATCGTCACTGAGAACCGGGATGTTGATATGGGTGAGTGGAATCGTTCGCGAAATGCTCGTTACAGTTGTCTGCGGAGGACGCATCCATATTCTAACGGGTGACTGTAGCTATTAGATTCCATGGTCGCCTATGAGTTGAACTGCAATCACCTTATGAAGCTGGGAGACCTTAAAGGCCGGCTGCCCTGCCATGAGGCGGCCTGGGAGCGTCCATCGCCTGAAAATATAGATTTTGCTGAAAGCGTTTCCAGTAGGAACACCGTCATGGCTTGACTCCGCGCAGAATGATTCCAGTGACTCTGACTCCGTGTTGAAAATGATAACAGTCTCTCTTTTGGATGCGCTCGATCTGATTTATATCGAAAAACGCCTTCCTCCTCAGCTCAGCCAGTTCAGCCAGACTCTGCTCATCCATGCTATCTACCGACGGACCACAGAGGTCGCCGACCAGAGCCGCATGCGATTGTCATCATGGAGCCCCACAGACAGCGTGCAAATAACGGCTCCATTGCCGGCTCCAGCTCAAGTGGTGTGGCCTCCGTCAAGCAGCATCTTCGTGAAGTGGCGCAACGCTGCCTGTGACTCATTGGACGTCCTGCACTGTACAGCGAATAGTCGTGCTGCCGAATCATGCCGCGAAGAGCCCATCATCTTGTACCTGCATCTCGCTAGACTGATCCTCCTGTCTCCGATCGTTCACTTTCAAACTCTGGCACAAGACCCGCTACTGCGAACCCAGGGTGGGCCTTCTGTAAATCCGTCTCACCAAGAAAGATTTGAGCACGCTCGTAGTCAGGTATTCCAATGGGCAATTCGAGATCAATTCAAGGCCCGGCTGTCCGTCATCCATGCCGGGGCCCTTCTATGGCACGTTCGTCGATTCAGCACTGATAACGTCATCGAGCCGTTCAGTATCTATATGGCGACCCTCCTTCTTTGGGCATACAGCCTGTCCGCACAAACAGTCAGAGTGCAAAGCAATATGACCCACCAGGACGGAAGGGGTAACTATGCACCTTCGTCGGGTCAAATTCCCAGAGATCATTTACTGGCAGACGAAGACAGCGCAGCAACCGATCAATCTGATGCAGAGCCACGTTTGATATATCTCGATCGACCTCTAGATGATGAGCTTGTGCAGATGTATATACGCATTGGGGACAAGGTATCCGCTCACCTTAAAGGCGTTGGGGATATTACCAGTGATGGCGCGCCACTGAAAATCCTCAAACAAGGATTTTACTTGCTTGCCGGGGAGAGGTACCGTGGGAGGGACAGCTTAATCAGCACGACTGGGGGGAGAGTCTTTCATACCTGGGATATACAGCGATTGTACGCGACAACAATAAGTTGTTTGATTGAAGCGAGCTGAACCGCCGATCTACGGTCTACCGCGAGCAATATTGTCTTTTGTATCTATTATGTATCCACAATCCCAATTTCACAATACCTCGTGGGGCTCCTTGGACTACTAGGTATTTCTTTCCTTCAAAGCAGAAGCCCCTAGAGCTCTGGATGGCATGCCTATGGCCTCCTAATCACTTCTTTCTGATAGGTTTTCACTGCTTATTTCTTCATGGCAGAGTTTTGGGTACATAAGAGCGAAACTCCTCCATTGTGTATCGCTTTTCCATGGCCGCAGAGGTTACGAAGTGAAAAGTTCAGTAGTCCACAGTCAACACTCCTGGTGCATAAGATTTCAGGCTACCTAGAACGTTCGTGTCACAAAACACCCAATGACAGGAAAAGAGAGAAACATACAACCTATTACCCTAGCAGACCTCTTGGCCAGAACCCTCTTATTCCTCCTTTGAAAGAGCCTGATCCCCCTCTGTGTAGGCATCCACGCGATACTTGGCGAACTTTCGAGCTGAGATCTTCCTCGCAAATAGGATATCCAACTCTTCAAATGTCTTGCCCTTCGTCTCGGGCAGGCGGAAGTACGTCCAAATGAAAAACAAAAAGGCGCAGCCGGCCCAGAAGAAACCGGTCTTCCCTTTCCAGTTTCCTGCTGTGGGGTTGAGCATGTAAGGATTGACGACGTTGCAGATAATCTGTGCGATGTAGTAGGTAATTCGAGACAGGCAAACAGACTTGCTTCGGAGCCGGGTGGAAGAGGTTTCACTGATGATCGCGTAGCAGATGGGTCCTACGGTGAGATAGTAGACGAGAAGCCAGATAAGCATCATCGTTGCTTGGGCGTAGTTCCCACCCACGGAATTCCCAGCCCCTACTGACACGAAGCCAACCACCATCAAGACTATTGTCAGAAGGCCCAGGCCCCAGAGGTACAGAGTACGGCGGCCAAATGTATGCAAGAGATACCAGGAGATGATCGTTCCGACGGAGGCTAGGCCGAGCCCACCCACTGACATTTTGAATGAGATCGAAGTCGGCAGACTGGCTTGAACGAAGAAATACGTCGGAGTGCCACCCATGGCGGAGCCACAGAAAGGCTGAGCAGCAAATACCATGCACACGATTTCGGTTCGGCGTCGATCAATCCCTCTGAAGCAATCCCAGAAGCTTGTACCTTGGTCGATCTGCTTCTCCAGCTCGTCGGTGTGGATCATCATCGCTATAGCTCGTGTGACTTCGCCACTCGCGTTGGAGTAACCGAGACGGGCCATGCTTCTTTCAGCGGAGACATAATCACCTTGTCTGACGAAATACCAGGGTGACTCTGGCGCAAAGAACAAGACCAAGAAGAGTGGAAGAGGCCATACCCACTGTATGGCAAAGGGCAGGCGATATCCCCATTGTGTGTCGTTCCCAGAGAACGCAGACTGCACTCCAGCGGAAATAAGCTGGCCAATGGCCCAGCAAAGGTTCACATATACGGTGAGGTAGCCACGAAGGGCCATGGGGCAAATCTCCGAGGCATATGCAGGCGCCATGGTTGCGAAGACACCCCATGGAATACCGCAGAGGAATTCGCCGACCAGAAGAACGGGCAGGTTTGGTGCAAAGAAGGGAATGAATATAAAGGCAGTGATAGCTGCCAGACTGGCCAGTAACACCTTGCGGTAGCCCAGGCAATGGGTGAAATATCCATTAGCGAAGGCGCCGATAATGGTACCCACAGAAACGGCGTTGCTGAGGCCATTCTGCCAGGACGCGGAAATCTGGTAGCTGTTGCTGCTGGGAATGTATTCGCCGTAACGTCGGGAGAAAGCCGGCTGGGCAAAGAAAGAGGACATGAGGACGATGTCGTAGCCTTCCATAATGATCGAGGTCGACAGTAGAATCGACCACATGACGGCCTTGGGATGCTTGCGCAGGGCGCGGGCGAGAGTCAATTGGTGCTCCTCTTGAGCTGCCTGTTTCGCAAGCTCGTTGGATTTGACAGGCTCTTCGGTGGGCCCATCCTCCACGTGGGCCACAGCGTCGGCTTCCTTGTCATCTCTGAAGCTCATATCGGATCGCCGTCCTCGAGGAGACTCCCGACAGGGTAAGGCGGTTGGAAGTAAAGAAAGAAGGTGGAAGTATGACCGATAGCCAACCTCTTGCAAGATGTCAGGTCAGGCGAGTCGAGAGCAGACCAGTGTCGGTCAGTTTCTTTCTTGTTTATGTACTTTCAGAGCGGAGGGGACAATGTCAGGGGGCGAAATAGTCTCACACTTGTATCCTCCAGGGCATGCTTGAGATCGGGACCCCCTACACCTCACTTGCGGAACGTGGTAGGCTAGAGCGGAGATCAAAAGCTGGGGTAAAATAAAACGACCAGCTGATTGGCAATTAGCCTTGCCCTGGTTTTCTTCTTTGCCTATTTCGTCCTCTAATTGAACCCCGCCGGAAAGTTTGTCTCTGATCGATGGTTGCGGGGCCCCGACGGGGTAATCCATTGGGTGATTGTCTTGGAGCACGAAGTTCTAGGCCTCTAAGATGCTATGAATGTACGGCGGACTATTTGTACAGAAGGAACTTTTGTTTTTTACAATGATTACCTCTCACCACTCCCGCCCCCTCCCTACAGTCGCACGCACTGCACTAATTTCAGGATTAATACCTAGTAAGGATATCAAATTGTCTGTCACATAGTCAACAAAGCAAAAGTTTTCACAACGGCAAGAAAGGATTGTACAAACAGTCTGTAACCTAAATAACAGGCGCCAAGGCTCCCCTCCCACTAATGGGCTTCTCATCCGGTTCGTGCACAAGGCCTTGCTCTTGAGTGCCTTTTCGCCGAGTGGAGTCCACCCAGTTTCCATGTACTTGTGCTTTGACGTGGAACGGTAGCTGCACAACTGCAATTGGCTTTTCAAATTGGGCTGTGTCGAGGACAACGACATCGCATCTGTTAGCAGCCTTTTGCTCCACCATCGCGAGGACCCATCCATCCCCTTCCGGAGCGTCCTCGCTTCTTGGAATAAAGACTGGTTCTTGTGCGGCACAGTTATCTCCAGGACAGAAAATTCTGGTTTCCCCACTCCTGTGATCATGCATTGCCAACCCGTTCAGATTCTGCTATACTGTCAGCCCTCCCAATGTAGTTTCCGGGATGGTCACATCGAGGAACACAATGTTGTATTGTTTGGTCAAGGAACGCTCATCGATGCGAGGGAACTTGCATGGGAGATCGAGGATCACCCGCGGATCCGGTACGGAAGAGCGGGAAGGGGCATTGAGATCCAGTTCCCAGCGAACGAAATCGCACTTCGCGTCTGTAGCTGGTGTGCGGCCATCATCGGGCGGGAAAAAATGGAAAGGCATTCCCAAGGACGCGGGAACTTTCAACCCAAATTTTAATGCCACCGTCCTCCTCCGCCTCCCAGGCTCCGGCTGTGCGAAGAGGCATGCAGTTTTGCCATTGATAAACCCGACATTTTTCATCTGCGTCCCAAATAGAAGGGCGCTTCGTGCTTTTCCGCCGAGGCACAACGATGAAGGCTGCCGGGGCGCCTGTAGTTCCACGCCCAGTGGTGCCCACCGGCCTGCATGCGAGCAAGGCTGGCTTCAAACGGCCACATAACTAAAACCAGCCAGTTTGCAGTGAGAGCACAATCATGGATGAATGTACTCCACGGCGCCTTAAGCCACTCTTCCTCGACTTTGGTCCCATTGGAATCAAGCGTGTAGGTGACCACATCCAGGCTAGCAAGGCCTGTTGCTTCATAGCCATACACAACAAGCTCATTGGTGAAGGGGTCGATTTTTGGATAAGCAGTGAAGGTTCTGGAGCAGACCTGGGACCCAAAGGGATCGTACTTGAGCGTTGCAAGAGTGTCTGGATCGACCGCGTAGGGTAGCGCTATCTCTTTCAGTGCGAGCAAGTGACCTGCCCAGTATACCAGGTTGGTATTGGCTGCGGAGTCGATCGCTCCGCGAACACAGGGCTGATGGGTAAAGGGGTTCCAGTAGAGACCAAACAGCGTTTCGTTCCAGCCTGTAGCGCTCGGTCTCGATATACCGCATTTTCATGTCGACTCGTCCAAAATGGAAGCGAAACGCGGAGATGCTGCCCGTCGCCATCGAGAGGAACGACTCCTGGATTCGGTGACACAAATGGATCCACCATCACACAATAAAAGGTACCATCGATCTCTTTGGGAATTTCGCCTCGGACAATCATGTCTGCGACTTCTCCTTCGAAGCGACAGGGAAGGTCCGATCCTGAGAGATCAAACGCAACTGTTCTCTTTGACTTTAAGCACATCGGAGCCCGATGCTGATTCTTTCAAACTGGCCATCAATTATGATTACGAGCTATCAGCTTTTGGATACTGTCTGCGTCAATGATTAATCCCAGGAGGTGACAGAGAGGAACACGAACAAACCGAGTTCTTATGTTGATGGGTTCTAGACGAGTGATGCAAGATTGAGCAAACGAACAGATCCTGCAATTTCCTAATCCGGCGTTGTAGGGCTGATCTAGAATAGTCTTTCTTGGACCCATAAATAACCTTAATCAAGGGCAGTAGCGATGCAAACGTAAATTGCTTGCTCTGATAAAGCTCAATGCTATGTTCCAGGGTTATATGATCCAAATATATGCCAACATCGAAGTTAATMTTCGGGAATTTAGTGTGGATCAGCAGGAATGTCGGAACCATCACTCCTCAACTAAGTATGAGGATAGAACGCTAAAAAAAAGGTACTGCCTGTTAATTGCTGATTATCTTAATTATAGAGAGCATCTGATTGGGCCTAGCAAATACAACCCAACCCAGTGAACCAACCAAATTCTAATGGGTAAATTGATATAGGAGATACACTTCCCTACAATACGGTTCATTCAAGGTAAGTCCAGCGTCGCGAAGAAACAGGCAGCCAATGCAATCCAGCAGTATCTACAACTTCACTACATTCAAAACATGTCCGACAGCAATGCCAAGTCCTTGCTACACGGCAAGATTTCATCCAGTACATCCAGATGCTTTCGAGATCTCGGCTTTAGCGCAACAACACGCTAACCCAGGGGTCTATAGCGTCCAGACAAGAACCTGCGCAGGTGGTCCAGTTAATCAAGAGATTATCCGCAGCCGGCGGGTTCGAAGACGCACTGTCCTATGTGAAGATCCCCCAGCTATCAGAGCCATACTGGCTGCTAGAGCCTGGAGCCAAAGCCATAACAGCCAATGACAAAAGGTCACAAAAGAGTCCCCCTGGCCCCAAGAAAACGCTGTTCGAGCACAATGCTCTGGTTTCTATCTTTAATAGGCTGGTCACTGCGAATGTCCGTGGCAACATCCCCGCCATGTACATTGATCAGGACGACTGGTCGCTCATCACTCACATTAGCGATTGGCGAAAGCCCATCGATCAGTTTAATTGTTAATACCACTGACTTGACTGTGCAATGATCCCTCCACATCAGCTCCACGACATGTTTTGCATCCTGAAGGCATTTAAAATCCTCTTCTTCAAACAGTCACAATGGATTGTTATAGGAGAGAGTGTCTCCCTTGTCCAAGAAGGTCTGGCGAGCAGTGTGCACATTGAAGCATTTCAACATATTATATAGTTAAGGATGGATCTCACTACAATCTACAGGCTCAAGCCGTCAGTCAGGTCTGACTGCTCTAGCTTCATCCTGGGCACGTATTATTGCTACTTAATAAGTGCTAATGGCTCTGTAGCCACTAGCAATGCAACAACCACCACCACCACCAACACCATCTCCTCGCCAACGACATCGTCCTCCACAGGTATTGTAACCCCAACACCTATCTAGTTGGGCACGGTCTCCACCTGCAATAATTTCTATGACGTTCAAACTAGTAATGGATGCTGGGTTATTACGAACACCCATAGCATCTCATTAAATGATTTCTATGCCTGGAACCCACTGTCAGCACATATTGCAGTGGACTTTGGCCCAGTTACTACCTGCATTAGAATTAAAGGCTCTGGAGCTTCCTCCTCTACTACTCCTTCCTCCACCAGCAGCAGCACGAGCTCATCATCCACATTGTGAACATTACCTGTCAGCACCAACGCTCCTTGCGGCAGCACAGCAAGTATGGTCTGTACCAGCTCCACATTTGGCACATGCTGCTTGTCGGGCGGGTATTGCGGTTCAACGTCTGCATACTGCGCTGCAGGATGCCAAAACCCATGTAGGACATGCATCCTGATAGTACCTGCGGCTGAACAAAGGGATATACATGGGCTAGATCAACTTTTGGGACCTGCTGTTCGAGTAGTAGTTACTGTAGTTCGAATTCTGATTACTACAGCAGTGGACGTTAGATCGCCTGTAGAACATGCAGCTGAACAAACCAACTATCCTTTATCTTGCTTAAAGAGGGCTTTTTTGATGTCTCCACTGCTGATGATTGTTGTAAGGGCTGCATCCTTAAAGGGATTCTGGCAAAGTACTTTCATAAGTGTGGAAGTAGCTCATGATCTCTAGTTTACTGGTGTTGTGGAGTAAGAAAGGGCAGCCTTTCGAAGTATAGGAGTTAGAAGTCTCAGAACATGTCAGCCGCAAGATCCAACCTGCCTGAAGGGGGTGATAGGACTGATAACACTTCCGACCTTTGGACTCTATGGTGCTTTTTTTGGGCCTGGAAAAGAAGCGAAAAATGCAGACTGACGGTGCTGCATCAATTCGTCCGCATAGGCAGCAGGGATAGGAATTAATCTAAGGCAAATTCCCGACTGCAGCTCATGGAGGTCGTAGACCTGCCTAATTCATTAGACGGAAAGAGACGGTTTTTTCATGTGCCTTTACATGCCTTGTTAATTTAGAGTCTTGCTTACCCTTGCAGTTAGACGCTGTCATGGTTTACACTAATGATGTTGTTCCTGATATAGATAATAAACCGCCAAATTAAACATCTCATATAATTTTTATGTACCTTCACGTGTCAGCTTATCCCCTGTTAGTTTCATTATAATCTCCCAGAATAACCACTACAGGCTACAGCATTTAATACGGCGTTTAGATGGAATTAGCAGAACATCATATGGTTTAGTTTTGCCTGAGGAACTATCTACTCCAGTTACTCAGATAGCACAAACAGGGCAGCAGCCTGGCAAGGAGAAATTTGAGAGAGGTATTTGCAGCTGTTACATGCCTTAAACTTATAGCTGCCCATGAACAGATTCAACGTTAGGAATAAAGTACATAAACCATATAAATGTGCTGACCTGATCCCTTGGCACATACTATGGTTTTACTCGGTTCACAGTAATACGGGATTAAAGCCTCATACCCCGCTTATGGCTGTAAGATTAGATGTAACATATAACAGTACTAGCAGGGATGTTATCAGCTTAGCCCAGGCTCACTTCTAAGTGCTGTATAGCCGTGGCACAGCTCTAAGCTCATGCTCTGTATGTATGTATGGCACCATTTCATACTCACAACTTGTTGACACAGTCCTAATTGGCGCGCTACTCCAGGGGTTATATTGAAAAAATGGTTTTGGACCGACCCCTGCAAATTACTATGTACTTCAACCGTTGAGGCAATAAGTAACTATTTCACAGAGCTTCTAGAGACTCACCATTTTATCCAGCCTCAGTATGTCTCGCGTGAACCGTCGTAGTCTTGTCTATAAAAGCTGGTCCATAGCCCAGCTTTGAAGCATCAATCATCTTCCAAGACCTCTCATTTTCCTACTCATTCACTAGCAAACCCCCGCGTTATTCCATAATGAAGACCATTTCTCTTGCTTCTTTGGGATTTGCCCTCTTCGTTGCTCTGGGAGTGGCAGCCAGCCCTCTGAACCCCGATCTTCTTGCGTCAAGCGGTCTAGATAAGAAGAGTGATAATGGTGTTGAAATTGAATATGGTGGGGTGAGTGATGACTCCTGCTATGTCTGATACGGAGCTGTATTTTTCTAATTATACGCTCCTAGGAATGTACCAAAAGCAAAAATGAATGCAGGTATACGACACAAAATAAAGGCGTCGGTTTGTGCAAGTGCCATTTCAAAATGGTAACTTATCCGTGACCTAAAAATAATAGAAGCTCTGTCTGACGTCTCTAGTGCACACATGACGGCGCGAAATGTCATTGGGACAGCTTTAAAAGAGAGTGCTACTGCAACTAGGGAGCTGTCTGATGACAATAGGCTGCCTCTGGAGGAAATGAGCTGATGTAGTCATTTTTTATACTAAGAGCATGAGGAGAGCATTCAACATACCACTCACGATTGAGATTTTTATAACGCTGTGGTGTCTTTCACTATTTCCAAAATACTATATATTGCTCCGTAGTAGGTAGCATTGTTCCGAGCAGGGGATAAATACCCTAGTATTAGGAGGGAATACTGCCTATAGACTATAATAGGCACGCATTAGATCCCTTACCCTAGTCAATGCTGCTGCCTAACATACCGGCCGAATATCTCGACCAGAGACGAAGACGGATTGATCAAAACGGACCTATGCTGTGCGTTGATGAGCAATAGTAGGATTCATTCATTGTCTATATAAACCAATCGTCGCCCTCTACATGCAACCTATTCTACACTCTTTCAATCTGATTCACAGAAACAAGCCTTCTAAAGACAACGGCCTCTCACTTCCCACTTCTCTTTCAAAATGCAGGACTCAGGAGATCTTTACCCAGACGGGCCACCTAGCCCGGAACTTCTCGCCCAAGAATTAAAGGGTTCCCCTATGTATCGAGAGTCAATCCAGGAGGCAGTCCGTCGGAGTGACTTTAACGGTATCCGGGAATCAATGTATAACAAAGTGTGGTATCTAAGTATGAGATACTGCAAGTATGGTTATCCAATGGAGATATTCGAGACCACCATACATGATTTCTGGTATTGCTGTTACCATGGCGGCAGGTACCTCTCTCACGAAAGTGCCGAACACGATCGTTTGGTCCTTGACATCGTCCGTTTCCGCGCGAGAGGTGCTTTGAAGAGACCTAGAAAGCAGAACCACCAGGAAATTGAAATCGCCAAGACACCGACCGGCGTAGTCTGGGAAGATTTGCCTTTTCTTGTCTCAGATATGACGGACTACTGGCTTAATGACTGCGCAACAATGACTGCGAGCCAGCGCTGCAACTTTGCCCGTTTTCTGGCCAAGCTTGCATCGGCAGGCCTATGCAATGACGGGCTTTTCCAGATCGCTCTGCTGGTGTTCCGCGATGCCCTAGAGACCGCGCGGCCTCTTGGGAGCTTCAACGACCCTGGTGACGCCAATCCCGACCGCAGAATGCAAGACCTCACTGTTGCTGACTTGCTGCCGGCGGTATACGCTTGGATACAAGAAGCACAGTACAAGATAATCTGGCTCTCAGCTGAGTCGTGGAATAACTGCTCTGGTGATACTGGGCGAGGTGGCGCCACTTTTGTTGAGTCAGAGCTAGGCAAGAAGTCGCCTTCAGGATTCAGTCACTGGAGATGGATGTTCTGGCTGAAGCGACTGGAAGACATAAATCAAGAAGCCAAGCAAGCTGGCGAGAAGCTCATGGCGCAGCAAATCTCGTTGATGCTAAACAATATGACGAACGGACTTGAGCAAAGAGATCCTCTAACGTTTAAAAGGTTTGAGGCAGCAGAAGAGTTAATTCCAGACAAGAAGGAGTTCAGCATCAAATACCTCATCGAGAGGTGGAACATCGAGTGGTGGCAAAACCAGGAAGAAGATGGCAAGGAGACTGAGGAGAATGCATAGTGGAGACGCGAACACCCAAAGCAGATGACAAAAGGATGATAATATTCGCAAGCTTGATATCTTACCTCGAAGCACAATAAATGCGGTACTACGTCTTCTTTTCTCTCAATTGTTGCAATGGTTTCTATGGTCAGCTTTAGTCCGGTGAGTGGGAATCCTGTAATCATCATGAACAAGATATAAAAATCCGAGGAGCCACTATAATTATTCAGGGCATTACTTCCCCTCTCCAGCACAGTGTTAGCAGATGATGTTAGAAGGCGGTTTAATATCTCCGATACAGCTCGCAAAACGAAGGAATCCTGATGGTAGACCAAGAAGGAAGCTGATGCTTAAAAGAACCGGTGGCCTTCATGAATAGTCTTCTAAAGTTGACAGAATACAATTCATTTTCTTCCTATTAGCATTGTAAGCCTTTAACTTCTAGGACACTTCTGTCATGCATTTGAGCTTCTCTGGGACAGACACCAATGCGAGCTTAAACTGCCTTACTGGACGGGGGGACGGAACCTTATCTATAGCAGTACAATTTTGGGATTTTTCCGGCATAAGTTAGAAGACGCCATAACGGTGAGCATAATGGAGATGGATTTATTGGGGTTGCGTCACATGTCGATCCCCAAACGGGATAAGGTTTCCACCCATGCGGAGGAGTGACTGAAGGGTTCTCCCCTCCTGCCACTGATGTGTCCACGAGGCTACCATATTTCCGGATTGAAGGCCCAGAGTAGGCTAAAACTACTGTAAGGTCGGCGTGAAGGGAGCAAGATAACCGTATATTGCCTAAGCAGGGAGAACTAATCGCTGAGTTGTGGAATACTCAGCAATCCGCGGAGATATCTACAGCGTATCACGTGATCTATCGGCGTTGGCTGCGTATGGCGGCAATCCGGTCCGCCGCCGCCCTTAACAATTTTGTAGCTAAAGACCACAAAGTCAAAATCCCCGCTAAGCATCTGATCTGTGCCTCAGAACAGTTCCATGGTTCCGGTCCCAGCAGACAGCGACCCAGATTGGCCTTTGGAGAGGCAAACAGCTCTTGCGTAATAAACATGGTCTGACCTGACGTTTTTAGAGGTTCGGCATTCCAAATTTAATGAGCAACCCCTCGTCCCCTCCCGTTACTTCCAGTTACTTCGGAATCATCTGAAGCTGTTGTATAATATTAGTCCAACGCCCTATGTACCCCACCAGGGGGAATTTCCCGATGCATGGAGAGTAGAATATAGCGCTAAAAAGGGAGGAAAAAAAGAGAAAGGGACAGGGCAAAAATATGAACCAGTTCGGCGAGGCAGATGTTATCGTCAATACAATTTTCCTTGCTCTTGCCACTGTTTTTGTGGCTGCGCGATTCATATCTCGCATCTACATCGTTCATCGGGTAACCGTGTCAGACTATGCGATGCTGATCGGCTGGGTCCTTGTCTCTGGCCTCTCAGCTGCCAATATCTATGCCACGACGAAAGGCCTCGGACTACGTGAAGGCGTCCTTGAAAGCTGGAGGGATCCACTGGCTCGGGCCGAGTACGTTTTTGGTGTGCTCTATGTATGTTGTGAGTCATCTCAGGAGGGCCTTTCTACTTTATCCAACAATGCCAATATAGTATCCCGCTCTGGCGGCCATCAAGATATCGATCCTCCTATTCTACCTGGTGCTGGTAAAAGAGGAGTTCATCTTCCGTCTTGCCACCTACATCACTCTCTGGGTAGTCCTACTGGCGGGGTTTGCTCTGACATTGGTCAACCTTTTCCCTTGTCGTCCTCTCTCTGCTTCCTTTCAGATTACAACGCCTCCTGGAACATACTGTATCGACATTGTCGCCCTCTATATTTCCACGGCTACCATTGATATCATCACTGATGTTGCTATTGTTTCTCTTCCAATGCCGGTCCTATGGCGCGTACGACTCCCGCGAAGGCAGAAGGTTATTCTGCTGCTCACCTTCGGAACGGGCGTGTTTGTTATTGTGATCAGTGTCCTGCGCACGGAGTTTCTCTTACAGAAAGCTATCCAACGGGTGACCAAACCCCAACCGCCTAGTGTCCACGATCTGTCCTGTAGGCTTTGCTTCACTTCGCTTACTTTTCCTATTTGGTCCCGGCACCCGCTGACCACTTTGCCATAGATTATGATGCATATGTCTTTTTATGGTCAGCTCTTGAACTGAGCCTAGGGATCATGTGTGGCTGCGTACCGATGTTAAAACCTCTCATCGGTCGTCTCCTTCCGCGGCTTCTCTACTCTTCCAGTCTTTCCAGTCAACGAACGGAGCATGAGCCATTCGCCTCGTCGGAAGATGCTGCTCCGCCGAGCCCAAGGGAAAGCACCCCAGCTATACCCCTTTCCTCTATGGACCAAATGTCTCGTCAGCAAACTTTCCTATCGACGTCTGGAGGGGGCCCAGTCAGTCCACCCCCAGAATTTGTCCGAATAGCCGGGTCGAAGAACATTCTAGCCATGAGTGGACGAGAATCCATGATGCCACTTGCCGCGATCTTCACCATTTTCTTGCTGTGGGGGTTTGCTTATGGCATCATTCTTACATACTACTGGGAATTTTCGCAAGCTAGCCATCGTAGCCAAGATGTGAGCTTTGCCTTGCACGCGACTTTTTTCGGAGCCTATCTCTTCGGGCCCATTCTCGTAGCGAAACCTAGTTTGCAAAGATGGGGCTTCAAAATCACCGTCGTCGCGGGCCTCTGGATCTTTGGGTGCGGAATGCTGTTATTTTGGCCGGCTACGGTGCTGGTCTCACTCCCAGCGCTCTTCATTGCTAGCTTTGTTGCTGGGCTGGGAATCTCCGTTTTGGAAACGTCTGTGGATCTCTTCGTTGCACTCTGTGGTCCACAGGGTCGAGGCGGAATGCGACTGAGCATCGCCCGAGGTATCCAAGCTGTCGGTTGGGCAGTATCACCTATATTTGCTCAGCAGGTGCTCTTCAAGCATACAACCAGTGCATCAACATTGGTCACTGTTCAGTGGATCTTTCTTGTCCTCGCGATAGTGCCACTGGTGCTGGTGGTTATGTGCAGTCTCCTGCCGCTTCCAGAGGTGTCTGACGAAGAGCTTAGTGAACTTGCTGAGCAATGTCAACAAGACATCGCGCCGTTCGTGTGTGGGGTGCATGTCGCTTGGATAACTTTGGTCCTAGCATTCCTGGCGCAATTCTGCACCATTGGTAGTCAGGAAGCCTCTCATACAAATTTCAAGTCCCTCGTTATATTCAACGTACCATAGTAAGCCTCTCCTCGCGCCACTAAAGGCCCATCTGTTCCCGAGCTAACCTCTCCGCAGCCCTCATCCGCCAGTCTACGGCTTTACCGCTATCAGATATTCCGCAGTTGCCGCAGGTTGTTTTGTAACGGCACTGGGACTATGCTTCGTCAAGCCGCGCCAGGTTCTGCTGATCCTGTACCTGTGCGCTATTGTTTTCTCTGTCCTCACCATGATGATAGAAGGCTACTCAGGCATCGTGATGGCTATCGTCCTTTCATTTTTCAGCGCTGGCATTTTCCCTATTACCTTTGTGATCGGTATCCACGGCATGGGGCGACATACGAAGAGTGCAGCAGCAATTTTGACTACGGCAGCCACTGGCGGCGCGCTGTTCCCATCCATTCAAAATATCATATCTGTTTCACACGGATACCGATATGGTTTCTGCATTGAGGTCGCGCTTTTCTCCGCTGGCTCGCTCTTTTCCTGCTATCTAAACTTCGTTCCGGCTGCTCAGAAACAGGCTGCTACCGCCACCCATAGCTTCGACAGGGGATGATTAAGGGAATGTAAGGCCGTGATGAAGCAGTATAGTACATCTGCGCGCTGGGAATTTAATAATACTAGCCATCTTCCTCCTTGGTAATCCTATTTAATGTAAACGGGAAAACAAAGAAAAAGCATTTTCTAAGTAAATCAATACAGCGTAGTAGCAAGTATCGTCTATCGATCTAGGGTCTCCGAATTATTGATAAAAGTTAACCATGGCTGACCTTCACCATAATGTAATCAACATATTGCATTTCCAACATTAATGTTATCCTAGGGGTGGTGTTATTATTACAAGCCTCATTCCCACAGAATTTAAATGTCTAAATTTTAAGATTGGAGGGCATGCGTATTATCCGATTAGTTAGATTCTGTGCCCTATAGTTTAGTCTAAAATTGAATAACCGAACTTGGCAAATAAAAACCAAGCAGAATAAACATGGGATTTGCGGATTAATCCGGCACCTCCTAAAACTGAGGTCAAAAGTATCCAGACACTCTAAAAAATCGAAAAATTCGACCATTTTCAATCCTTATTTCTCACGGCCTGGAGTCGGCCCGACAGTGGAGGAACCCAAGTCTGGTCAATGGATGGTCGCTCGATACACCACTGCTGCGCAGACGTAGTGGCCACCACTCAGCAGCATAGTCCAGGAAAACAGAGAGGGCTCTCTCGTGGCGTCGTGGCTCAGGCATGCTATGCATATGTGTGCCAGCACACAGTGCGATTCGGCAGGGGATAAGGAATCCTTCCATTTCAGCGACTGCGAACGACTAAAGTGTGTCGGCTCCTGGACTGCGGTACTAAAAATTCTCTAATAGGAGATGTTGCTGTGCCATAAACAGTTGCTGTAAAATAGCGCACAATGCATTCACCGCGAGCTTCTGATTCGCGAAATCATCCTTAAAGAAGAAATAGCACCCTATCCTCTAGGTATGGGGCAGAACCTCATCCACCAGGTATCTAGTCAAGACGGATTTCCCACAACCCGGATCGGCCGACACCCACAGGGTACCAGCGGAAGAGGTGGTGGCCTCCCAGCGGCGAAACCGCTCATGGCTGTTGAACCATTCGCAGGTGACGGGCACACGCTTATTGTTTCGGTCTAGCGGTCGCGGCACGGACAGGTGTAAAGCTTCTTAAAAAGCCCCTTGATCTTTCCGTCCCGTTCAGAGGTGATTTGCTACAGCTGCTGGGCTTGCAACTTAGAGTGAAGCTCCTCCAGCCGTTGTTTGAGCTCCATCCCGCGCATCTGTGAAGCGAACTCCTCGGCTCTGGTTTTTAGCCGGTCGATGTCCGCTAGCAACGCGTCCCGGTCATCATGTTTCAAGGCATTGCGGACCTGTCGCGTGGCTTGGTGATGCTGCAGATGGCACAGGGCGCGGGCTTGGAACTTTCAAAATCTTCGCGTACAGCGATAACCAAAGTCTCCTGGAATTTCTCCATGAATTACACAGCAGTCGATGCAGCAGCCCTGGGTCGCAAACAGCAGTCCTCCATCACATGAAACCGGAGAACCAGGGAAGCAATCAAATCCAGGCCTTGCAGGGCAGACTGCCATGTTGCTCAACCGCTTGCACACACAGCGAAGACCGATATCGTCAGCTAACCCTCATTCTTCCTGTTTAAGAACGGACAGCCGGAACCATACCAAAAGGCCAGCCGTCTCCCCAGCACAAGCAATCGACGCCGTAGTAATAATAACCTTGATAGCCAACACATTCTTGAAGAGACTGATAAGCCGTTCCTGGCTTCGATCAGTAGGGGATTAGGGCAAATGCAATTGTACTCAGTCAATGTTGTTTCATTCCTGTGGACTGTCTTTTCTAGCCCAGACAGAAAGTCCCTTAGATGAACCCGCCCAAACATGGCTCCAGGGAAGAAGATATGGTCTGACCCCGGGATCATGAGAGGATTATTGGGCAATGCTATCTAACCAACTGTACAGTAATCAGTGAAGGCGACGCCCATGCACACAATTGCATCCGTCCAGTTAGGAATGGAATCTGCAGTGAGTGTGCTCACCTGGCCTTAGAAGATCCCTACATACTGGAGGTGATCCTCTAGGAAAGATCCTTTGGCTGCTGGCTGCACGACAACCACACAACCGATTATTTCGGCGAGACGCAGTGATTGAGTCTCGGCAGCAGCTCTGCGCACTTTAGGACCGACGAGTATGATCAGTTTTTCCTTCCCGGACAGGTATTCCGCAGAACAGTTAATTACTGCTAGCAAAGAGGCATTGTCACTCTGGATGGGATCAACAACTGCACTGATAGGATAGGACCAGGTCGTGCACATGGAGCGCCTGAGAGGTCCGTCGGAATTTCGATATATGCCGGCTTTTTACTGATCAGGGCAGCCCGGATGGCGTAGTCAATCAAATACAGAGCGTCCTGCGCTTTCCCCACTGCGACAGCGCAGCAGGTAATTTTCTCCGCCATCTGGAGCTGATAGGCGAAATCACTCGTTCTGAGGGTATGGGTAACTGATGAAACTGTGCCGCATCATTGGTATTCAGGGATCCGCTGATTAGGATGAGCGGCAGATACTCTGCATACGCACTGCCCGTACCGTTGAAGGCAGAGAAGGCGCCTACATTGTAGGTCACGACGCAAGCAGCAACACCATTTGCACAGGCATAGCCCTCCGCCGCAAGGAAGCAGTTTAATTCATTTGCATGCTTTGGGACTGTCTACCTTTTTGTGTAGTGCTTTGACGTCAGTTGTAACCAATCTCCAGGGACACAAAGTGGGATTAACCTGGTGTCGGTGTATAATACAAAGAATATACAACCAGCTACTGTTCTAAGCAACTTTCGGTACAATACCATACAATATTTTCACCGGCAGGGGTAGTCCAGAATATTTCTGGCTTTGGACAAGCATAACCTTGTCAAGCTTGGCAATTAGGATCTTAGAAACAATCAATGAGAGTAAGTGGCAACACCCAGTTTCCAGAACATACCGTACACACTAGCAACTATAACTAGCCTTTGTGATCTCAGCAGATTACTGGTCTCTGTATATAAATCTCAGTCTGAATCTATCCGGAACATGAAACGTCTGATCTTTCAGGATATGGTTGAACCTAGCTTGTCTATACTGGATCAGCAGACAGTCATGAGAGACATTTATATGTATTATCATCCAGTATGAGCTCATGTATTAACAAGCATATGTCAATTGAATGGAATCAGAATATGGAATATGTTCGGCGTGGCATGATGTCTTCGGGTTAGGTCATAATCACCAGTGGGTCTCGATCTAAACGTCATTCCCCACAGCACCGGATCCGATCAGCATCTGGGAGCTGGAGTTTCCAGCTAGCGCCATAGCCTTAAAAAGTTAAGCCTCACATACTGGCGTATTTAACCAGATGGCAGCATAGTCAAAGGCCATGAATTAACGCGCTCGCCGCAAAAAACGTCTGAAGCACACGCTCCTCCATTTCTATCTACTGCTACATATACAATCTGTACATTTACATTTACTACCATATTAGTCATCATGCTCTCCAGCACTGGACCTCGCATTGGCATTGTTGGTGTGGGCCAGGTTGGCGCCGCGGCCGCGAACGCGCTGATCATGAACTCGGTCGTGCGCGAGCTGATCCTGGTCGATATCAAATCTGAGCTCCGAAATGCCCAAGTCCAGGAACTCTCTGACGTCAGCCGAGTGAGCGGACGCGTTGAAACGCGCGTCCGAGCAGGGACATATCATGATGCTGGGCAGTGTGACATTGTTCTCATCACCGCGGGGTCTAAGTTCTCTGTCGGCGAAACCAGCGTGCAACATATGTATCGCAACCTAGGGATCGTCCGGAGCGTGGTCCAAGCGATGCGCCCCTTCCGATCCGATGCCATCCTCCTGGTTGTGTCGAATCCCGTAGATCTGCTGACCACCCTCGCACAGCAGCTCTCCGGTCTGCCCCCCTCGCAAGTCTTGGGGTCCGGTACCCTTCTTGACTCGGTTCGGCTGCGTGGGCTCTTGGCCAACAAAGCTGGAGTGCGTGAGGATTGATCCCGAACGTGACCTGACTGACGGTTGTGATGATAGGTCGCCGCGGACGCCATTGACATCCATGTTCTTGGTGTGCAGGGTCTCGAGCAGGTCGTGGCCTGGTCGACCGCCACTGTGGGTGGTCTGCCACTAGCCTCCGCCGTGCCGCCGGATACGTTTGATCCTGTCCAGATCACCAATGAGTGCAAGCAGATCTCCCAGGCCATCATCAAAGCCAAGGGGGCGATGCCCCTTGGCATCGGCGCTATCATCTCCAAGATATGTTCATCCATCCTCTGTGACCAGCGAGATATCCTTCCCATCAGCCATCTTCAAGAGGAGTTCGGCTGTTGTTTCAGTTTGCCAGTGGTCCTGGGACGAAAGGGAGTTATCAGGACGATTTGCATTCCTGTTAGTGAGGAGGAGCGGGGTGGAATTGCCAAGTCAGCCGAAGCCTTGAACGAGATAATTGAGCATGTGAACGAGTGACTCGTCTTTCGCCTGGTTCAGCGAAGCGATGATTATCTATTATCTATTGTCTATGCCGGGCTTTGCTTTTGTCTATCTTTTGCCCTGATCGATCAGTGTAATAGTATCCAAGGCGGGTTCATGACGCGTAGTTGACAATCTTGACACAATACAAAGTATAAACTTAAGACAGCTTTTAGATTACAGGGGTGCTAGACTATCAGGGCTACTCTCAGAAACGCACTCAACGATTGGGAATGCCCCGCTCGCTTCTAATCAGATGCCGCTTGACAGCCACGAAACTGTCCGGACTGACCGAAATCGAATCGATTCCCCGGTCTGACAGGAACTGAGCGAACTGGGGGTGGTCACTCGGTGCCTGGCCACAGATCCCGATCTTGCAGCCTTTCTGACGTGCCACCGCGATCACCTGTGCAATCATCCACTTGACAGCCTCATCTTGTTCGTTGAAGATGTCCGCCAGCTCCGCCGAGTCGCGGTCGACCCCAAGAGTAAGCTGCGTCAAGTCGTTGGAGCCGATGGAGAACCCGTCAAAGCAGTCCGCGAACTCCGCGGCCAGGATGACATTGCTGGGGATCTCGCACATCACATACACCTGGAGGCCGTGATCTCCGCGCCGCAGCCCATTGTCTGCCAGCACGTCCAATACCTTGTGCGCCTCGTCCACCGTGCGACAGAAGGGGATCATCACGATGGCGTTGGTAAAGCCCATTTCGTCGCGCAGTCGCTTAATGGCCCGGCATTCGAGCGCGAAGCCCTCGCGGTACCGCGGCGAGTAGTAGCGAGACGCGCCGCGAAAGCCAATCATTGGGTTATCCTCCTGTGGCTCGAATTCGGCGCCGCCAATGAGCCCAGCATACTCATTGGTCTTGAAGTCGCTCATCCGGAGGATGGCGGGACGGGGGTAGACGGAGGCACAGAGAGCCGCGAATCCTTGCGCCAACTGGTCCACAAAATAGTCACAGCGGTCGCGCTCGTACCCCGTCGTCAGCCGCGCAATCTCGGCTTTGGCCTCTGCATCCTGCAACCGGTCGAAGTGGACCAGTGCCATTGGGTGCACCCTGATCGCGTTACTGACGACGAACTCCATGCGCGCCAATCCGATCCCGTCCGCGGGCAGCCGCCACCAACGGTAAGCGGCCGCCGGGTTGGCCAGGTTGATCATCACTTGGGTCTTCACTGGCGGCAAGCCCGTCAGATCCACGGTCTGGGTGGTGATCTCCGCGCGACCCTCGTAAACCAGGCCCGTGTCCCCCTCAGCGCAGGAGACGGTGATCTCCTGCCTCGTGTGCAGCACGTAAGTAGCATTGCCCGTGCCCACGACCGCCGGAAGGCCCAGCTCGCGGCTGACAATCGCCGCGTGCGAGGTGCGGCCGCCATGGTCCGTGACGATCGCGGCCGCCCGCTTCATGATGGGCACCCAGTCCGGGTCCGTGGTCGGAGTCACCAGAATAGACCCGTCGACGAACCGGTCCTGGTCCCGGGCCGATTCGATGAGGCAGACGCGGCCAGCGACCGCCGCTTCTCCGATAGAGAGGCCCGTGGCCAGCACCCTGCCCTTGCCGCGGCCAACCTGGTACGTATGGAGGCGGGCTGTTGCATCGCCTCGGCGCGAATGCACTGTTTCTGGCCTTGCCTGCACGATGTACAGCCGGCCCGTGACCCCATCCTTGGCCCATTCCATGTCCATCGGCCTAGCATAATGGCTCTCAATGGTACACGCCCAGCGTGCGAGCTGGAGGATCTCTGGATCGCTGAGAACGAAAGCGGCGCGCTCAGCCTTGGACGTTGGCACATTATGCGTCGGCTGTCGCGGGTCGTCACTGTAGATCATCTTGATTTCCTTCTCCCCTCGCTTCTTGCTTACGATGGGCCGCAGCCGGGCATTGCCCAGCAGAGGCTTGAAGATCTGGTACTCGTCTGGGTTGACCGCGCCCTGAACGACATTTTCGCCAAGACCCCACGCGGCATTGATAAGCACAACCCGGTCGAAGCCGCTTTCTGTGTCGATAGAGAACATGACGCCGGACCCGCCGGCGTCCGACCGCACCATCTGCTGCACGCCGACGGACAGCGCGATGCCCATCTGGTCAAAGCCCTTGGTCTGACGGTAGCTGATGGCGCGGTCGGTGAAGAGTGAGGCGTAGCACCGCCGGCAAGCATCTAGCACTGCCCTTTCCCCTGTCACATTGAGGTACGATTCGAGCTGACCGGCGAAGCTGGCGTCCGGTAAGTCCTCAGCAGTAGCGCTTGAGCGTACTGCTACGCTCGGTTCGGTGACGCCTACTCGGGTCGCTAGGGCGCGATAGGCGTCCCGGATGCGACTGGCGGCATCTTCTGGCCAGCTTCCACGAAGAAACAGCCGGCGCATTGCCTTGCCTGTCTCGGCTAGGCTTGTCTTTCCGGCTTCCCAGTCCGCAATCAGCCCAGCCATCGTGTCCCGAATCCCATTGGCGTCCACGTAGACCCAGTATGCTTGAGCCGTTGTGGCAAAGCCAGGAGGCACTGCGATTCCCTTTGTCTCAAGGGTTTTGATCATCTCACCCAGCGAGGCGTTCTTACCTCCGACAACGGCACCATCATGGAGTCGGATTTCCTCAAAGTCACGAACCAGAACATCGTTATTTTGTTTGCTTGTTGCCATTCTTGCTTATAGCTTTGTTCTCTATCCGAGATAGAAAGGTTATGTGTATACGAATTCCCGCGTGATTCAAGAACTTCATTTGCAGATCCTGGACCGTAAAATAGGCCAGATGCACCAGTCGAATCGTACATGGTCATCCTATAATAGAAAGGCCAGAAGACTGGAAAATCCAATGGTCAACGGTTCCATGGATGGAACAGATCCCGCACTCGGCCGGTGTCACGGCGATCCCCAAGCTGAATCACATGGTAACTAGATCTCCTGATCATAAAAAGTAAGTCCAAATACGCATGACGCCATCATTTACCATTGTTGATTTTCAACATCGTGGCTGCATCTCTGCCCTACATCCCAGTGATCAATGACACTACATGTGGGGCCCCCAAGCATTTCGTCCATAAGGGTCTATGAAATTCTACTCTGTAGTAGAATCTGAAGTTTAATATTTTATTGTTGTAAAACAACGACACACAGGCCGTTTTGTTTTCAAAAGAAAACGGGGTTGCAGCTGTCAAAAGTTCTATTCATCTCATGGGCTGGAATGGGTCTACACATTCCTCGGCTCTGGTCTCTGATCCACTGTCCAAGGCATCATTGACTTTCACTACAGTGATGTACGGATTAGATGTTCCAACTTCATGCCTTTCTCCACCCCCTTATTTTGGACTGCCCAGTTGATATCATGAGACACTTTAGTCTGCATCAGGATCTCTGTCTAGTGAGCAAAAAATTGTATCCTTAATCCTCGTGTTAGCAAACAGCGCATAGCTACAAAAGTCAGCTAGGTTGAGCTTCTCCTATTCTCTCCTAGTCTAATAATACTCATCAAAGTAGCAAAAGAGTTAGTCTGCAGGACGACAAAAAGGTGAGAGATTTAAGACTGGTCATCTCTTGGTGGAGGTAGGGGGGAAAATTACCAGTAGTGGTTTTAAGCATGGTGTCTTAATAGGCATTCATCAGTATTATTAAAGAAGCCCCCTATATTAGTTATACAAATTCTTTTATCCCTTTTAGCTTGGATAGTATCATTGAAAGGGATATGCTGATCACACTTCAAACTCCATGGGGCTGGACACCAGCTTGCAAAATAACGTAACTACACATGGAGTCTCAACTCGAGCTGTTGTTTTCCGTCATATGAGCTCATCTTTGATGGACTGCAGTTGAGCTGTAAGGCTTTTCCAGGCCAGAAGGTTGACGTTAAAGCATACTGTAAGCTAAGCAATTGAAGCAGTCATATTAGAGGTGAAATAGAGGTAAAATAGCCTAAATTTCATGACAGTAATTAATAACTAGTGTTATTGTACCACCTTGGAAGGGCTTAAATATGACCGGGTTGAATGCACAGGATATCTTCATCGTGGAAACTGAATAAGTTCCTGCAGGTTTATGATAACTTACTGGGAACAATACTAAGGACAAGCAAAAAGTCGCTGCTTATTCACAGACTTGCCGCTGCCTGAGCCAACTGATGGATATCTCTGCCGTCTGGGTCAATAACTTCACCTTTTGATACCTTTGATGCTATATAAAACCAGGTAATAGCATTCCCGACAGTGGTAAATTGGTCAGGAAGGCCATTCCATGTCATCTGCCGCGAGAGTTTAGGGTCATTGAGCTGATGAAAGAGATGTGAGATAGAGTTGCAGTCATCTTTGTCCACCAGCCAAGTGGTGGGGTTGGTCCCAAGAAATGAATAAGAACTCGCATCCTTGATCGTGATCAGAGGCTTCTTTTTCTGAGTGGTGCACAGGAGAAATTCAGGAATTCCCTCGGGGATGGACAATTGTATGACAACTTTAGCGTTTGAAATGAGGACATTCCACAATTGATCAGGGCCACAGAGCTCTATGACACAGATCAGATGTGAAATGTCATGCATCTTGCTGTTGATATGCCGCATGACATCATCATAGAGGAGTGAGCTCTCACGGCCTTTAGGAGGGCCATGACGGCATATAAGTAACTTTGGAATGGAGGCTGTTGGGCTTTCCTTCATCCACTGGCAGCAAAACATTTGATATGCTTGCAGAATAATCACAGTCTCGTCAATGGGCCTGAATTGTGCAAGATGTAGAATATATTGATCTAAAGATTAAATAGGAATGTTAGCTGAGCAATGACAGATTGCAACAGGAGATGGGGAACCTTTACCTTCAGGATATTGTATAACTGGTGCTTTGAGAGTTCTGCACAGGGAGTTGAATTGTTGCCCATAGAAGGCGATATCTTCCGGGCTCATATGCTTGTTCAAGCCGTCAAGTCTACAGATTATTAGCGTGTTCATGTCAGATGCTGTCAAGCCAACTCACTGGTCAACAGAAACTGGAATATATCCCACACGCTTTTGGGGTAATACCTGTGGTGCCAATTCTTTTGGTACTGAAGAAACCAGTAGGTCCACATCTGATGCCCTCTTCTGCACAAAGTCCCAGACCCTAGCAGAAGGACTTCTAGGATCCACAACCATGTCATTCTGGAACATTAAACGGTTTTCATATAGTACCGGTCTCCCGGGGTCCTGTTGCTTAGACAAAAGTGCCAAGGGGAGTAAAGGTGCACTATCAATGACCACCACATGTACACCTCCCTTTGACCTCGGCTGAAGGGGGCCATTGTGGCGCAGCCAATATCGTCTGGCATTCTCATACACCCACTCTAGAATCTCTAACTCCTCATCAAAGGAAAGATGCTTGAGGGAGTTGTCCAACCCATCTAGGATGTCCCTCATCTTCTGAGCAGTATTGTGTATACCTGGACGTGACTTCGCGACATACCTGTTAGAAGCAATATGTCAAATACCCTCTTACTCGAAAACATTACTAGAAGTCGAAGTCCCACTTTGGGGAAAAAGAAACATTGTACTCACCACCTAAAGTCGACCCCCATACAATGAGCAAACCTCACCAGGGCATGCCTCATATGTACATCGGGTTGGCCATGAAACGTCAGACTGAAAAATGCAACTTTGACTTGCTTTTCCGTAAGGTCCCGGGCATATTGCTGAGCAATAGCCCATGACCTCGGTCCAACTGTTCGCTCGTAGTCTTGCTTATCTGCAAGGCGTGCCAGGAAATCGTTATCAACCTCCACAAGATTGTTATGACTGATCTGGGTGTGTATCACATGTCCAATTCCAAACGATCTGAAAGCTGTTAGCAATAGACCTCATGGTCCTCAAACTCAAACAGATACCGTATGCACTTGCGCGCCATGGAATCTGCCTGCTCGTCTAGTGCTTTTCTTTCCCAGCCCCAGAAGGTGGCCATCTCTCCCCGGTCATGTGCAGTCCTCACGCGAGCTTCGTGTCTCAGCACCAACGGCACAATATCAAGCTTGAGCCAAAGCTGTGAGCAAAGGCCTGGGCATTTCAGAACAAGGGACTCTGGCAAGCCAGCACCTATGAATTTTTCCTTGTGCTTGGCGCTGTAGTTCCGAAGTTGAGAGATGATCTCCGGGCCGAGCTCAATCGGATCTCGTGAAGCATGCTCTCCAAACTCAATGTTGATACAGTCCAGCAAGTATGTCAAATTACGGATTACAATCGCAATTCGACATCGAGAGCCTTCTTCGACATGCCCTGAAACTCCTGCCCAGATAGACTTGGTACATCTGTTAGAGCCACATCGGATTACATTCAATGGAAGAATGAAATGAAAGCGTAGACCGAGGCAGTCTAGCTTACTTACACTTGGAGTTTGCCCTGACCAGGAAATTTCCCCAGGTAAGGGTTGGACGGGAATGTCCTGGTTCTTAGGCTTCCTGAGGTCGACCATTATTGCCCCCCTATGACAACTATATCAAGGCGATGATTCGGCTTTAATTAAGAGAGTAAATCAAGCTTTCGCTGGTGGTTCTTCTCTCCTTTTAAATGCCGATCCTCTGCGTACAATTTTGACTCCAGGTTCTCCCACCATGAGTTGTGGGTTTCTTAAGTTGCTGCAACCTCCAGACCTTTGTATGACATCAAAGTTGGCAGTCATTGGTAGAAGCTCTCTGGGTGGGATCATCCCATTGGCCAATACTTCACCATATGGTTGAGTCGTGGAGAAATCATGCCACTTCATTTAAATGAAAGGTATGTGGTCATCGGCCTTTTTAACATTTAAAAGTGAAACAAAACCCAAATTCTATGCTTATATGGATGTCACTTGTGATTACACACAGTGCTTTTGGTCTACTTGATATTCGAGATCATTTATTATTAAGATGAAGCTGTCAAATTAAAGACAATAAAACACCAAAAGCATACTAAGGGACCCAGTAATCCGTTCCATCTTAGAGAATTAGAGGTTACAAAGGACATGATGAATCATGAATCTGAAGGAGTGTACGGTCGGCCACTCAAAGGTCTAAGGTCAAGTGGTAGGATCAGCATAGGGAGCAAGATAACCATATATTATCTAAGCAAGGAGAACCAATGACTAAATTTAGAGTGCAGGGACATAAGCTCAGCATGTGTTAGAAAAAGGTCAGTGGACTGTGGTTTGCCAAAACCTGGCTTAACTTTGATACACATTCAACCTCACTGTGTGCTAGTCATGTTCTGTTACTAGATTACCTCTCTACATATTATCACCACTACCCTAATTTTTAACCCTCTCTGACTGTGAGCACTAATTACTAAGGTAAAGGTTTGATTTTGAATAGTATTAATTCAAATTATATACCTACCTTAATCACCCCCTAATATCAATGGATTTATGCTTATTATATACATGATATTAATAGAATATTAGTAGATTCTAAGTTATTTTAATATTATGAATATACAGAGTGTAGGTAAAGGGAAGAGAATATAGGTAAGGTTGATAAGTCTAAATATATATTTACACTCTCCTATAGCAAGCATAGTATGGAGTATATACAAAATAAAATAAATTACTATATAAAGAGATTCATGATAAATTAAAATTTACTAATCTTCCTTAATATTACGCATATGATGAGCATAAATTTATAGATATTAAGGGGTGATCAGGGCAGGTATATAATTTAAGTCGATGCTATTTAAAATTAAACCTTTACCTTAAGTAGTTTGGTATTTGCGGTTGGAGAGGGTTGAAAATTAGTATAGTAGTGGTGGTGGTATCTCAGTCTTCTCAGAATATAGGCATGGTATATAATTAAATGGGGTGTCGTACACTTTGAAATTAATTCATGGTTCGACACCTGCTGACCTTCTTTCTGCCGCATCACGGTGAACAATTTCTGACGCACACCAGGCTGCAAGCCCATGGCAACTATTACTAGGTATTCAGTTAATACATGGCCCTCTTCTCTCACTCCAACCCTTTAGGGTGTATTTTATCTATGCTATACCCCTGTGAAAATATATTATGGTTTCTGAGGCTGCACGATATAGCCACTTCTCATTATCCCTTATTAACGCCTTTAGACGATATTTCTAAATATTAGAAGCTAGCTGTCCCCTGGCATCCTTGTTACAGCAAGCAGAATCCCATAGTCCTATTTGGGAGACCCTCCCTCGAATGTTGATGAGCAGCAGGAGCACTAAGTAATATTCGCGTCTATGCCTGCCTGAGACATACTGCTTGGCTGAACACTGGCAATGTTGGCCTGCTTATGCTAGAGTTGGTCCGCGTTCGGCTTCCAAATTCCACCTTCCTTTTCTGCAGCATATCATCAAGAGTGGATGGATGTACTGATTGGCCCCGACATATATCATATATATATATTTCTTAGGTAAATGACAAAGAACGTTGACTTGGTCATTATTTGTTCCGTTGACGAATTGCATCAAGAATGAACAGAAAAATGTTGCTTTGCAGTCCGCCTCTCCGATCAATGTCGTTAATCTGCTTGTATAGCTCTTCCAACTTCCTCTCTTCAAATTCTCTGTACATCTTCTCGATTTGCATCTGGTCAAACAACTGTAGAACTCTACGTTCAGGAACCGGATCGCGTTTGCCATAAGAGTCAATCAAAATCTGTCGTTGATCGGCGGTACACGAATGGAGCGCTTGAATGACAAGCCAACTGCACTTATTATCTTGAATATCAGTGCCGATCTTGCCTGTTGTCTTTGGATCCCCGAAGACATCGAGGTAGTCATCTTGTATCTGAAAGTACTCCCCGATCTGCAGGAGAACGCTCTGTGCTTCTTCTAGATTCTCTTTGCTGGCACCTCGGACGTAATGCAGTCCCAGGGCAACGGGCAAGTAAAAGCTGTAGAATGCGGTCTTGTTGGTGGCGATGAAGGTGTACTGTTCCGCCGACATGTCTCCGGCGATACTGTTGCAACCTATGGTCGTGTCACACAGCTGCCCGAGCTCTGTCCGGAACCCCGCCTCGTTAAAGAGTTCGATAAAAGCAAGATACTCCGGATGATCGCGGAAATGTCTCTGTAAGAGAATGAAGATGCATGATTTAAGAAGCGAGGCATCATTAATTGCTAGGAGTCCCACGCCCCCTGCGCGATACCAACATGGCTTGCCTCTCCGGTATTCTGAGTTATCCATGATGTCGTCCCAGATAAGGTACGCTGCCTGGAACAGCTCAGTACACCAGCCAAGAATGCTCAACTCCTCATGCTCGGCCTCGGTTAGAGGTCGTTTGAGGAAGCTGAAGCCGGTGTTCACGACCGCCAGACCCCGGATGAGTTTCCCTCCCGCCGTGTTTTCCTTCAGACACTACGAGATAGCAGTCAGTGCCAAGGTCGACAGCGATCAGCAAATCCTAGACTTACTTTCTCAACTCGTTCCCTTTGCGCTGCTGGTGTGCCCCTTTGTATTAGGCCCTCTTTCAGCTCAAGAAAGAGCAACTCCTGGACTGCTTCAAACTTTTGGCGGTCGGCCATTGACGCGATTGAGAGACTTTGACGTCTGGGAATCTGCTATTTAATGTACATATGAAACGCTGCCTAGATGAAGGACACGAGGTCAACCGTCGCGGCTTTAAATAAGGGAGAGACAAGGCAATGATTAAGCACCGCGCAGTTGCGCAAACGCTGCTCGTTGTGAGGGATATCGCCACGACTTCCTTACTACCTTCTCATTCCCTGCTGGAGATCTGCTGTATAATGCGCCTATTATTGCGCAGTGGCGGTAACAATCCATAGGGGCCGAGCATAGGCCACTATTGGATAACAGGATTGCATCATAAGCATAGGAAGAATTCAAAAATACGCACCACATGCATACTACATTTTCTAATAATCTTGTATGCTGCTTATGGTAGCCCTCCTTGACTACAAGAAGACGTCATCTGAACGAAGACCGGTTTTATGATTGTTCTCATTATGGTCCTTATCCTTGCGTGCACCTGGCTTTGGGGTGGTGGTCATCGAGTCATGGTCAAGTCCGATTAGTCCAACCGTATATGCGAGGGGTCGAGATGTGAAACTGACATTTGCGAATGTAAACTCTAAATTTGAAAGCGCGCTGCAACACAATATAGCTCGTCCTTTAAGACTCTCTTGAAACTGCCGAGATACCTAAAAAGCTCAGTCATACGGAAGAACGCCCACCATGAAGCTGCCTGCAATATCCTCACTTACCTTATCATTCTATAATGAAATTGTCCGCCGGAATGGGAGTATGATCTTAATAGACGCAGGCATCCGCTTCTGGTCTGGACTATTACAGACATTGTTTATCCTTTGGCGGGTAGGACTATAGAAACCTACCCTGCATGATGAAGTTCTGCAGCAGGAACTTCTCTTGCATATTTGACTGCCCATTTTAAGTTTTGGCAGAAACTGCAAGATGACATCAGGTGTCTATTTCATTGACCATTATTCGTTCGCCCAACTGCATGCCTCCTAAACTGGCAACTGACTCTACAGCCGCATCCCTGTAATGACGCAACCCTTGAGGCCAGAATGATTGGTTGTGTGACAAGCTCATGTATGTACTGCCACACAAGACATAGAAGCTGCATATCAAAGGCTGGCGATATTGATGGCCATTGATGATGCATATAAATCAATCAACATATCCTCTACTTTGCCATGCCTTCACTCAGATGTTTCTGTGCTACCCACGTTATATCGCTCTCTCCAAATCTAGAGAAGTTGCGTGAGTCTCCAAATGATCGAAGAATCGTCTCTCCGCTTGTGGAAGCGGAATCTTGCGCACCCAAGAGTCTGGGTCCCTGAAATTAGGTTAAAAGAATATGGAACCTCTTTGGAGGTAAGTGGATCTTTGTTCTGATGAGGGCCGAGAAGTCGCTACTAACTAGACAACAGTTTCTTCTACCGGATTACGAGCTGGAATGTGTGCCTACCGAGAATGGCCCGCAGAACGGCGGCACTACGCATCTATCAAAGGCTTTAGAGGCTGAGGTTGAATTGAAACTCTCACTACAACCCCAGCTACACCGACCTCATATAGACCTCTATAAGGCCGCCATTTCCCAGGTCCAGGCTGTCAGTTTGCTTTTCCCGGACTGTCACGCAGACAGTGTTTGTATCTGCATGACAGCCTGGGTCGGGACTTTGTGCACAGTTGATGATATGCTTGAAGACATGAAGCCTCTCGAAGCGGAAGCAGCCTTGCAGGAAATCATTAGTGTTTTAGAAGAGAAAGGTGGGCGCAAATACACAGCCGCTAGGGGAGATGCGAAGTATGTATATCATACTCACGGCAGTCTAGGTACCTACACTACGTCACGGTCCACAGTGGCAGTGATGGTCGCCAAATTTAAAGCCCACTGTGAGAAATACCTGCCTACCGCGCTGTCTCACGCCGTCTTCCGTGATCTCTCCGAGACTTTTCAGGGCATGCAGCAAGAAATGCAGCTCAAGCGGGGCAGTTTGCCTTATGATTTAGACACTTATATGAGCATCCGTACCCGAACTATAGGGATCAAGCCATTGTTCACGCTGGCTTTGAGTACATGGAGACAAGACCATATCTGGTCCAGTACATTGGACAATATTCAAAATGAGGTTAATATGGTCGCTGGGCTTCAGAACGACCTTATTGGACTCGAAAAGGACCTCAGAAAGGGCGAGCAAGCAAACGCAGTTATAATATTGATGGGGAAGCATTATGACCAACATCTAGATCGTGAAGACTTGCAGAAGGTAACCAAATACCTTTGCGAAAGGCACAACTTGGCCATATCGCGGCTTATAAAACAAATGGAAGACTTGCGACGAAGCGCTCACCTTCAAGATCGAGATCAAGTCCTGGAGATGGTCCTTTTGGATATGCAACTTTTGTTTTCCTTAACTCATTTCCAGTGGTGTACGTCCGCAAAGCGATACAAGGGAGACTAGGCTACATTGGAAGATGATCTTGCTGACGGAAGTAAAGCCGTGTTTCCTGGCTCTCTACCGATTTCGGAGAAGCAGTTGAGATCATCAGAGGCGTCGAGTACCATCTGAAAACTTTCTTTATGCTCTGGTAGGGTACAAATAGCTGTGCAGTTAAGACTTGGGTGATAGTACTCGCAATGTATTCGTTAGTCGTAATCGTGATGACATCCATTTAAGGAAAAACTGGGATTACTATCTCACATGCCGACAACTAGATTGTAATCTCCTGGTTGTGAGGACATCGATTGACAGCTGCTCATGAACCACGGTGCAAGTCTCCAAATATCATCGCTGTCTGTTATCTCGCGGACAAAGTTCAGGACACCTAAAAGGGGTTATGGGAGTAACATGTAGATGGGGCGGAGAAATTGGAATATGCGGTATCTGGTCAACAGACCCGCGAAAGGTGAGACGAATAAGGACGCATCCACCATAATATTCTCGGCTAATATTATCATTTGTCAGTGACCTCACGCAGTCAAAAGTGGCAAGAAGAGCAGAGTTTGGCCGTAACGGGTCACCTGTCGCTGCGGTCTGATACAGGAAACGCATTAGACCGTAGCGTCAGATATGGCTCATCCGCGCCCCCTTGTATGGAGGCAGCGTGCCTGTATATTGCAATGATTTCCATGTATAGAGGGAGGGTGGGAGGTAACTGCACAGATCCTTCCCCCCATCAAGTGGGAAATCCAATTGTCACTGGATGCCTAGCGCATCTACGTAATCAATCAACTCAAACCAGTAGAATTCGCATCCGCGGTCTCGTGCATTCCATATTGAGCCCAAAGTAATTTGGAAGCGCGACCGCATCTGCTTCGAGAATGTGATGACCCGCTCACTCCTCTTTATTGCCCTTATTCTTGAATTTTTCCCGGAAATCTCGAAGCAGGAAACCAGATAAGCAAGGTCTGTGCATGGGATAGATCGTTGGGTTAATTGGAGTACCGTCTCAAACTCGCTAATAATAGCCTGGGATAGCATAACAGCCTCTTGGTCATGTTGGCCATAGGGATGATATAGCCGATGAATGATAAGTAAGGCGGCAAGGCGCAGGACTCTGGACTGTGCCAAGATTGCCACAACCTCAGCTTGTGTAAAACGATCAAGAAAGTCGACAGGTGTTGACGGCTGCCACTGGTCGACAGCGGCGTGTATTGTATTCAATCTTTCAAGGGTCTCCGGAAGCACTGCTTTTTCTTGTCGAACCGAGCAACTTATCTCACAGATGTCGTAGAAGTAAGTGAATATCGGGGAGCTGAGTCCAAGATAGCGATCGACTCTGTCTTTTCCATCAAGATCAACTCTCGTGGTTGGAATGTTTGATCGCAAAAGACACTCAAACGTCTCCGTACAGGCCAAGCACATAAGCAGGTCTATCATGGAAGGGTCTAGTGTTGATAGATCCATATGCTGAGATTTGATGAGGCTCAGTGTATAATGCGAAATGAGATACGGTTGACCTTGTGCAACATGCATTGCAAAGGTAACCATCGCAACCCCTAGTATGAGCGCCGTTACCAGGTCCTGCTCACTGGATATTTTGAAAGAGCGAAGAGCAGAGAGCACCAGGGCAGCGCGGCTGTGCCCTATCTCACCACTTGGCTTGGCGTACTCGGGGAGTTGATCTCTAAAAAATATGGCCGCACATGCAACTGTAGCATTTCTGACGATGGATGTTGGTTGAATGATATTCTGGATGAATAAAGAGTGATCCGACTCATGAAAACTTGGACACACGAGAAATTTGTCCAGGGGTGACGGTTCCCGTATATCCTTCATTAAATTCAAGAAGTGACGTTCCACTGGATCCAGATCTGATAATATCATTGGATTACTCGCAAGCCTTGCATTCCAGGATACGCATGAGTGAGACAGTGCTGCTTCCACGCGCATTGGAAACGGAGTGAGCGCACCTGAGGCGGATGACGTTGGCAGCGTATATGGCACCTTTTTCGACCTCTTCGATTTCCGTCCTGGCTTTATAGCGCATCGTACGGTCTGGCAATACTGACCTATGCGGGCGCATCTTTCGCACACAGCAGAGGGGTCTGATCGTCGGCATTTCTCTTTCACTGCATGGCACTGATCACAGGCACGCTTGGTTGGGCCTGTGGTGGCCATGATCCGGTTATTAGCGGTGATACAATTACAGAGCTCCCATTGGCCATATAGCTTGAAATTATAGCATATCCTTGTAAAAGACTAAAGGACTTACCAAGCGGGCGTCAGTATTCTGTTTCGTGGACTGGCCGTTACCATAACTTACCGAGAGTATTTAGAGAATTGTATTAAGGAGAGAACGATCTCCAATACCGGCTGTGGTCGCTATATAATCTCAGCTATCTCTAGTTGAAATCTTCATGTGAGTAGGCAGCTGGCATCGGCAGCGAGGAGGAACGGGTGCAGCAGTAGGGAATGATCCAAAGCGTGAGTGGACCAGGTTAGTGGCCAGACGCTGCTTGCAAAAATTTCAATATATTTTATAAACCTGCCGTCTTTAAAGAGTTAAATGGAGCACTTAATGCGCCAAGATCAGTGGGGTCGGCTTCMCCATCTGACCAGTGTGATCGGGGAGGACCTGCCTCTTAGGGAATACCAGTCTTTGGTTAACGGAGGGCCAGGCCGCCCAACGGCTGCTTGACTACTTCCTTCTAGTTAGCTCAATTTCTTACTGCATCCTCCTCCTCTTCTTGCCTGAATGGAGTCTTTTCAGCTAGTTACTATTTTTGGGGTGTGAGTGTATACCCGCTCCAGACAGCAATTACCTGTATCCTTTTCATCCGATTCGCTCCCCAATTGTTACTTTACACTGATACACATCATACTGACACTCTACGATTATTCTTTGGCATATCACTTATCGATTGCTCATGCATATAGACAGTGTAGGCCCTTGCAAGACATAAAATCTCCCATGCTGAATCTTGTCTTTATCCTCCCAAAGTCCTGATCAATACTCGGATCTATCCCCTAGCCACCCTCCGGAAAATCGAAACCTCTGGTTGAGATCTGGCAGAAATCACTTTCAATAGTCATCATTACTCTTCGCCCTCATTTCGACGCCAGACCTTCGCCCGGGCGTGCAGGAAGATAGTTGGGATAATGCTGACAGCGACGACCAGCGCAGAACAGATACCCGCACTTGGAGCGACTCCGACATACTTGAACATGGGAGAAAACCTGAAGGGAGGGTTAGCTATAATGTGCAAGGTACCACCAGGGTCATTGAAGAGGTGGCTCACCAAAAGGGCCCAATGAACCCCCACATCTGGCGCACGAAGGTGATAAACACACCAATGCTGGCGGCCTCCTGGGGGTGGCAGTCGACGGAATAAGTAATCATGACTGTTGTTACCAGCTGGTTACCGACTGCACCAATGGCAGTGCTAATTATAGGCGAAACACTCCAGTGGCCCGCTGGTGACGCCTGGGTGCAGACTAGGAAGACAATAATGCCGATGATGGTCAGGGCAAAGCTAAAGTAACTGAGCTACAGCCAGAACTCGGGGTCGGGCTTGCGTCCGATACAGCGGGCGCGTTGGCTCATCCAGAAGTCTGACAGCACACCACCCATCTGCTCGCCAATTACCGATCCAATGATGACACCCAGGAACTGGAGGCCCAGCTGCTCGGCATTCAGCTCAAACTTCTCTTGCAACAGCTGGGGCACCTCAACAGTCGCAAGGACACTACCGAACAAGAAGACCATGGAATACGCACAGGCAGGGATGGGAATGGACAGGTGGCGGGCCATGGTCAGAGGTCGGACGAACTTCCACCAGGTCAGCGGGGTGGAATCAATTCGCCGGATTGACAGATACTCCGTCTTCCAGTTTGCCGCTGGACGGTTGACACCGCTGCCAACATACCGAGTCTCAGGTCCGAAGAGGAGATACAGGATGAATTGTGCACCGTTGATCTGCCACGGTTATACCTCGTCAGCATGGCGCTAACGAGACCGATTCCCCGATCCACCGGCGGAGGTACTTACCATAGCCAGGATCCAGTAGATCCAGTGGTAACCCGTACGGTAGGTGGCAAAGCCGAAAAGGAAGGGCCCAATTGGCACCCCCAAAGTGATCATCAGGGTCCAAACGCCCATGTAGCGTGCGCGGTTTTTCTTGAAAGTGGTTTCCATCACCACCGCGCTGCCGATGGCCGAGGCAGGTGAGATAAAAAATGCCACCAAAGCCCGGCAGGCAGCGACTGATGCGTAGGTAGTGCTTTTGGAACAGCCAATGTTGCAGAACAGGCTGCAGACGAGTGACAAGAGAAAGATAGGGCGGCGACCGAAGCGATTGGACAATGGTACCCAGAACAGGGGAGCGCCTCCCAAGATGGCGATTTGCAATGAAGTCAGATAACTAGCATTTTGCAAGCCAACACCAAATCCCTCGGCGATGTCTGAATAGGCTGGGATGATAGCTGCAGCGGTGAAGGTACCCATACAGGCATGAAATGCCACGAGGATAAGATTGGTCATTTTCTACAATGTCGAGCATCAGCACCTCGTCTCTCCTCACTCCTTTCTTCACTGTCAGTCAATCCGGGGTGGATCGTTACTCACCTTCCACTCAGGCCAGTTATACGGATCTTCTGGGCTCATGCCTGGGATAGGGTCCAATTCCAGTGTGCCATGTCGTTGGAGCAAGAAGTCCTGATGGGCTTTGGGGAGACGAGCAGCCACGGACTCGACGTAGCTCGCCGCTTGGTCGGCTCCTGCGCTCTCGACACGGTCAATGTCGAACTTGATATCTAAACGCTTCTTAACCTGTTGGGTCTGGTCTCCTAAACAAGAAGCAGAGGGTTGCAACTGAAACGATGTCATGGCTAGGCTCTCGTCGAGGGTGGAAGATTACCAGATTACACACCGCTGCTTGGATGTTCTCCCTTTTTTGGACGTTACAGAGATTAGGAGGTGATGGAAGGATCAATTGAATTGGATAAAGACTGCAGGGCCGAGAGTGCCTGGTGATTTCAACAGAACTGGAGAATCACAGTATACAGCGCCGTTGGGCGACAGCGAAAACTATGCTGGGGTGCTCGGCAATGTCGAAATTCGTCGGAAGTGATCGCGCAATAAGCTATCCAGTCATCCGGGAGATACAGGAGCCGGGGTCATTCTTTGCTGAGCTGATCGACTGCCTGGAGAGGAATGCGGATGGTCTCATGGGTAGCTTGGTCCAGTCAGGGCCAGCGAGCACGATTGTGTTGCAATCCCGGATATCATCCCCTTTAGTCACAGCCCTTCCCGGCACCATAGGATGGCAAGCTAATGGGGCATCGTCCCTTCCAGCCGAGCACGGCATAAATAGCTTGTCCAAATACCGAGCAGCAGAGGACGATGCCTCATCCACTACAAAATGTCGCATCGCAGAAATAGGGTTTGGGGTGGGTACTGCACAGGGGCCGATCTGTCATGCCAATTGCGCCAAGCCGGCTTGTTTCGCGATGTATGATTCGATACGCTCCCTATCCCCACTCTTTAGCGAGCCAAGCCAACGGGCGGCATGGGCCCATTTTCTCCGCAAACTGGTACCTGCCCTGGTTGGGATATACTAACCCCCACAGGATGCAATCAAAATACCCTTTTTGTTTGCGAGGTCGTATCAGCCTGACATGGTGCTAGGATTTCGGACCCGGCATTGCAGCAAGCCTTTGATTTCTAGGACTCTGAATGGCCATCGTGGACCACAATGAACCATGTGATCATTATGTAGCGTCTTTGGCGTGTATTCATTGAACTCGGACCGGCCTTCTCCTATGGCCAACAGCTCTCGGCTAAGAGCCAGTACAGCGTTGAAACCTTCAGGAGGGATACCATCTGACGGGCTGTAGTTGTCCGATTGGTAAACATTTACCCGACTCAAAATATAACCAGCCATATGCCAGTGTACATCTATTTTGTATGCGTACAATTCAAGTCCTATCAGACTTCCACATTCTACAAAAAATATTAAGCTTCTGCATACCTTGCCTCAAAATAGTTACACCAGTTTCAAGTTTTACATATCCCAAGTCATGAAGACGACAACTCTCAGAATGAGGTTCCTGTTTGTGGCCAGCCTTATTTCCCTTGTCCAGGTGGGGACAGCTGCACAAGGATCCAACTATAATGTCACCAAAAGCTTCGCAGAAGCCCATAGTTGTGACTGCAAGTGCCAGGATGACCTGAACAACGCGAATCCAATCGATCTCGCTACCTTTGGCCAGAATTTCGACTTTGATTTCTACGAGACAGCTGCCAACTTTTCTGGTTCCAAGCCAGGCGACCTCTTGAAACTCCAGCCTCTGGATCCTGCAACCCTCCAGATTAATGCAGGAACAACGGTATATCGCATCCAATACACATCCCGCGACCTCGACGGGTCACCAGTGCCCGCTACTGGTTTCATTGCTCTTCCATATGCACCGGTAAAGGAGAATTCCAGCACGTATCCCGTCGTGGCCTACGCGCATGGAGCCAGTGGGATATACCGCGGGTGTGCACCGTCCAATAGCCCGAACCTTTACGACTATAACAGTTGGCAGCTCCTCATCGAAAGAGGATATGCGGTCGTCGCCACGGACTATGCTGGCTTGGGAAACAATTACACCCTTCATAAGTATATTAGTTATCCAGCGCAAGTGAACGACATCTATTTTTCCATGATCGCCGCTAGAAAGGCATTCGACATCCTCTCGGACACCTGGATGGCAGCTGGCCATTCCCAAGGTGGAGGAGCAGTGTGGAAGTTGGCGGAGAGCGAATATGTCAAGGACGACAAAGACTATCTCGGTACGGTTGCACTGGCACCAGCTGCCAAAGTCATAGACATGTTTCTGGCCGACAGGGACGAGGTCATCTCCTCTGGTTACTTGCCTCTTCATGCCAAGGCGTATCAACGGGTGCATCCATCGTACAAATTGACTATCCTGTCAGACATCATGCGGGACCGCATGGTGATTTCGGACACAGCGCAGCTTTGTCTGGATGCTTTGGGCGCCCTGTCTTCTGACTTGACAGTTGAAGAGCATATCTCAGAAGAAGGAATCAAGACAGACATACCACTCCTCTTGAACTGGCAGAATGAGACGGCTCCAGCCTCGGGAGGACACAACTATCAACCACTTCTGGTCCTTCAGGGTCTGAATGACACTGCGGTTGTGCCATCTGTAACACGGGCTCTATGGAAACATTCGTGCGATGTCGGAAATGAGGTCCATCTCAGCGAGTATCCCGGAATGAATCATGATCAGATAATCCCTGCTGCCGCACCAGAGTGGCTGGCCTGGATGGACGCGCGATTTGCACGACAGCGCACCTCTGGAAACTGCTCTATTGAGCAGAAAAGGCCATTCGATCTAAACCACATGGAGTTAGCACTAGGAAGTTAAAGTAGGGGGTACTACGTATCCACTATCGTCTCAGGTCAGGCCTTGTGATTTAATTCTTCTTTCCCGCCTTTCCGAATCACTTGGGGTAGTGTCACATAGCATGCCAGGGCTCGAGGCGTCTAAGACTGCCGAAGGGCGAATAGGATGGAAATACTGGGATGTCCGCTTTCGAGTGGACGATGATGGGGAATACCGTTGAGGGAGCCAAGTAGTACATGTGTGTTTGATAACTGACTAAACCTTGGCTGCTTAGTGTCTGCTTTCATGACGATAGTGGGTGGATTTTTATACAATGACTTACCTCAATATTAGTGGTATATAAGTATGGTTAAAGATACAGAAAAGCATGTAATGTGCAATAACAAAGTATAGTTTACTTCAAGACCACATCTGTATGATTGAACGAGCTAAACTGATAGAAGGATTGTTCCCTTAGATCTATTGACCTTGTATGTTTTCGGACTTCTATTCAAATTCTGGGAGAATATACGAGATGAGCCGAAGAATGCATCCTTACTTGCAGAAATGCTTTGCTAATTTTGCCAGCTTCTCCATACAGTCTGTGTGATATTGGTTAGTAGAGTGCAATTTTCACCCCGCATACATAGTCCACACCAGTCGCTGAAACTGTGCTCCAGAGGACAGAATCAGCACTGCCACCGATATGCGTTCTGTTCAAACAGGGACACCTTACGACAAGGTAAGAGTATGAACACTATCATGAGTTCGAAAGTAGTGGACAGAGAGCAGTGGTGGTTGAAGACTTTTATCCATGCTGATGGGATACGAGGGATAATCATCTGAATCTTGCGACGTTTATGTTTCGGTTTAGTCAATATGGAAGATCGGCTATGATTGAATAGCATCAATATGACATGATCACTGTTTCAGATGGAGGATCAGTGAGATTGCTGACTAGCTGAATTACGTTAAAATAGAAAATCATGGAACCGAAGAGCATTATACCTGTCTATGCAAGCTGTAATATGTATAAAACGAGACAAAAGACCAGACCAAACAAGAACTGCATGCCAAAAAGGAGAGTTGCGAACACCAATGCCATCTATGACTCCACGATATTTTGCACCTGACATACTTGAGTCGCAAACTTGGAGATGGTCAGGCTGGGCGCCGGCAACTGCTCCAAGGGCATGTCCATAGCAAATTCCTTAAAGATCCAATTGGGTAACTCGGCGCCAGCCATGGAATCAATTCCATAGGAAGCGATCGAGCCGACCTCAGCATCCACATCTGCAGGGTCCAGCATCAGCATGCGCGAGAGGTTGTCGATGAAATGCTGGCAGATGAGTGCGACCGCCTCAGCCGGCGATTCTACTGCCCGGATGCTGGTCAGGATGCTCAGTTGCGCACCCGCTCCGGCTTCATCGGAAGAGACGTTGATGGAGTGCACGGCGTGGCTGAAGCGCGCGTCATGAAGCCAGAAGCTGTCGGTGCTGGCGCTATCGTTAACGGCCTTTTGCAGCTTGGCAGGATCCAGCCCGACCACCACATGGTCTGGAGCGGGTTCAAGGTGAGTGTTGGAGATGATGGCTGCTTCAAAGGACTGTAGTTGGCCGCCGCGTAGTTGCTCTGACCTGGGGTGCCCAGAATTCCCGAGACGGAGCTGGTCATGGGAAAGAAGTCTAGAGGCTCGTCAGCCAGGACAGCATGCAGGTTCTGCGCTCCAAGCACCTTGGGCTGGGTGGACTGTTTCCAATCCTTATAGGTCATGGAGTGAAAGAGTCCGTCCTGCAAAAGTCACAGTCAGTCAATAAAATCTTTATTACCCATGTGAGAGGCATGAACTTACCTTCAGAACCATGGCCGCGTGGATATCTGGCAGTGATGAATGATATTAAATCAGAGCTTCTGTCTGCAACCTGTACGTGGAAATAGTGGCAGTAGCGAATAATCCTAGTTGCTACAGGCATGGGTGAGTCATAAATCCCTTTGTTCGTGTTGCAGGCCGCCATCTATGTATTTATAGACCATGTTTATAATGTAAGCGACCCCTGGACTGACGTGGCTCTCCATTTTCCTATTCATCATCCTTAACACGGTTTTCATATCGCTCATCCAGTCAACAGTTATTGACCATCAATATATCCATTGAATATCGAATTCATTAGTATATACAAGGCATTGAATCTCCATTAAGTGCGAGAGCAGCCTCTTCAGATGCTCCAAATCCCGACCTATTTGCTACGACTCAATCCACATCGCGAGCATGAACATCATCACCTTCATGCAAAACCGGCCTCGACTTACAGGTGTGCTCTCATTAGCTGCTGCTGGCACGATAGTCGCCGCATACCTTGGCAAGCGACGGCTTGACCGCTCATGCCCGAGAATCTCCATCACGGAGCTCCCAAAGTCGAGTGCTTGTCGCAACCTCGTGGAGAGAGGCGAAGCAGTCCCGAAGTCAGTATGGGGGATGGAAAGGTCAGCTCTGCTGGCGTCGTGGTCTGGTGGGGACAAAACCCGCTGGGTGCCCTCCTTCGCAGCCCTTGAAGCGGATGTTCCCGTATCCCTTCTCGCTGGATACGGAGCATTTGACTGCGAAAAGAGCAACGCCGAGAAGGACGACGCGCATCATCTGATGCAGAATTTAGTTGCCGCCTTTCTTGATGCGCGGGCCGCGGGGCCGGAGGCGTGGCTTCTGGACAAAGAGGTGCCGCCATTGTCCTTCGCGCCAGGTACCCTATTATTCGGCGATCAAGCCAGCATGGGAGCCTTCATGCTTGGGACCTGGAGTACAAACCGGAAGACTCCTATCCAACCTCAGGCTCTGGGTCCAGAAGCCCCCGAGCCTTGCTCCGAGTTCCCGTCAAACAGGGATGCGATCGAAGATAGTCCCACGGATACAGCCGGGGCCGTGATGTACTGGAAATTCCCTGATGGGCTGGTCCGAACAGCGGACAAGGCAGCATCGTACGGTCTCCCGTGGCGGTTCATGAACGGCGGATTTCAGGAATTCATTGTGGAGAAGGTGTCAGATGAAACGGCGAGGGTAACATACATCAGTCTTGAATGCTCTAATCTACACCCCGGCGGCCAATCTACAAGGAATTTCAGCATGTTGCCATGGCTGGCTTATGAGGTTCACGTATTATATGCACAACTCCTCTGGCATAATACTGTGATACAACTTCATAAGCGCACGAAAACATGAGATGATTTTCTACACTGGCATTAGGATAGAAAGTAGTAATAAAGATACCCCTCTCTGCTCATCCTGTATTCCCTATATCCGTGCATATCTAGGTACTTGCATAGAAGGCCGGTGGCTCACTGCCTCGCTGAGCATATCTTCGTACATTCTCACTAGATACGGTAAGTGCCTTGGGTGTGATGTCAGCTCACCACTGCGGCTGATATACGGTGAAAAGCGGACCGCATTGCCCGCACTCAGCCGCTTGAAGACAACTCCGTTAAACAAGAGGTAAAAGAAAAAGCATCGAAAGCGTGTTTTCCGCTGATGGAGGTCTTGTACAACCTTCTACGCAAGCTTTGTTTTCGCCTTAGTAGATATAATTACCTTGAAGTAGCCGGCCATAGATGAGGGTATCTGGCTCAATCATCCCAGACAATCGCCATTGCCACCTTCACTCAAACTAAGAACCTGTCGCTAAGCTACATGGGCTCCAATTCTTCAAAAACAGGCGCCCTAGCCCTTGAAAGTTTCCCAACCACGCGGCCAGCCATTCGAATCAAGATATGAGAGAATGCATATCGCATGCACCGGTCGACTTACACTTCTCTAGGCCGGACTCGCCGGTACATTGCCCTGTGGGGACATTTACTCTGGCTCGACCCTTGTTGGTGTCGTGAGTTATCTCTGTCGAGAACCTCACACTGCGAAAGGGATTACTGACACTCATAGCCTTTCTCGCGCGGTACTATCGAGTCGGTCGAGGGCTTCGAGCCCAAGGTCAACTTCACGATCAACAACGGCCACGACTGGTTCCGCATCGATGCAGACAAGAAGCATGGGCGCCTGGGCATAACGGTCATTGCTACTGATGCCGAAGGCTGGTGCATGCGCGTCATGGCCGACGGCGTCGTCGAGTTGAACGAGCCTACTCTGGGTTTGATTATGGGTCATCCTGAAGCAAAGAGTACACCCTTCGGCTCTGCAGGTGAGATAGATTCCTATTCCCGGTGTTAGGGGTTGCATCTGGCTAACGGTGGATAGTTGAGCAAATGAGATTCGAGTGTGGCCATGAACCTTACAAGCCGATTGAAAACATGATGTTTGCTGTCAGCATGCGTTTCCTGAAGGAAGAGAGTGGTGAACTGTTTGCCGATATCCGACTGTCCAGGATTGTTGCAGGGTCTGGTTATGAATGAAGGTCTAAATATGTATGACAGTTAGCATTCACATGGACTAGCAAGCTTATACCGTTACAAAAATATGGATGGTTTGGTTTATAAATATTGCAAAATCCTCTTTACTTCATTACTAAAGTAATGTATACGACCATATTCCTTGAGCCAATCACAGGCACTGTTCTGCTCTACAGAAGCTCATAGCGACCGCGGGACGGTCAGCTCATMGGCCATAGATGCAGACGGCAAGATCGCCGTCGCGGGTATTCGGCTTGTTCGGGCCCTATTCTCCATCAAATGCTTCTGCGGCCTAGGCAGCCAGGACGTCCGGCACCCGCTCACCAGCTGGTGGACTTATTAGCTGGCCGAATCCGATACGACGCGCCTCCCAAGCCATGATTGCTATAGGGCTCAGATATCCATGAAGGTACCGGCTTTATACTCGGCTATGGTAGCTACCCGATGTCAAGATTGAACTCGGAGTATATATGCTGAATACAACCATATGCTCCTCAGTAGGCGAATTCCTGACCGACAAGCTTTTCACTCAACTGCCACAATCTCTCTGCTTCGACGACACTGGTTCCCCATGGCTTCACAGTCTCAGTAAAAGGGTCGGCAACATGACAACCTGTCAAAATACGCGCCATTATACGCTGAAAGACTGCATGTTAGAATAATGCTTGTTCTTAATGCTTGGGAGATCTGTTAAAGCCTACCTTCCAAGCCGGGTGCAAATGAAGCGAAGATATGGATTGCTGGCCCCTGCTTGGCTGACTTGAATGCAACCTCATCCTCTACATTCCCGAGTGCAGCGTCCACAGCCTCTGTATTTAAAGGTCAGAATACTGTTTTGTGGCTATAAATGAACATCAACTCACGGATAGCTGAACGTTCCTTCCACCAGTTCATGTGTTCAGAAAGGTGGTGAATACAAAGCCTGGGTGTAGACTAAAGGCCAATAAGCCATGCGTTTCTCTCAGCTTCTTGGCCAGAGACAGTGCCATCACCATATTCGCTATCTTGGTTTGGCCATAGGCTTGCCATTTATTATAAGTGTCGCCATCCTGTGCACAAAGTATTCAGCGTCAGCCAATAGTTATGGTTCTCAGACAAGAGAAGGAAGCATTTACATGAAAGTTATAATCCCCCCAGCGGATCTGATTGAAACGATGGCCCTCACTGCTGACGTTCACCACCCTCAGTGCTTCCGATGCCAGAAACTTGCTCATTATCAAGTTGGTGAAGTGGAAGTGCCCCAGATGATTGACGACAAAGGTCATCTCGAAGCCATCTACAGACCGTGCCCACTCGACCCCAATAACGCCAGCGTTATTGACAAGGACATCGATCTTGGGGACACCATCCCAGCCGAGGATAGTATCCGCTGCCTCGCGGACGGCAGCGAATGAGCTCAGGTCTAGCTCGAGCACGCGAACCTCAACAGCAGGGCGAGCCTGCACCCAACAGTTTGGGCAGGACGTGATAGGCTGATAGTTGTACATTAGTGTCTTGTAGCTTGGGCGCCTTGATCTCACCTCAGCGCCCTTTTAGCATCGGGTTGATGACGTGTCTTTCTGAAGTATTCGAATCAACTGTGGATGACGGTTGAAATATGTAGCTGTAAACAGAAGGAGTCTTCTCAGTGAGCCCAGCTCGATCAAGGGGCTAATGGTATCGCGTTGAGGAGAATAGGGCCGCTTGGTGGCAGCGACCACGAGGCCCGCACCCAAACAAGCAATCGAACGACCAATGATGAGTGCGGGAGAGTTGGGCGCAGAGCCGCGCAGATGATCATTGTGATGAGAATACTCCGAGACACAGTCAGGCTTGCCCAGAACAGATCCTTCTGGGTCTGCTTCAGAATGACTCCTCTCTCATTTGTGCTCGTCAGAGACTTCTCATCTGGCGGCAGAGATTTTACAAAGCAAAATGTTCTTAGTTCTTCCCATATTTGGTCACAACGTCACTGAATAGTTTGATTAAAGGTGCATAACTGAACTAATGAACTCAGAACCAACCCTCGCTGAACTTACAGTGATTGGGTTCGGTCCTTAGCGGCCTAGCCTAGGGAATTGCATTAGTTTCAGTTTCCTTATCCCCGAAGGGCCCGAACTAATTTGGGTTTAGTGAAAACTGTCAGTCTCAGACTCTCATTTTATCCGTTAGCTCAGTTCAGTAATGATTTCTTCCATATTAATCACCAAACTTTAGGATTCTTCTAGCATTTCGATATCACTAGATAGCGTCGTATCTACTCTATCTAAATATCTAATATTGATTCAGAATACCTAATGGTGGCTAAGATATAAGGGGAGCATCTTCTCTCGTCAAGGTCTGTATGAAAGTGGTGGGGATATATATAAATGTGCATCTACCTTTAACAGCCACGTGGTTTATAATGATCTTCAACCAGGCAGCTATTCATCACCATAGATATCGAATTGAGATCCTTCAGATATGGATTAGAATAACTGTACTTGCTATATATTTCAAATTTTTATAAGCATTGTAGATAGTATGGTAAATGGTATGCCTTCAGAGAATTAATTAATTAGAATGATTTAAATCTGACAACTATTGGAGTTAAAATACGGAGTTATGGTAGGGTTCTAATCCCCCACGGTCTAGGCCTAGTGGCGAATATTGCGGAAACTGACACCGAATTGCCTCATCAGTTCTAGTTCAGCTTTTTTTTTCGGTGTTTAATGCCAACTGGCTGGAAGGCACACCAACTCAGACCGAATGACCCCAGCATAAGCCAACCTCCTTTGACCAACGCTGGATATTGGCTGCACATTCGGCACCATACAACTTCGCAATGAAGTCCGTTTGCTGAAGCTCTCTGGCGTACTTGCTGTACCCAGCATCACCTCCATCACCATAGGCCTTACCCTCGCTTAGCACGGGCATCACTGGGCTGGGATCATTCCAGTACAGGCGCTCGCCTTTTCTGTTCCCGTCAATAAAAATCCGGCGAGTCGTGTACACTTGGACCAACGTGGGGTCGGCCAGGAAACTTGGACGTTTGGGGAGCTTAAGGAAGATGCTGTGGGCTTTTGAATATATTTTACGCTCCGAACGATCATCAACACTGATGACCAATGGACGGACAACCTCAAAAACGTAGAAGAGATGGCTTAGATCTTTGATAGACTGAGGTTTGTCCCCGTCGGGAAGGAGCGAGTAGAATTGCCGCCATGAGCCATCTTGGCTGCTGCTAAGAGTCTCAAGGATATCATTGAGGCATGGTAACTTTTCATATTTGAGAGCTTTTCGGAAAGCGTCATTGACCAAGGCTGATCCCGGAGAAGTTTGGATATCGTAGAGACGCCGCGTGCTTGGAACACCGCGTCTATCCAGCTTGTGCAGGACTGCGCTCTTAAGTATCCCCGCCAACTGCCGACTGCGGAGCATAATTGCTTCAATCCAATCCATCACCTCACTTGGCTTATAGCCCCTGTGTTGAAGTCGGTCCTCAATGCTCTGATAGTAGTGCCAGGTTGGAAGATCCAGTATGATATTGAGTGGCACGTGGCACTTGCCATCGTACTTGGTGAAGACGAGAGATGCTATATCTGCAATAGCAGACGACAAACCGGCGATGCGCTCTACTTCATACAGAGTCGGCTGCATTCCCAAGAGCTTCCGGGTGTCCAAGGAACCATCAGAGACACTGTCGTCCAGTATTTTGCGCGTAAATAAGCACATGCCGGTTAGTACTGTAACGCTATCATACACTGACCCACCGTCATTGTCAAAGAGACTGTCCTTTGACTGAAGACCTGGGCATGATATATGCAGCATCTGTGATGAGACAACTGGTTTCGCCCCTGGGAAATGGAATTGCATGTTGTGAAAGGAAGAAATACCTTCCCTTTTCTGTGTAGGAGTGCCAAGTGGTGACCTAACAATAAGCGCTTCGTCGCGTAGTTGCAAGTATGGGGCCTCCTGGAAGGAATAGATTGATGCTTTTGTAGTAATTTTCACATCATTAAGCAAATTTTCGAACAACGCAGTAAATCTTCTGCCCCTTGACCAAGCCTTCTGGTAAGCTTTATTATCCTCTTCGTCATGGTGAATCGTTGGTGTTGTGGAACAGGGAACTATGCCAACAAGGCCAGATAATCCATGATGCCGCTCAATGGACACCACATAGAATGGGGCCATATCACGAAAATGAATGCTTGACTGTGACGACTGCGATTCCAGCCCTGTTTGGAGATCCGCCAGTACATATTGCGTGTCCATGATTGTGCTAATATAAGAGTTGATAAATCCTAAGTAAAAGTTTCAAGTACTAACATTGCAGATATATCAGAAGAGAACAGAAATACATATGTTCGATTGGAGTTCTAACTGAAGTGTTTTAATGGGCTAATTGACTGCTTAAATGTCTCCCATCCATTTAATACCTATAGTTCAACACAAATGTGCTGATATCAGTAATTTGTATACTTGTCTCCATATTCAACGGAAACGGAAAGTTACATGATTCTTCATAATGTCACATACAAGAGAACGACATTGGAGATTACCATGCTGCAGGCCCAGGGCGCATGAAAGAAAAGTCATTTGATCATAGATTAGAGTTGAAGACAGTTGGCATAATGACACAATCTATGGTGCCTAATTTTCTGATGCTCTATGCTACGGACCACTACAGATCTGTTGATCTCCCAACAAGGAAGTCTTATACCCCCTACTCCGCCAGGGAATGGGGTGAAGTCTGCTTGATAGAAGATTGTAAATTTCTTCTCCCTCATTTTCTTTCCTTTGGAGACACCTTCCGGTTCTCGACTGTGGGCGGCAACCAAAATCATGATCCTTTTGGACTCCAACGTTACGATGCCATAGTCGAAGCTAGAACAGCCTATGCATTGTTCACCAATAAAATAGTTCATGGTGCTAGAGCCATGGATGTAGTATCCATTTGACAAATACTCTGCACCTTAAAGGAGGTAAAAGCTATGGTGCACCAGCCAATTACCTGAGGGTAACTGAGCACAAACATACATATTCATATTACACAAACTTTCTTGTTCCCACTTCTTCCATGATGAGGAACTGAGATCATCCAATCATTTTTAGAATCCGAAGGGGCTGCGGGGCTGGCAACTGGCGGGCACCAGTCATGTCGTCCGGTCCGTCCCGAAAGCCCCCCTCAGGCTACTGCAACCAGCACATTTTCTGCAGCAGGAAATATCTATGGCGCCGTGGGCCTGACTGCTCCATTCAAGGCGATGGGCATGATCGCTCCCATGTCAGAGATGTCTCAGAAGTCTATAAGGCTCCTGGTCTGGATCCTAGCACACGTACCACGTAATTTTCAATCATTTATTTGTCAATCCTTGCGCAGGTATGTTCGGTCGCTCCGCCCAACCACAGTGTAATTAATATGACAAGGCCGCGCCTCATTCCCGTGTCTGTGGCTGTTTGGAAACTAGTTTCCATCTTGAACAGAGCTGTCTTGTGATTTAAGTTTCTGGACTGACTCTAGTTACTCCCTCAATATAGGCCTGAATGCTCCCATGGGTAGCCTAGCTGCCAGGATCAATGTGGTCTAGCATTCTCATTCTGAAGCCGTATTATAATATTCACTGGGCAATTGCCTAGCATATGGGAATAACTTCTTCTGCAGGCTCTGCAGGTATCCAGATAAATTACCATACTGTCAATCAGAATCCCAGTCCTTGAGGCTTTACCTGTTGAATCTAAGTTTTGAAGGTGCATCAGAGTCCTCTATTCATCATCATGCTTCATCACTGATTTTTGTCTATGGCAAATCCTATATTTATGATCTGCACTGGCCCTACCAAGACTTCGCTCCTCTAAGGTATCACACCCAGAACAAGCAATAAAGTGCATTGCGCTAGGTCCCTTGGCTCCTTTTGCCAATCACCGAGCATAAATTTGGATGGACTAGGAGAGCACATGGTGACATGATAGACATCTGAAATTGTAAATGCCAATAATATCTACAGGGTGAGCCAAAGATGGCCTGGAGGGAGGACGCCTGTCCGGGCTATATAATATCGCGAGAAGTACAGGTTTGAAGTCTGAATTAACATATCCAATTTAGATTACAGCGCGGAAATATTCAAATACGAGGAAAGCCGACATCATGCCCAGAGTCAGGAAGCAATTTTTGATAGCATGAAATTACCAAATATCTGCCTGTAATATCATTCCCTCCAAAAAGCTTCCCCCAAAACGCACGAAGATGTGGGAATCTAGGTCCATTATCAGCTCGCTGCAACAGTTGGCTACAAACTAGATTTTACCATACTCTTCACTGCCACATATGATGTCTGCATGGATCTTCGAAAGCACACTCCACAGATTGTTAGTCGGTATTTAGGAAGATCATCTAGAACTTAGATTACTTACCACGCCAGGGCCGCCAGGACGTGGAGGGCTGCCGCAGTCCGCACAAACACTGAGACATTGGAGCCCTTCATCGCAGGGGTGCTGAGTACCACTGTGGCATATTTCACCGGGTCCAGGAAGATACGTCCATGCTGTAACACATGTCACCATAACAAGAGCTAGAAACTTCATTTTGGCTGCTAGAGATAAATGGGGAGGTATTGTCTGTCTTCAGAAACCTTTCAGACTGCGAGAGGTGAATATAGGAGTTGTGGAGGAGTTGGTAGGGAGCCTCCTGAGTTTTCATATCCTGTTCTTCCGTATCACAGCTGCAGTTCAACTGCCGAACAAGAGCCTATACTCGTTCTGATTAAATAGATGACAACATATGATGTTTCACACTCTTGCATCATGACCTCAAAAGCTATCTGAATAGTATGGTTGAAATACATTGACTGATTGGTTTAGGCAAATGTAATAGCTCAAATATGATGAAAGCAGCAAGGACTTTATACATTGCCTTTTCACTGGACATACTCGCCATGGAACAAGGATGCCTAGATCTGTCTTAGGCTTAAGGCTGAGAAAATTAGATAAGTATGATGAATGAATCCATTTCATACCTGACTTTATTGCTAATAAACCCCAAGAAGGTGATATTCTGCCAGTACTGAAATAAGGAAATACACATATACCACCGCTCTCAGCTGTATTAATAATAATATTAAATGGCTCACACAGTCCCTTTTCCCATAGTAGTCTGTTATTCGCTTTATCATGATCTTGTCGAGGAAGTGAAACCAATTTGCTCTTCTTTTAGGAAAAAATGATGCCTTTTCTAATAGATATTATGCAAATGAAAGACAATTGAAAGGTCTCACAATTGCTGCTTTAGAAACAGAGGATATATCTCAAGAGTCTAGAATTGGAGCTCAGATACCTAATATAGTCCACCAATTTAAGTGAGCTCTATCAAGTGAATGAGGGTTATACCGTAGAGAGTACAGTTCCTTTGAACTGCTTGCATTATATTCATAGCAATGTATTGGTCAGCATGACAACATGATTCCAGTCTCCCTGCCTGTTTAATCTGAGACGCGTATTACCGTGGGTTGCAACCAATGTGAGTATATGGGTATTTTGTGTAACATAAAAACTTAATTTGAGATCCGGGACCAAGATCAATGGGGAAAATTCCTGGCCGAAATGAAGAATGAGTCGGCGTGGCACATCAGGATGCTCAAGGGGTAGCTAAGAAAGGTCTAAGAGACGCAATTGTCCAAGCCAGGGATGCAATCTATAATGCGGCGCCATTTGAGAGCAGTTTTTACGTTTAATGAAGAAGTTGTCCACTAGAATAGGGCTTCGGTCACAAACGATCTTAAACAGAGGGGTCGTCAAGGGCTAGGTGGATACAAAGGATAATGATATCCTTCAATTATGTGGCTCAGTCGCCAGATTTTGACAAGAGAACGACTTGAATCGCGTGGATGTTGCTTGATGACTGTCACTCCCAGCAGCGTGCTGTCTACCGGAAAACCAATACCTCTACAGCCATTATTCTGTATTGGTTAGTGCCTGGGAAGTTGCTCCAGGACATATCTTACTAATGTCAGGGCAGAACTTCTACGGCCCAGCGTCTCAGTCATAACTCATCCCAGAGCATTTAAAAAAGTGGTCCCGACACATGGTAAACATAAGCCCTTTGGATGGCAAAAATTGCAATGTCAGCGCGCCTAAAACCAAAGAGGCATAGGGAAGAAGATTTTAATATATTAAACACATCTCTTTCAGGAGAGAGGGGGCACGATGTGAACCAGTACACCGTCAAGGAATACCCCATAGCACCACAAAAGCCCATTAACCGTTTCCACCGAACCAAGCAATCTAACCTTGACGATCGGGATCATGAAAATATTTTAGGCCAAAGATTGGCAATGCAAGATCTTAATGGTTACTATTCAGCTCCAGGGACTCAGGCTTATCGCTCCACCATCGCAGTCAAACACAGGAGCTACATGCTCATCCACTGGCACCAACACAGGGAGCATCCCAGCATCCCTATAATTGTACGGACACAGCATGCACCTAGATGAGGGCCTCCCGCAGCTGCGACCGACCTCCAATGGCGGGGATGATCCTTTTCATGTTCTTGCCTATAGACCGTCCGAAGACACAGTAAATACTGGGAAAGGAAAAGCATGGGGATGGATTGGCTGAGCAAGGTGAATTGCTACTTGTAGCGGGGCAAAGTAGCTGCCTGATAGTATGGAAACTTAGGACGGAGCAGTGCGCTGTACAGGCTACAGGATTCGCCGGCCGTCTTTCGTCTTTGACCCGACAAAATCCACGTCCAGGTGTAGGGATTATTACCTGATTTCGTACTTTTCGACGTCAGACGACAAGGCAACAACACCGAGAATTTTACTCAGTCACGCATTGCACCTCGAAAGTCTTCTTGCGTTACGCACAACAGACAAATCTTTGTCCTTATTCTTGCCATTCGCTATGGCCACACAAACAACGACGACGACGGCAAGCGCCCCCGACGATGCCGTCCAAATGCGTAGGCTAGGAACGAACGGCACAGTCCTTCAAGAGAGGAATTCAGACTTAACCGGAGAGGATCATGTAGAGCCTGAGACTCACTCAGCTGAAGAAGCTCAGGAATATCCGACCGGTTTGAAGTTCTGGGTCATCATCCTCACTATAAGTGCTTTGGTTGCTCTTGGAGGGCTGGACACCAACATTGTCGCCACCGCTGTTCCTAGGTACGTATTGGAAAGTTGACATAGAGACCGTATAAGCTGATAGTTTTCGGTTTGATAGTATAACGGATTATTTCCACACTGTTGCTGATGTCGGCTGGTATTCTTCGGCATTCCGGCTCTGCTCTTGCGCATTTCAGTTCGTTTTTGGCAAGCTATACAAACTGTTCTCCATAAAGCGTATATTCTTGCTCGCCCAGGCTATCTTCTTGGTGGGCTCCTTGCTCTGCTCCACAGCCGCGACATCGTCCATGTTTGTGCTTGGGAGAGCTGTGACCGGAGCGGGCTTTGCGGGGATTATCGGGGGATTTTTCACAATTCTTGTGCATATACTCCCTCTCCGCCGACGACCATTCTTCTGCGGCATATTGGGCATTATTGAGAGTGTGGCTATTCTTGCCGCACCCATCGTTGGCGGCCTCCTGACCCAATCACTTGGTTGGCGGTGGTGTTTCCGGATCAACCTACCCATTGGAGGCGTGGCGCTTTTAATGACTATATTCTTGTTCCCGGACCCAAAGCCCAGCGACACGAGCATTACTTTCAGGCAGAAGCTAGTTGAACTTGACCTGCTAAGTAACCTGCTATTCATCCCAGCGCTGACCAGTCTTTTTATCGCGCTTTCTTGGGCCGGTACGAAATACCCCTGGAAAGACGGCAAAGTTATTGGCCCTCTCGTTGCCTTTGCCGTCCTCATCATCGCTTTCCTGTATAACCAACGCCGGCGAGGTGACGCAGCTGCGTTACCGCCCCGTCTTATAAAAAACCGCAACGTTATTGCCGCCGCTATCTTCACAATGTGCTGCAATAGCGCTTCTAACGTGCTTGAGTATTACTTACCCACCTACTATCAAGTTGTACGCGAGTACTCCCCTAGTAGAAGTGGATATATGATGGTCCCAATCGTGATTGGAGCTACTATCGGAATGCTACTCTGCGGGTCGGGGACCAGCACGATCGGTTACTATACGCCATTCATGCTCTTCTCTTCGGCGTTGATGCCCGTCTTTGCGGGCCTCATAACAACCTTTGGAGTAAATACGAACTTTGCACGACTTATTCTGTACTCTGGCGTATACGGCTTCGCAAGCGGAATAGGCTTCAACGCACCTATCAGTGCCGTACAAACAGTACTACCCACCGACGATGTCTCACTAGGCCTGTCTATTGTGCTCTTCGCACAACATTTTGGTCCGGCCGTGTCTATTGCCATAGCGCAAGTGAGTTTTACGAATGAGATCTCGGCTAACCTAGCCCGACTTGTTCGAGGTCTGAATCCTGCCGCTATTGAAGACCAGGGGCTATCGGAAATAGTGGGACGTGCACCGCCGGGCCTACATGAAGAGATTCTTGTGGATGTTGGTAGAAGTGTTAGTAAAACATGGTATCTGTCTGTTGGACTGACGAGTGCAACTTTGATTGGGAGCTTGCTCATGGAGTGGCGGTCGGTCAAGCAAAAGAGCGCTTAAGCCATTAGAGACAACCTTGGAATGCGTGCTTCTGGCAAATAGGAGAGGCGGTGCTGGCTGCTTCTACATAGCGACTTTCCCATCTAACGCGCGCTTTTTTCCATCAGACATCCCTGCTATGTATGTGCCGTGTGAATGGGTACAACTCTGAACATATATTACGAATGCGCGGCGGAGATTTCTACCTCAGCAAAATCCTGGCCGAGGCAAAATATATCTGTTTCCCAAGCTAACGAACAAGTATAGAGTCAACGTTTCAGAATATGAGGCATAATACTTCTCAGGGATTGACACCAGAGCCTCCAAACATCCAAAGATATATCTCTTTGGTTTTGAGTGTGCATGATATGGTAAGTTTAAGGCAGATACCGTTAATACGTGTGCAGTCCTCACTAGCCAGACTAGGAGAAGGAGGATGCAGAGGCCGAAGCCTGCAGGTGTGAAATAGGGAATATAGAATTGGAATAAGAGGGAAGTATGTGACTGTAAATATAGTGAAGGGATTACCTACGGGAAAAACCTAATTAAGCTCTTCTTCGGTTTTGGAGGGTATTAATGATAGTGTGATTTAGATACTCGTGTATTTTTCGCCAATTTTTAGTGATGAAAAGGAACGTTTATGGGGATGATTGCGTTGCTGAAATATGGTAATGCTCACGAATCTCTTTGGCCTTATGACATAGCACGTATTAGGAGCCGTGGCGCATGCCGCCGCGGCGAGCCCCCCATGCAACAGGAACTATCAACCATGGCTTGGATGATTGCCCTACAGAAATATGTTAATGCTCGCGAATCTCGTTGGCCTTATGACATAGCACGTATTGGAAGCCACGGCGCATGCCGCCGCGGTGACCCCTATGCAACAGGAACTATCAATCATGGTTTTTCTTATGCGCCTGTTGTCGTACCGGCTTTTCGCAGGCACTGCTGCGGCGATCCACACCTGATGCACCTACAATGAGGCTAGTATCAGACTGTTAGATCATCGAAAGCGTTGAATTCAAAATGATCATGTGGTGCTGACTTGGGGAAACACCCAAATTCGAATTGGGAATTGTTTGCTCTTCTCTTGGAAAAGACCATGGATTTTCCACCTGCCCTTGCTATTAACATCACAACGACAAGTCAAAAATGACGTCTAAAAATAAAGTTTGCTTCTGTGCTTCACATTTGAACCAGGACCAGTATGATCTTACAGTTGGGTATCAATAAGCAGGCAAATTCATTGCTCGAGATCATCTCGTGCATGAGCTCCAGCTGCAATGGTTGATCAACTTTGCCTCAAGAAATTATGTTTAATGATTTAAGCTTTGCATGGTTGTTACAGCTGGCCGGTCCGCAAATATGCTTATCGGGACTCCCCAGAACATTAATAAAATAGTTAGAGCTGGTCTATTGGTCTGAAGTTAGGTAGACCTTTGTTCCAGCTCTCAAATCGCGCCTGGTAAGCCTCGCGACTGGTAAGCCTCGCGCCTCGCAAGCCTAGCTCTTTGTTCTCTGGGGATCCAATACTCAAACACTAGGGTAGACAGATCTAGCCCTGACGAGCTGTATCCCAGGTATCTATATAAAGACCGAGTCCTGTCTTTCATCCTTCCTTCATTTCCTGCCGTCCATCACTTTAATTACTATCTGATCATCAGTTTTTATACAGTCTATCTTAAAAGGAATCATTATTCACTATGTCGATGCTGATTGAAGCTTCCGATGGCAACTTGCAGTTTGTTGCTTGGAATGCTAAAGACAATACTCTCACCCATTGGTGGCGCAATGGATCTGATCCAAGCCAGTCCTGGCAGGGACCCACTGCAACCATTTCCACCAAAGCGACTGGACCTGGCTGTATCATTCAGAGTACCTATGGGACTCCCACGAATCCCGGTAACTTTGAGGTGGTAGTCCCTGAAGGCAATAATCTTGTCCACTACTACCGTGACAATACTGCCGCTGGACAGCCTTGGAAAGGACCTATAGCTACTATTTCCACCAAAGCAACTGGACCAGCGTCTCTGATTCAGAGCACTTATGGGACCCCCAAGGATCCCGGTAATTTCGAGCTCGTGGTCCCTGAAGGCAGTAATCTTGTCCACTACTTCCGTGACAATAACCCTGCCCTTGACCCGAGTCCCTGGCATGGCCCTACGGTAATTACCGACCAGGCGACGGGCCCTGGTGCCCTGATCCAGAGTACCTACACATCCTCCGGCTCGAAATATGGCAACTTCGAGGTGGTCGCCCCAGTTGGCGGTTCACTTATTCACTTCTACCGCGACAACTCGAGCGGCAAGTGGATTGAGGATGCCACCATCATGGCAGGTGGCACATGGCCGTCTCTAATCCAGAGCTCTTACGGTACTCCCGAGAACCCAGGCAACTTTGAGGTCATAACGATTTCGCAAGGAAACCTTGTCCACTGGTACAGAGATAACACTACCGGAATGAAATGGGCATCGGGTGGAACTGTTTGTAACAGTGCTGACGGCCCTAACGCGCTTATCCAGAGTAACTATGGAGGCTCACCAGGCAATTTCGAGGTTATAACAAATAACAGTGGGAATTATACATACTACTACCGTGATAACTCGAACCCTCAAATGCCCTGGTCTACTGGTAAAGTGATTACCTCTGAAGCGGGCGACTCTGTCAAGGATGCACCCAAGAAATAAGAATGTGCCTTGCTAGGCGGCTTTGGGGTTTATTATTTTTATTTATTTTTTATTTTTTTATTTTTTCTGTTGCTTTCAGCCTATTAAAGGCTTGCCTTATGATGATATGGGTTGAGTAACCGTGTTGTCCCATTGAAGTCTTGTGTTTATTGTGACTGTGGAATAAGTAATATTATCTGGGAAGGGGAAGGGAAATTGTCTCCTACTTGTGTCTCGTTCAAACATATGTGTCGATAATCAGTTATTCGTCTATCTACTCAATGGAAATATTTGACTTCCATGAGTTAGTAAAATGGGTTCGAATGCTACCAATAATGAAGACAGCCAAGGACCTTTAAATACACGTAAACATATACTGGCTAAAGATGGTACTGCAAGGCTATCTGAGTCCATGTATCTTCACTGTCTTCACTGCACCTATGCCATTCCTCATAGGCTAGGTATTGTTGTCCCTGCTCTTGTTGTATGCCATGCAGATCACTAGTACCTGTGAGCTGCCACAACAGGGCTGGGTCAGCGTACTCGTGTTCATTATGCTGAGATCAGTGATCACCAGCCACTGGCCGCTTATTGAGTCCAGGTTGTGGCCCTCCACGCGTAGTAGCCATCGGTACATTTCGCCTCGCTGTAGATGCTCACCGTTCAAGTGCCCATTGTCACGGTTGTCGTGATGGAGTCAGGCTGGCACACGATGATCAACTGGACAGATATTCCGAGGCATAGGCTATCTCAAAGGCCAGGCGGTCATAGTGATCAGCCTCATAGCCATCCTTATCATTAGTAGCGGGGGAAACCACGGACTTAGGCTCTATTTCAGCTCGTCGTCTGGAGTAGTGTTTGGGGCCTGTTCGCCAGTGCCGCTGTTCTAGAGCGTGGAAACTTCCTCAATTTCAAAGGGAATACTTACGCCAGCTCGGCTCGATGATGCTAGGGGAGGTTTGGATAGATGCCACTGAGCGTTCTGGACGTACCTGGCGGGGACCCACAATGTCAAACTATCGGCTTTTTGAATGGTTCGCTTGGCCCGGCCAGTGCTTTGCACGTCCACTGCTCGTAGGTAGTGTAGTACTTCAAATTGCTTGTTTCTGCTTCCATACATCCCACCTTGATGTTAGGGATGGGGTGAATGTTGTCATTGTTTGAGGCTAGGAGTACCCAGTGGATGTGCAGGTAATGACTCCACACCAGGGCCTGATAGTTGGAATAGTTCTTCAAACTAGTGGATTCCTCGGAACTATGCTGCTTGTATCTACTCAGGACACCACATCTGGTAGTATTCGAGACATCTATCTCTGCTATTCTCGGCTAATCACTATTGTATGAATAGGGCACTCTAGCCAAATAAGCATATGGACTGACCAGCTATACAATTGGCATGAGGGTAATATGATCTAAGAAGAATTGAGTATAATAACAGTAGACAAAGAAGCAAGGCCTATTAACTATATATACTTAATAGTAAGAGAGTATCCATTGAGCTTGTGAACTCATACTCTGCTATTGCAAATAGGAGGAAGGATACTATTCATAAGTCTAAATTTACTGTTGGCAGGTCCATGCAGCGGATTCATACCCTACTAGTAACTGGCAGGGGCATTAAAATAAGCCTCCTGTTACATGTGGTATATAAATAAACACTACTTCTTCCTGATTATACTTTTTAATATCCTCTATAAGGTCGATGTCCTTGTGACCTCAAGGTCACCAGCTGAACTGGGGTTAGTAGCTTTGTCAACTGCCGTCAAACCTAGAGGCTATTAGCAACCGGTCAGCTACACTACCAAGTAGCCCTTTTCATGTGATGAGTGCCATGGCAGCTATGTACTCTGTATTATTCATTGCATTTATAGCCCTAGTGCTTTCATCATCATCAGAGCTAAACTGAATAAAGGCAATGCCTCTGGAGCGGTCGGTGGCTCTGTCTTTTATAACAACCTATAGTAATAAGACAGTATACCAAGAGAGAAAGGAGTAGGGGCTAGGTATTTATAAGGTCTTCTACTCTCCTAAATTCCTCAAACTTCTGGAGCAGAGTATCCTCATCTGTGGTCTGCGACAATGCACTAGTATAGTTTACATCAGCGTAGGCCTTAGAGCATACAAGAGCATACAGAATAGGGTTTGGCACAAACCTAATGCATAACTTTGACATTTTGATAAAAGATCAATTGGTGAGATAGGGTGAATATAGGTAGAATTAACCTAGGGCTTGATTAATGATGATGGGCTGTCTGTAGCAAGATGACAAAGAGAAGCAACTTGTGTAAGATGTTGTCCGAGTGTGGTGGTCCTTTTAAACAATAACAGCTGTTAGGCAAATCTGACTTTAAGGAAGGCAGTGTTAACTAATCCCGACTAATAGTACTCCTCAATCCGCTCGGTTAGTAGATTTATTCGACCAGTAGAGGCTCATACTGATGTGTATGTAAATTGTTTGGTTGAAGAATCATGGAACTAATGTAGCTTGTTCCTGCTGAGTGGAACCATGCCAATTGTGCAGGCCCACAGATAAGGTGCTGAGGGCATGGGGGGGTTCCCTTGGAAAAGATCGAGGTTTGTGGGTGATGTTGCAAGTGGCTGAAACTGGATGAAAGCTGCCATATGTCTATGTAATAGTTTCCTTGTCGTCTCCAATCAGGCGCGGGACTATGTGCAAGACCTCGATGAGAGATCTGCATCAGAAACCCGCCTAACAAAGTATGACATTGCTCCGCGTCTACTAGTAGGGTTGGCACGGGCGCTGTATGGGACACAAATTAGGACTGATACCATGGCTTCCAAAATCAATGGTTGCTCCTGTCTTGAAATCTATTGTGTATGAGCACGGTAAGCTTAAGACTGATACACATGTAGATCGATATGGCGATAATTAGAATGGCAAATAGCTATATACTACGCGCTGGCTATGGTCACTTCCACCCCACCGTTGGCCAGCTGCACTTGCCATCCTCCGCGCATTGACTTCGCCTGAGTGGTGACTTTATACTGAGTGCTTGTGCCAGGACTCTCAACCCAGACAATTGCTGATGTAGCTTTGGACGGGCCGGGGACAAGACGCACTGTCACTTGCTTGGCGTTCGTTTTCGCGAAAGAAAACTGGTCAATCCAACCCGCACTGGCGATGATGTAGACTCCTATTGATGCTATGTACACCCGCTGGCGAACGGCGTCTCGAGGCTGTACTGTCACCACCTGTCCATTTACTGCGAAGTTGCCGCCGTATGCAACTAGTCCCAGATCCGGGTCCTCGACGACGTAGGTGGCGGACGCGAGCATGACACCTAAGAAATTCGGCCCGTAGTCACCTGAGTAGTCATCGCCCGCGAGAGTGTCGGGAAATGAGTGGAAGGCGTTGTACATGGACCCGTCCTGGCGAATGTTGGTCAGGGGACCAGAGACGCCGCCGTAGCCGACGCGTAGAAGGTATGTATCCTTGGGCTGCTGGCGAAATTGTGCGAGCAGGGGGATGGCATTGAGGCTGGAGCCATAGTGGTGGATCATGCGTTCGATGCGCTGCAGCTTTCCTCCGTAGCTAAATTGAAATCATGTTAGGCCTTGATGTTTGTCAAAGAGAGCAGCGCATTGCATACATAAAATCCCAGTAGCGCCGGGCATTGCCGTTCCAGCCCCAGTGGGACACAGTAGGCATATAACCCAGAATGCTATTAATCGTCTTGGTCGCGGTGTTGGTGAGTTTGAAATAGCTGTTTGCGAATTCACATCATGAGCATCTGATCCTTTCCAGAGACAGCAGAAGTGGCGTACTTGGTCCAGTAGTATACACCCTCCTGCCCCGTCGAATCCCACGCCATCTCACTGCCAAACGGCTCGGCTTGCGAGTTCCAGAGGTCTGCACGAACTTTCATGGACGCCTCGACTGCAGCCGCCTCCTTGGACCACCCTTCGCGGCGCAGATCCTGGAGAAGTTCACCAATCACTGTCTCGCCCATCTGGCCAACGCGCGAATATTGCACCAGCTCCGTGCCGGAGGAGTCGGTTGCAAAGCAAGCAATGGTGGTATTGTAGGCGCGGCCGAGATACCACTGCCAGGTATTTTTTTTCACCAACCCCGGCTGGTCACGACCGGCGCGATACAGTGCCCAGTACGAGGCGATGACGTGGATATAATCATATGAGCGTTGGGTAGAGTAGGAGTCGGCCTTGTTCCACGACCACCAGTTGCCCCAGTCGATGGAGTTGCTGTACGAATACCCTGGCACGGCGGATGGCTCGTAGAAGAATATGCTTTTGCGGACCAGATTGCCGCCATTCTGGATAGTGGGGAAGAGCACCTTGGACACGAACTCCTCCAGCTTGGCGATCTCGTCGGGATCCGGATGGGCACTCTGTTTCATCGCCGTCGCCATGTAGATGACTCCGCCTTCGTCGCTCAGTCCTGCAATCCAGACCCGGGGATCCTGGAGGACGGGCTGCTGGGTGGAGGCATCGTAAGTGATGATGGAAGGGGCGCGGCCAAAGGGATCTGACTTGTCGGTGAACCACATTGTGGAGGTGGAAAATTGGCCCAGACGGGCGACGGCATCTGGGGCTGACTCCGTAATGAAGTAGTGGACCGTTTGGGTCTTGCCATCGGCGTAGGTGATTGTGAGCCGGATGCGGCCCCATGCGGATCCGGTGGGGGTCAGCGACAGGGTGTTGGACTGCCGGGTGATAGTCAATGCATTCCCCTCGCTGACCACTGAAGCGACCTCGGCCGGGGCGAGGATGCGCAGCTGAACGGTGAGGTCTCGCGGCACCACGTATCCCGTCCCGATTGTCAGGGGAGTGTTGGTGGCTTGGACCGCCTTCTGGATACCGCGGATGCCGTCCTTCACCACGGAGAAGCGTAGACCAACAGTTGTAGACTGTCCGGCGTTTAGGACGAGCGAGGTGGCCGGGTTCCAGGGTTCAACATTGGCCCATTCCTTGTCGGCGTAGGCCTTGGAGTGTGCCTGCCACTCATAAAATCCTTCGAAGGTCTGGCTCCCGTATGCGGTGGAGTCGAAATACGGCTCATCCAGATTGTGCCACGCTTCAAACGGAGTGCTTGTGTTGCCCAAGGGCGTCACAACCAAAGCTTCACCGGTACCTGACGTTGGTGTGACTTGCAAATAGCCAGCGTCCATCCCAATATAGGGGTCAGTCAGTGAGCACTTGGCCGACATCTCCTCTGGGCTGCGGTTGGTGAAGATACTGTTGAACTCAGTCGGAAAGCCCAGACTGCCGATTTCGATGCCATGCGTGGCGGTATTGGTGAGAGTGAAGGACAGGCCCAGGTCGCCATCGACATCGACCCATTTGCGGACGATGCGGAGTGGCGATCCACCAGGCAGAGTCGGGGTCAGGTCAGCAGCCGCCAGGGCATCCTTGGCCTGGACGCCAGTCACGGCTCTGCGAGACTTCGCGGAGTCTCCTGCAACCCATTCCGTCTCCCCCGTAGCGCGGTAGCGGAAGGTGATATCCCCGTTGTGATATTGGCCATTCTCGGTGCGGTTGGGGAGATAGTCAAAAGGGAGAAAATCAAAGGAGTTCCCCTTGGGCGTGAGAGACGCGAGAACCTGAGCATCTTTAACAAGCTTCAGGTCCCAATTGGCTGTGGAGAGGGAGATGTATCCATTTTTGAGGCCGAGGTTGTCGTCTTGCCCGCAGACGGTGAGAGCCAGCAGCGAGATGGCAACGCACCAGGTTATAGAGAGACTATGCCAACCCATTTTCCTTATTATTGTATATCATGGGAATGACAACATTGAAAGGTCGATCTTTCTCTGGCTTTTTCTACTCTTGTTTATGCCTTTCAGCACTTGGCTAGCTTTGTATTTAATATTATCTTAAGCTTGACAATAATGATCGCTCCCATTCCTTCGACGGACATTTTGAAATTAGAATCATCAGGGTTATTGTGCCCATTCCTGGTCTGATCGGGGTGAGACCTGAAGTGGTCTCTGCATGTCGATCCCTCCACATAAGAGCTCGCAACCTTCCTTTTTGGGTATAAGACCGGTGGACGGCGGGGACAAAGTGGGCTTCATCAAACCCCGCTTGAACTAAAAAGAAACGGGCGAACTCCCCATTCGCGGAGGCATTGTCGTGGGTTTCGGAGTAATAAATGATGCATTAGGTTCATTGAAGACGCCGAGTACACCGGCGTTACATGGAAAAGAGGATCTCCTGGCATATCTTCTAGCTCGTCACCAATCCGCTTATCGTGAATATATTACCCTGAAACATCCTCACGCATCCGTCACCTAGTCTGCAACTCAGTCGCCAGTGCTTCCCACTCCTTCACGCCAACACCGGCAAACTGTCCGCCCGAGCCGGATGCGATCAGGGTGGCCCGAATCGAGGTCGTGCGGATGGTTTGGAATCTCACCACGTCCGGGGTGTCGGTTACCTTTAAGGGATAGGGTGTGCTGTTGACGACAGGCCGCCAATTGGACGACTGATCCAAATATTCGACAAACCATTTATTTGGGGGTGCAACTCCCACGTTAGCCCCGGCGTCTTGGTCGGCGAAGAAAACCATCGACGTCCCGTTCAGTTGCACCGGTTCTTTCCACACATAGGTAAGCACACTGGTCTCTCGGGACTTTTCTGCCTCGTAGGAGCTCCAGTAATCCGGGGGCAGCGGGTTGGCCCGAACGATCCCATCGTTGACGGCCTTTATCCAGTACTGGATCCCTGAGGGATATTTTGAGCTGGTGACGGCTTTGGGAGCGATGTTGTATGTTGGAGGAGCCGGTGGCTTGGGTCCAAACGTCTGCACGACCTTGCGGATCGCCGGGGGCGATTGACTATCGTCCCAGTTCAGCTTGTCGAGCGCGATGCTGCGGCGGAAATGTCCGCCTCCCTTGGCGTCCGCCGTGTGGTAGACAAGGAACCATGCGCCGTTGAGCTCAATCGCTCCAGGGTGGGAGGTGGTCGAGGAGACGATAGGCAGAATGACATCCTGGAATTTCCATGGTCCCAGCGGGGAGGAGGCCGTCGCATACGCGATACAGGCGTGGTACGAGGTCGGCGTGCACGGCGAGTCCGGGCCTGCGTTGTTGGCTGCGAACAGCAGATAGTAGACGCCCTTGCGCTTCATCAGCCACGGGGCCTCGAAATACCCCTGCAGTCCGTCAACCTGGGTGACGGACGACCGCACGGTGACCATGTCCGCGTCAAGCTGGTATGCGCGTAATGCACCAAAGGTGCCAAAGTAGATGTAGACCTTGCCGTCGTCATCCACGAGCACGGTGGGATCGATGTTCTGGATGGAATCGCCTGGCGGAGGCACTGACTGCGAGATGATCGGGCCAGACGGATGAGCGTCGACATAGGGCCCGGTAGGGGAGTCGGCCACAGCCACCCCAATAGCAAACGGATCCGCATTCTGGCTGTTGGCCTGCGTCACCGGAGCGTATAGGTAGAATCGGCCGTCGCGGCCTTGAACGACTTGTGCTGCGTATGAGGTTCCGGGAGCAGCCCAGGCGAATACCTCATGCGGTTCTGCGACTTTCGGGTACAGCGTCCATGCGGAGCCGGCAGGGTCAGGTGTTGAGGAGACGAACATTCCCCACTGCTTCATGATAAAGCTGTTTTCATCTGCAGCAGCACTGTCCTGTCCGGTAATGATGTAGAGAGTGTTGTTGACCACCAGCGGTGCAGGGTCGGCCGAGTACCACGAGCCATCTGAGAGGATTGGGTTACCCTTCGAGGTGAACGAGATGGGCCTGGATCCCGTCACCTGGGCTGAGGTGGTTGCGCTGAACGCCAGTGCACACCAGAGGATATGCATCACTGGACAGTAGGTAGTAGAGACGGAAAGTAATGGAGGATTCAGGAGGAGGACAGGCGAGGGTCCAACTGGTTCATTCCAGATGCTAATATTTTTTTTTCAAGAAGACAAATATCTTAAAAAGGTCAGCTCCGTATAGGCCGTGGTAACATGTAGAATGAAAACTGTGGGTCTAGCTCCTGATTTGAGCATTAATTTGCATCCGCCGCTGTGCCATGCATGTCTCATCCTGATCCACACGCCCCGAACCAAGTTGAGTCTAGTTGACCAGGAGGTTCCGGGCGTATTGAAGAAGCGGAGTCTATGGAATTAATTCCAATCCGCAATGTCCGAGACCTGCTGAGAACCCTGGTCTTGAACGCTTCGCATAGAAAAGGATTCGGACGATCGGCTATAGCAATAACAGAGGGACGATGTCAGCAAGCTGTAAGCCTGCGCCGGAACCTGAACAGGGTCGGCTGTAGTAACTGTTGTTAGACGGCCTATAAACAGTCTGCATGAACAATATGGGTTCATAGCTACCATGCTCGTAGAGTGCCGATGAACAAAGGGAGTGATGGGCCGAATTAGAAACGACTGTACCAAGTTCTAAGCATAATAAGATAGCGTAATTTACTCATAGAGAGTTAAGCTTATATAGGATTAGCATGATTTCGGCAGCATCAGGGACAACTTGTTTTTACCCTAAGCATCTGTGCAATCATGCTATCCTTACGCAACATCTCTAATTATTACCTCATCACTCATGCCATTACTGAATAAATACAAAAATGTAAGCTATAGACAAGGAATTGCACTTGACAGGCCCTGTGCATGTTCATGATAGCAACCCAGCTTCCTCCATTACAATTCCGAGCATCTCCACAGCCTGTGTCTCTCCATTTACCGGCGGTATTCTAAACCATAAGAAGCAGCCCGGTGAGCCAGCTAAGGAAGATTCCAATCCATGGTTCTGCGGCAGCTGGGGCTTCGCCACTTTGGATAGTTGTCGTTGGAGTCACTGGTGTGCCCGAGCCTAGTGCGGTTGATGAAGAAATTGAGAAGATCTGAGGCATAGTCGCMCTAGAGGACGATGAAACGCTGGAACTCTCGGAAGATCGTGTCAGGATGTTAGACACTGTGACGGTGTGAGTCATTGTGTCATGTGTTGCCGTTGGGAAGGACTGGGTTGGAAATGCCTCGGTTTGAAATGTCTCGGTTGCAAATGTAGTGGTTGCAGGGGTTGTGGTTGCATAGGTTATCGTAAACTTTGGCAGTGTAAAGGTATTTACAATTCGCGAGCTGCAGTAGTAGTTGCCAGCTGACAGAACGCATGCTTCCCCAATACTGCAGCATAGGTCATTAGGACATATTGGGTCAGCAGCGCCGCAGCTCCCAGCACACGCAGGAGACCCATGAATTACCGTGCAGGGTCGGCCAGACGGACAGCAACCATTCCCGTCTGGACAAACGGTATCAGTTGCGTATTGGCATTGAGCAGCCTGCCTTGCGTTCAAGTCGTGCAGCTTGGGAGCTGGGGTGATCAGGGCGCCTCGAAGATGGTAAGTGGCATGCGCCAGGTGAGCGCCTAGGATGGCGGTGATGACGAGGACAAACCGAGCGTGCATGATGTGTGGGTTAGTGGAAGAGGTAGGTGAATCGACCCAACGAGGCTTCTGTCAGTTCCAGAAAGAAGTTCATGAGTATTTATACCACACTGGTGTGCTTCCTGTCCTGGCGCGGTTCCATGCAGAGTTTAGGCCTTTGAGGCTAGCCATGGCTTTGACCTGCGATCATGAATTCAGCCTTGTGGAGTGAGGCTGATTCCAGTCCGCAAGTCTCCTCCCACTGACGCCGCCCATACACCTCTTGCTGGTGAGTCGTCTGGGTTTAGTGTGATACCAAGGGAAGGAAGATCCACTGGCTCTGGCGTCGTACAAGTTGCGCGCCACTCAGACAGGGGTCAGACTGCCACTACTTGCTTGAGCACAACTTGCCTATCCTAAGCAAGCAAAACAAGCATATTATTCTGATGGGGCGCTGACTGGATACGTGAATGATTACATGGTCTATGCTCATAGGAGTATCCATAGCCTTCTTTTGTGCTTTGGCCTCAGCCTTGCCCTGTGTCATGTGCTAAATACGAGGATCAATACGAGGGTCACCTGTCTTGTGTTCAGGCACTTTCTCCTTTCCATTAGGCCCAACCGTAGCACGCCCTCCTCCTATGTTGATAGATCCGGTAGGCTCTTTCATGTCTTTTGAATTCGACCCCATGGGGAACCGCAAGAGGCACCCGTGCGGCCCGACGGGAACGGCTCCTTCCAGTACCTTGGTGAAGTGTAAGCAAGTCACTGCGGGGGCGGGGCATGAAACTCACGCATGTGGAGGCTCAGGCTTGCCATTAGACAGAGAGGGTAGTCAAACGCGGGTTACTTGGCGCAAGTGTAGTCCTTCTTCAAACAAGTGCGGCATTGTCGGAATTGCAAAGATTACATGAGTAACATAATTGACGCTAAGGTTGCCTTAGGAGATTCACTTTTGTGGCTGAGGCTTGATAGATAGGAAATGTCTTAATTTGAAAAGCCGTGTATGCATCTGATATTCAGGAGAAAGGTATAGTTACAATACATTGCCGCTGTCTTGGAGGCGAATACCGGTGATGGTCCTGACAAGCTTGCAGATCGAACAATGTACCTCATGGCAGCTATATCAGACACTTTTGGTCGCCAACCATTTATTGCTCAGTGTCTCGGGAATTCCTCACCCAAAGCTCCATTCCTCGTGACAACGGGCTGGCACTCTGACATGACGCCAACCATGCGAGCCCACTGTGTCTTGCTGGGGTTGCGCCATTTGTGCAAAGTAGATCGCTGAATTGTCAAGTCCCCGGGCTTGATGATACGCGTTTCACCAGAGGACAGGGTGAGTTCGATCTCCCCCTCGATCTGGATGACAAAGTCCAGGCTCACGGTCCGATGCATGGGACTCTCCGAGTCTGGAGGCGTATCGATGTACCAAACGTTGGCACCGCCACCCTGCGTGACCAGCGGATGAAGCTCGTTGAGCGATGTCTCGTAGAGCTTGAGATCGGTGCCATTTGTGAGCACCACAGGCGGCTTGTCTGTGGTATAGCCCAGGCGCGTGAGGGCGCCGCCGAGATCTTTCACGACGGAAAGGGATTCGTTGAAGGTATTGGAAAAGAAGGAGTTGCCCTCGTCATCGTTGTCGGTAATGTACCGCTTTGGGTTGGGAAGAACATTTTCAGCCATGGTTGATCTGTGTGCGAGCCACTGAGAAAGATGCGTCTAGCCGTTGGTGATACGCCGTCAGACCAGACAGTATATAAAGAGAAGCGGAACATGAGCCCGCGGCGGAGATACCCGGTTTCGCGTCGGGATTCACATGTAAGTAGACTTGATGCCTGCAAGCGTCTGCATGCAATTATGGTGTGCGATGGGACCCTGGTAGATACAATGTCTTGCTGACGACCAATACTAGACGTCGAAAGCAATTTTGACATCAGACGAGACACGGCCTGCTCGCAACCGGCCAATTATAGGCCGTTCCGAGGTGCCTTTTTCATCCGGAGACTTGACCTTCACTCGGGAGTGAACGACCGAGCTCTCGAGTCTATGCCATCGTATGACTTGTTGTTGTAGAGCGGCCATTCCAACCTTGGTAGTCTATGCAGCAGACAACCAAAAGGGCAAATCACATAAGATTAACACTCTTCCTCTCGTGAGGAGTTGGTGCTGTGTCTAGCTCGGCATGCTAATCATCATACCCGAGCCAGCTCGGAATGCCCAATGATTGGTTGTATGTCAGCCACTCAGGAAAGAGATGTGATGTTACTCTCTGGTGCGTGGAAGTTGCATGGCGCAACTTCTCCGTCTCTTCCGTTCCTGGTCTCCATGCATTTTCACATCATCCAACCTGGGAAGTCTTGAGACCATCCAACGGTAGCACTGCAGCGCGGCGTATGGCAGACCTTTCTACCTCGCACCGACCAACTCTGTCTGCAAGATGTCCTCGGCTTCTCTAGCCCACCCGCATGTCTCCCTACGACACAGGAGATACAAGGCCGCCCTTGCCTGCGCGACCTGTCGTCGTCGCAAGGTCAAATGCGACGGTCTCCGTCCAGGTGCTTCCATTTTCTTCTAACCCATAGCCTCCGATAAAATGTCTTCGGTCCTGAAGTTGCAAATGCTGATTACGGTATGTCCAGTGTGTGGAAGATGTCAACGCAAAACAGAGCTTCAGGAAACATGCAGTTACGTCGCGGCGTCAGCCCGCCGCCGTAGCAGTACTGTCAACGATCCTCTTTCATCCGCTGCAGCATCTCCACAACTACCGACTCCTGGTACATCCGCCCAAACACGTTCGGAGCCATCGGATGTCATCGGCACTCCTAGCGCTCACGCCGCCGGTGACCCAGGAGAATTCTCTTTCGAGGTCAAGGCTGCTGTGGAGGCCAAATTGGGGTTGCCGTCCTCGAAGAAGCGGTGTCCTATTCCTCTGACGGATGCCCCATTATTTGGTCTGTTGTCTCTTCCAGTGGTTATAGATGTCGCTGTAAATCCTGCGGACAACGTCCTTCCCCCGCGCAAGCATGCCGACCACTTGGCGAACCTGTACTGGCGATGTCTCGATCCTCTGGAACCGTTGCTTGATCATAGATCCTTCTGTACCGCGTACCAGGCCCTATTTGACGGTGGAGAGATGGCATGCGATGAACAAAGCTTTCTCTGTACGCTCAACCTTATCTTTGCTTTATCCACCCAATTACAGGAGTCGACTCCTTCGGAACAAAGAGACAGCACCAGCAGGACTTTCTTTCTTCGAGCCTGGCATCTGCTGCGTCCAGAGATGGTCCTCTGGCAACCCGGCTCTTTGGAGATCATTCAATGTCTGGTCCTTATGACCAGGTATCTTCAATGTACTCCAAATTTACAGCAGACATGGATGGCACTGGGTTCTGCTGTGCGGATTGCCCTGAACATTGGCCTCGACCGCTCAGA